TTGAGTTGTGGACCGCCCCGCGGCCCCAAATCAAGTTAACCATTGTGATCGTGATGATCTGGCAGAATGTGTGCATCTGGTGAAGCATTTTCGGTCCCTCTTTACATGAGAATGCAGTTGCTCTTGGCTGGTGCCTCGCCGGGGTTCTGCGACTTTTCGATCTGTCCGATCAAGAGCTCGAAGGCCTTGCCAACGTTCTCGTTGTATCGCGCGCTCGCCTCGGTCCAGCCGCATTGTATCTTTTCGGAGAGCTTCTGTCCATCTTCGGGGGTGACCTGTCGTTGCTCGGGTCGCAAATCGCTCTTGTTGCCGACAATGCAGATGGGAACGGAGTCAGTGCCCTAGACGACGAGGATTGTGGTTAGCTTGTTTGGGTACCTTGCTCGCATAAGCGAAAGCACTCACCAAGTGGTTAAGAATCTTCTCACGGATGACCTGGACCATTTCGAAAGAGGGCAGTGATGACACTGAGTAGACGAGCATGTAGCCATGAATACCGATGAAATGCTTGGAGTTGAGAATGCTGTACTCGTCCTGGCCTGCTGTGTCGACGATTTCGGTCGAGTAGTCCTGTCCCTTGTACTTAATCATTTTGCTGAAAGTGTTCTCGATCGTCGGATAGTAGCTGTCGACAAAGTGGCCATCAACGAATCGTACCGCTAGAGACGACTTGCCTGTTGATTTATCCCGTCAGCGAATTGAACCATGGTAGAAAAGATGATTGTGTAAAGCCATCAATAGGCCAAATTACTCACCGACGGAGCGGCTGCCGACAATAGCGACCTTTCTTTGCTTGGGAGAAGGCATGGTGCAACAGCGTCAAGTTGTAGATGAAGGAGGAGTGAAACAAAGTTTAAACTGCTGTCTTGATTGTTAAACGTCGTGCGATGATGCAGACGTTGGGGGCGTACAGAAAGTCAGATCAACAGCGGAGTGACAAAAAAAGAAGACAGGATGAATTAGTAGAAACGAATGCTGTTGATGACGATGTGGAAAGAGAATGCGAGTGTCTGATGTTGTAACTTGGTAGAAATACCTGGAACTTCAGGTGCACGTTAAAGTCGAGGGCAACTTCAAGAGTAAGCTAGTACTACTACTGGCTGTGCTAATAAAAGCCAAACCAAGGCCAAGCCTGAAGAGTGACGGAACTTCCTGAAAGTCATCCATTCCTGATGAGATCCAATCCAGTAGCAGGACATACCCCCACCGGATCTGCTCCCCTCCAAAGACGAGCCCCTCCCCCTCCCTTTTACATCATACCTTTTTAGGTGTGCCGCCCTCTTCACTGTTACAATGCATAAAATCATAACTACATATGCATTCGGGGAAGCTTTACCCGTGCCTCCGGATGTACGGTTATACCTTCCCCGAATCTTGACACAAGATATCAGCATTAATACTGCAACCCTGAGTCCTTTATTGTCTAGATAGCGATTTTGATTTCATTTATGCCTTTTTTGTCTAAGAACTGTCCGAGCAGTGGTCCAGCCATATCCTATGATATAAGCTAAAAAGAATCGTATTCAGAACATAGTCCCCAAGTCATCATCCCTTATCCCTGTAGTCCATTAATGTCGTTGCCGTCGTTGTTGTAAGTCGTTGACAAGTCCTTCAAGCTCAGTCACCCTGTTATCCACCTCTCTGTACACGTCAATAAACTCTTTTATCGACCCAATAAGGCTCGTAAGCCCTTGGCTCCCTGCCTGCTCTGCAAATCGTTGCCGGGCTGCGTCTACCAGAGACAGATAGCCCAGCAAGATGGAAAGATAGCCGAAAGCCACGCCGAGCTTTGCTACACTTGGCTTCAAGTTTTCTTCTGAAGCAGCCTTGATCACATATGTTAGCTATACATCCATCAAAACCATTGGGCTGTGTAGTTTTACCTTTTGCACCAGAGCCTGGTTTTGCAAGTATACTGCCACCAGGCCATCCAATTGCTCGCCATCCATATTCTCTCGTGCAGGTGCACAGCGTTCTAGTACGTTGATGCCCACGCCAAGTACGAGCAAAAGTCCATCATAAGTTTCTTCCTTTAGGCGTTGGTTGCTCATGGTGTCCATGGCCGAAGTGAATCCAGAGAGGATAGCTTTTGAAAGCCTCGACAAGAGAAGCCTATCGCTAAAGGCTGCTGCCCCATGTGTTGTGTTGGACATGTTGATTGACAATTTGAGGGTTGCTGTCTCGACATCGCCAGGTTTCTCTGGCCATTGCTGTAAACTGTTTTCTAGAATGCGAGCCACATGATGCGTCTGCTGCGCAACCCAGGAGATCTCATTTCCATCATTCATTGTCAGTCCTGACTGTGATGCCAAAACCGACACCGCAAGAGCCAACGTCGCGTCAGTTCTTGGATTTGCGCTCGCACAGTTTCCAATAATGATATCGAGATCATTTTCAACGTCCTTGATAACCACCGATGAATGCATCGCATCGATTTGTTGACATACAATGTTCAATAATTGCAGCGCAAGCGTTTGTGGCGAGAGCTTCTCAGGGCGCCGCCCATACCAAATGTTCAACTTTGTGAGATTCTTTTTCACCTCGTGGAGTGAGTTTCTAGTTGTTTTGGAAAGCCTCATCTTGCCGGCAGCAATCTCATCGATATCTTCGGGCACCCGCAGAAGTACACTGAGCAGCTCCCCAAGCCCGTCACTGACGAGCTGCTGTAGTAAGTGGGCTGCAGGGCTGAAATTGAGAAATGTGACGAGAACTGCTGACAGGGCGAATCCGCTTATCACGTCCTTTTCCTGTCCGATATTGGCGGCGACTTTATCGCGCGTTGCGTGGTCCCGAAATTGGCTGATGAATTCTTTGCGCTGTAGCTTCTGGGAAAGCTCCAACAACGCGGTCCTCCTTAGGGAAGATGGAGTGCTGCTAGGGGTTCCTATCCGAGCAAGCAGATCCTCCATCTCATCGGCGAAGCGGTTGTTGGCCCCAGCTCGCCGTAGCTCATGCACGCTCTTAATGGCAGGTCGAATCATGTCATCTTCCATATCGTCGTCGTCATCCATGGCGAAAGGATCAGGGTTGATAGGCTCTGGGGGTGTGGCCAAAAGTGCATCGAGCTCCTCTTCGGTAGTGGCCATTCCGATCCCCTGGCTGGGCTCGCTGAGTTTTGAAGACGACTCGCTCAGAATTGACCGTGACTGGCCGTATGTATACTTGACTCGTCGCCCTTTGAGTGCTACTGCAGGACGATTTCTCTGCCATACTGCGGAATCTTGTGAGTGATTTTGGGAGTTTTGCGATTGCGATTGCGACTGTTGAGAAGGTGTTTCAACCTCGGTGCCTGTACCGCTGTTCGAACGTGAGAGAGGCCTGGCTTCGTCTATTTCCTGGTCCGAATCTTCCGACTCCGTGTCTGCTCGTTGAGCCGCCAAAGCGTCAATCAATCGTGGACGTCGCTTTTTTGGTCTGGGCGGTTCATCATCGCGATCCTTGAATACAGGCGGCGCAATTTTTGAGCTGACCTCAATCGTTGAAACGTCAGATTTGCTTCGTGGCAGAGGCCGAGATCGTGCAATCTTGTCTTTTGGGCTCTTTTTTGTGATCGGTGAGCGGCGGGCGGGCGCGGCAGCTTTCCCATCGTTCTCCGAGGTTCCTCCTAATGGCCGTCGCGGCAGCGTAGTCGTGGGATTCTTTTGTTTCTGAATGATAGATGACGGTTCCTCGTCGATCGTTTCAGAAAGCGCAGCTTGTGGGCGCTTCCTTTTTCTCGTGTCCGTCGCTTCGCGCGTTTCTGCTTTGCGCTCTTCTCCAAGTCTTGTACAGTTCGGTTCATCGAATCGACTATCAGCAGGTGATCGGGTTGATGGATCTGATACGGATCTCAGTAAAGATGGCTTTGATGGCTTTGTGGCAGATTCTGTTGCAGTTGACGTAGAGAACGATTCGGCGGTTCGGAGGGGCATCGCGTCGCGCATAAAGCGCCTGCGCGAGGGTTTGCCATACGTCACAATCTTTCGCGGGATGGGCGCAGCTGGTCCATTTCGTGATGCCATAGCGGGCTTGATTTGGAGCGTGTGAGGAGAATGCGAATGAGGTTATGGTTGGATCGTGTCAGGTTATCTGACAAGGCCTATGATAGATAGGCGATAGGTTAATGTATGATGACGAAGAAAGGACCTATGGCAGTACAAGGTCGACGGTTAGCTGCGTGAACCCTCCTTCAGTATTGAGCAACAGGTATGCAGCGTGTTGCTACAGGCACAAGTACATTGAAAGAGATGAAATGAGGAGACCTGAATAACACAAGAGGATGAATCGTTATAAATTCAGGGTCTTGTTAGTGATTCACAGCCAGGGAGGTTGCACCTTTCCAATGCGGGCAGGTTTAGTGTAACCTCTGCCTCTCCATTTAGCGGGCAGAGAGCTCGAGACACCTCCATAACAAAGATGATGCTAAAAGAGAGCTACATCTGAAACAGAATAAATAGAACAACAAAGGTTAATTGGTTGGGCTTTGGTTACACAGCAGTATTCGATATATTCCATCCGAAAAGCAACGACATTACAACAATTGTTCTCTTGCTTTATCTCCACTGTTATCAATGTATTTACTAACCTACTTGCTCTACTAACTAACATCAACCCTTGCAAACACTGGCGGTCTCCTCCGATATTGCTCACGCTTGTAGGGTAGGGTCTTCCCCGCTGGCCGATTAACATCCCCGTTTTGCGCATACATACATGCATGTGGCTTCGTTAAAGGGACCTACTGCCTTGGGTAAAGCTACGGATTCTCTTATCCTTGGAGCTTCTTATTGATAGGTAGAAAGCTAAGATCCTCTCTTACACATTCAATCTTGTACTCGACTCTTTCGTATCGGGTCCAACTGCCAGCAACAGCTTTGCTTTGATTCGATTGTGCTCCGCTTGCCCACTCATAAATATTTGATCTGTGCAGCAAACCAAACTTGACCTCCCCCGCCATCAATCAATCAGTCCATCACCAGAATCCTCCCCTCCAAACAACATAACAAACCTTACAGCTAGCAAACATGGCGGATAAGACCCAAGACCCTCACACGACACCTGTCGGCCCTTCTTACCGTACTCAACAACAGAAGCCCAGTGCTACCGTCTCTGTCGATGTCAACCTAGACAATGTCCATGTTCTGCCCCAGACCCCTCAGCTCATTGCCCTACTGTCGTATGTCCACTTCCCTAATCGGGCGTCTGCACCTTGAGTTATGTCGTGGAGCTGAGAATGTCCAGGATGATCCGTAGCAAAGAGACGGAGCGAGCAGACTTTATCTTCTACTCCAACCGAATTATTCGTCTGCTTGTCGAGGAAGGTCTTAACCATCTGCCCGTCATTGAGCATACTGTCACTACGCCTATTGGTCGTACCTACAATGGTCTCATGTTCCAGGGCAAGATTTGCGGTGTGTCTATCATGAGAGCTGGTGAGGCTATGGAGCAGGGTCTCCGCGACTGCTGCCGCTCTGTTCGTATCGGAAAGATCTTGATTCAGCGTGACGAGGAGACGGCTCAGCCTAAGCTTTTCTACGATAAGTTGCCCGAGGATATTGCTGACCGATGGGTGCTTCTCTTGGATCCCATGTTTGCTACTGGTATGACAACATCCCGCCTTGTTACACAGACTGCACGTGTCGCAATCCATTCGTCTAACGCAATCGTACAGGTGGCTCCGCAACCATGGCTGTCCAAGTTCTCAAGGCCCGAGGTGTGCCTGAGGAGCACATTCTGTTCCTCAACTTGATTGCAAGCCCTGAAGGCGTCAAGAACTTTTCTGCCAAGTTCCCTCGCTTGAGGGTCGTAACGGCTTTCATCGATGAGGTTTGTTGCCTTGCCTGCCTGTATCGCTGTAGACCTTTGACTGACCGATTTTCTCCAGGGCCTCGACGAGAAGAAGTATGGAGATTCATTTCACGTTATGCACATGCTGACCATTCAACAGTTATATCGTTCCTGGACTGGGAGACTTTGGAGACAGATTCTACACCATCTAAGGGCAGAATCATGGCGGCGGCCATGTATCATATCGAGTCGCGAGCGGAAGGAATGGACTTGTCGAGCAAAGGACGTAGCAAATCTTGGTATTGTTACATGGCGCGTAAAAAAAACGTTTAATAATCATCATCTCCGTATTGGTCGTCGTAGTCCTCTTCGACCGCCGTTCGGTTGCCTCGTCCAGATCCTCCTCGAGATGTGCCACCATAGCCAGGCTCCGCGTTGTCTTCCTTGGCGACAGCATCTGGTAAAAAATCAGTCGTTGTTGATGGATTCGTGTGTAGGATGTTGTAGACATACCGGCCGCGTCAACCCATTCACCATAAACATCAACTGCAGCGGATAGATCTGTCGCAACGTTAGTAAAGCGATGCGCCTAGCGTAAAAGACATTGGTGGTTGCTGGGTCCGTACAGTTGACTGCGCACTGGAATTTTTGACCGCAAACACGGCAGTCTAGTTGACCGACACCAGCTTTCTTATCGAGCTTGACCGAGACTGAGTTTTCATGGTTACAGAAGAGGCATGCGAAAGTAGTGGGAAGGGGATCTTTCTGGAATTAGTGTGAGCGCCAAAAGTTCTGGGGGAGAATGAGAAAAGGAATAGGAAGAATGCGACGAACCTTCTTGGGCCCCATAGGCTTGCTTGAAGATTTGCGCTTGCCCATGATGTGATGTGTATTTCGCGATTCGTGCGCGACTGGAGACGTGACGAAACGAAACGAAGCGATGGATCGGATTTGCTGATGTCGAGCTTTAGGTAACTTGGGACAAGACGGCACCAGTTCAAGTCGGGTCAGGGATGATAATGTCTTATCTTATCAGTTCAGCGCAATTCACGGTGACTCTTCCATTTTTTGGGTTTGCTTGCACGTGCTCTCACTTTTGAAAACAACTTTGTTAGTGCACAAGCGCGCGGCAGTTTTGACGGTAGGTGTGTCTATAGGCGATGAGGTGTGTGTAGCGCAGGGAACTAGGCGGGCATTAAGCGGTATCAGGGTGTTGGGAAAGCTGCCCACTGAAGTCCAAGAGACGAAATCAGCAGGTCAGTATACGCCGGTGTCAACCGTCCACTAGACTGTTTATTTTTGAATACTTGAATTTGGAGGCCAGCTTTTCTGTCACCCGTTAGAACGGCATAGGAACCAAGTGCCCCGCCCCCGCCTCCCGGCGACCTCCGGAGGTCATCACTTTGAACGCCGGTTTCCGTGAAGTAAAGTGAAAGGGAAGGAGATAGTAGAGCATATCTCAGATTGCCATACATTAGTAGGTACTTATGTTTGGAGACAGCAGATCCTTTGTTCATATTCCAAGCAAACATCAAGTGCATTCTGATGCAGTATCAAATTTGACAAGAGCCATGCCATACAAGGCTTTAGACGGTGAGAGAGGTCAAACAGTCAACAACACATGCCGTCTTAGGCTTGCACCCACTCAACAAGGCCTATCATGGCCATCCTAGGTCAGTCTCACTTGGGCACCAGTGCCTTGATGCAGGGGAGTTTCCCTTCTGATATGGCGGGGTAGCGTAGCTCTACTGTTAGTTAGTGGAGACCTATCGAGGTGAGGCTTGAGGACAACTGCTTTGAGCCTGCATCCTTCCTTATCATGTGGCCTCTTATCAGCGAATCGTCAACTGTCAATTACCTGTCGAGTTAGATTACACGCGGACACTGTATGCGACTGACTGTGCCTATCATGACTTCTTCTTGTTGGGACAGCTCCCCTCTTCTCTCTAGCCCGATTACGGTGTCCCGTTAAACAAGAGTTATGATCTTATAGGGGTATTTCCCGCTGCCCTGCTGACCTTGGAGGTGACAGATGAGGTTAGGGTAGTACAGCTTGGACGGCATTATCTTGGTATCTACAAATTATGTATTATCTGAAGCTTTTGGAGGTTAGGCATGCTACAGCTCCCCTGCAGATTACGGTTGTTGAAGAGCTCGTGTCACCACGTCTTCCGCCGACCGCTCTTCCTGTTGTTCCGCGCTCAAGTTTCCCCTTTTTCTTTTCTTGTTCAACAATAAACTCTCTTCTCTTTTCTTTTTTACATTTGTTTCCTTTCATTCCTGTCTTTTCTTTGCATTCAGTTGTTCGCAATTGTATGCACTGAACCCCGATTACCCTAGAGACACGCAACCAACACGACACTTATAACAACATTTCCCAACCTAAGCCCGTCATTATGGCGGCCAACGATCAGCAATCCGACATGCTGGAAGCGCTGCAAGAGATTCAGCGCACTCAAGCCCTACTCGTGAATGCTGTCGAGTCACTCTCTGGTAGATCGATCGACGAAGCTACTGGAGATCATGCCAAGGACAACGTTCTCGATATTGGTTCTAGTGAGGATGCCAATGAGGGCGAAACACCTTCAGTAGAGCTTCCTATTGTCTCCGGAGACAAATTGAAAGCTCCCGAGGCCCCTACCGCCGTCCAGCGCCAGCAAGGTTTCACTTCGCGCATCATCTTAACGTGAGGATTTCCTCAACACAAACTTGACTAGCACGGCTCGCTCACACAAGGTAACCAGGACTTACCCAAAGCAGATTGGAATTAACCCTTTGCCTATGGACTGGGGTAACTCAGACCCTGTTAAGCGTGGCCCAATCGTAGTTTCAAGGGCTGCTACTACTATTCGACGTCGTAATGGTTCGTTTGTCCGTGCCTGTAATGCATGTGTGAGTGCGTGTTACTGACATCCGTAATTTGTGTTTAGCTGTTGGAGGTTCGTTAAACATTCCATTCTACTAACTAGGTTTTTCATTAACCGCGTTATTTAGCCCAGTAAGTTTCTACGTTACGTTGTTGGGAGCGAAACCGTACTAAACATAATCGCAGTGGTGGTTCTTACTCGATCTACTATGCACTTGCAGTCGCCAGCAAGGAGTTGGACAGCGATCACCGGTTTGTCTTTTGCCCGAATGCACGCAAAGACACCTTACTAACAATATCACCAACAGACCCGACTTCACCAACACCGAGCCGGCCGCCAACATTGGCCCCTTTCCTCAATGGGGAGACCAAAAGAAGATTGTCGCGATGGACCCTTGGGGACATCTTGCTCCATGGCTGTTCAAGGATACAATTGAGAAGGACAATGGTATGAGCCACGACAACGGGCAAGAAGAGACGTACTGACAGGGCACTTAGTTGACATTCGACCCACCATTGCCATCACTAAGGCTCATATGAAGGTTGGTCATGGAAGAACTGTTGAATGTCCGGGAAGCATGCTGACAGAGTGTGCCAATAGCTGCCAGAACTTGCTGAGAGTGTCAAGGCTGGGCGACTGTAAGTCTGAACCGGAACCCATTGTTTTGCGCCAACAAACTGACAATCTGTTTATAGGGTGCCCGATGGCAAAGTGTGCCTGAACGATCAGGGTGAATTGGCTGTCACCAAGTTTGCGGTCGAGCCGGTATGTTTTCCAGATGGAAATAGAGCAGAACGAAACTAATTGTCACAATAGGTCTGGTATCTGCCTGGCGTGGCAGAACGATTTGGTATCGGTAAGTGCACAACAGTGATTTGGTTTCGTCTTGTACAGTTGCTGATATCGCATAGATGAGGCCACTCTTCGACGTTCGCTGTTCGAACACACTGGTGGAAGTTACCCAGAGGTAAGTCGAGCTTTGTTTTAAGAAAAAAAAAACATGTCAACTGACATAGCCAAGCTCATTACTCGTGGAGACATCAAAGTCTTCCTCCCACCCATTGGTACGTCTTGTTCAAGACCATACCAATGGACTGTGCTGACATGATTCTAGGTGGTCTCACCGTGTACTGTTTCGGAGACCCTGCAAAGATGTCGGACGAGTCGGTTCGATTGTCTCTGAGAATTCACGACGAGGTATGTTGCCAGCTTTAGATATCATGACATGTCCAAGCCCGCTGACTAGCACCTAGTGCAACGGTAGCGACGTATTCGGATCCGATATTTGCACCTGCCGACCGTACCTGATCTTCGGTATCGAGGAGGCCGTTAAAGAGGCACAGAATGGTGGCAGTGGTGTTGTCATCTACTTCAGAAAGGAAGGACGAGCCTTGGGCGAGGTCACCAAGGTAAGTTTGCTGAAAACCGTACTTCACCAAAAGGGAGTGGATCTAACTATGTCGGCAGTATTGTAAGGATAAAATGCGACGTGCATGTAGATCTGGGGTACTAATTCTGGGGCAGTGGTCTACAACGCCCGTAAACGAGGAGCTGATCGCGCATCCGACTACTTCAAGAGAACCGAGAACATTGCTGGTGTCAAAGACATGCGATTCCAGGCTCTCATGCCTGATATCCTGCACTGGCTAGGCATAAAGAAGATTGACAGAATGCTTAGTATGAGCAAGTGAGTGGTTGAGGACCCAACACGTCGAGAAAACAGCCGGCTGACTATATCTTAGCATGAAGCATGATGCGATTGTCGGACAAGGGTAAGCTGATGAATCGGTCGAGCCACTGTCGATGCGAGATTATCTAACATGATGCACAGAATCCCGATTCACGAGCGAGTCGAGCTCCCTGAAGAGCTTATTCCAGCCGATTCTCGAGTCGAGATTGACGCCAAGATTACAGCAGGTGAGTGAACGGACCCAAAGGTCCACGAGCAAGCAAGGCGGAAACTAACGGAGATTCAAGGCTACTTCACCACTGGTAAACGTATGACAACCGAAGAGCTGCAGGCGGTCCAAGGAAGAATATGGGAAGAGTGAGTGTTCCCATGCCATCTAGAGCAACAGTAACATAATGACTGACGACTGTGGCAGCTTCGACCATTAAAGGATATCAAATCAAAGCCAAGGCGACCGACCGGATAGATACGGGCGGACAGTTGGACAAAACAGGAGAGACGTGGCGGGGTTGTGTCCGTCAGCTTGTTCCCAAGTTTGCATACTTCTGCAGGTCGGTCTGAGCCGTTTTGCGTGGGGGAAGCATCTTGATTGATCCAAAGCCATACGATGATGCGATGTGACGGTGGCATCTCATCCATGGTGTTGGGGTCGAGTGTCCCGAACGAGGTACCCGGTCAAGGTTTGGTGGTGCAGGACAAATCGGAGGATTGCAGAGACCGTATTTTCGAACCACCACCGTCCTGAGCGTCAGTCTGTAGAGGTTGCGAGATTTGAAGATGGACGTTGCAGTGTAACTTGTAGAGGGTGGAAGTGGAACTCGGGATGGAAGCCTGCGAAACGAGATAATTGTTCCAACAGAGTTAGCACCGAATAAATTTATGGGTCGCGGCACCTTTTTAGTAGCATTGAGAGGCCCGTTATTCTTAACCGGTGAGGCGGTCACAGGACACGAAATGGGTGAGCTGTACAAGAAGGACGGAGTCAGAAGGAAACGCTTGCACTCTGTACAGAGTATGCAATTACACCCAACCTGAATGAATCGATTTGCCGACTACATGGGCATGCCGTCCATGATAAGGCACTCTTGTAAAAGTGCCTAATCTAAGGCATCCATATCTATGGTCCATGGATGACCCATGGTACTGTATGTGATGTACAGTACACGTGTAGGGCCTGTCTTTTTCGGTCACGGGCATGATCATGTATGACAGCTGGATGAGTATGGAGTACATTAATTAGTACATTAATTAGCAAGAGCATGGACCAAGGGGAACCCAATACATGAGCTGGAAGAGAAAGAGATTGATGATTTATTAAAATAAAAAATGAATTAGTTAATTACATCTAGACCAGACAGCCTTGTCTTGTGTTGGTTAAATTGAATTGGCACCGACTGTCAGGTCACAAAGTCTATTATTAACCGTCACTATTACTCTGAGGGAAATACTCCGAAGGTTGGGTTGTCAACCCTGGCCTGTCTTGTCTTGACTGTATGTCTGTACAGAATGGCCGATTCATCACAATGACAATAACCACGTCTATCCATGTTGGCATGCGATGCTATGCGGTGCAATGTCAGACTCAGACTGGGGCTGTTGAGTAAAATTGGGGATATTGATTGATTAATTGACTGCGTCGGATAATTTACTACGTGGATTGATTGATTGACATGTACATGGTAATCCATCGTGCTTATCAGGTACGAGATGAATGAGGCCTTCTAGCGATATGAATCCAATGTAATGATTTGTCTAGTAAATTGACTGACACCTAAAAAAAAAACAAGTCGATTGTTTCCACTTTGAATTATCATCGCATCACCCACCCATCATGCTGCTTTTGTGTGCGTGTTTTTGGTCATCTAGCCACTACACCACCAATTTACAGAGCCAATAAACGCTAGAGAGACTTGGCCTAACCGTTAGGTTTGCTGACCATTCCATTTTCCCTCTTTTCTCTCCCTTTTCTCCTCAAAGCAAGGTTTTGACTAGTCGACACTGACATTCGATTGTGCGCGTCCATCGGTGCGATCTAAACAGAAGGATTGCCAGGTTTGTTTTCTTTTCCAAGGAAAAAAAATCAAAAACAAACATCCAACGTCGCTACCCTTTAAGCGGTATGCACATTGACGACCTGTTGGGTAGCAATGCGACAGTAGCTTGACCACGATTCCCATAGTATTGCCTTACCGCCAGACGTTTCTGTGACCTCCGCTGGGTCCGAAAGTTAACGAGTGCCTCATCAGGGCGAGTCACCACTGGCTTTACAGGCTTTCTAGCTCCCCCAGACCCCCTTGCCCCCCTGCAAGCCTGGAAACCTGCACCTACGGGAAACCCGCCTGCGGTCCCCGGGGCCCGCGCAAGCCTAAAAAAGGGCCCAGGGGCAGAGAGTCAGAGGCCCAGGATGCTGGACTGGGTGGGGCCCAAGCCATACACCTCGAGACAACGCACCGCATCGCACAGCGCAGAAAGGGCACACGCACACTCGTTCACTCAAATGCAGCCATAAGCCGACGACAAGTGGCAATCAGATGCCAACAACTGCAGACACTGGGCAGACATGCTTTTAATACATGATACCTACTCTGCCTGTGGTCAGTGTAAACGTAGACGTAGACCTACCCCTGCTTACTCGGTCCCAAGCCTTGATCAATGATGATTTTACAAGACTTGCGGTGCACCACACACGTATGCAAGGCAATGCTACCACCTCACCCCAACCCTTGTCCATTGCCATGCCATGCCCTGCTCGTCTTTACTTTACCTTACTTAGCTTACCCGCTGTGGACTAACCGCAGCCGTGGTAGCTTAACTCTGGCACCACGAGGAGGTTGATGTGGATGCCTTGATATTGGAGCCGGCTGGACTCTACTTTGGGAATATGTATTGAACCTACTGCCAGCACTTCCGACCCCATCCAAACCTTTTCTCACTTCTATTGTTATTCTTATTCAAATGTGAATTCATCCCTCTTCATTCACGAACCAACTCAATCACTCATCCTCACAACTACCACAACCTCCACAACATCAACAATGGCCTCTTATACACACAGCCGAAGTGCGGTGAGAGCTCAGCGACGAGACTCGTCATCATCCTCATCTTCACACACAATGTCCAACCGCTCAAGACCACGCCTTCTACGCTCAAGTGCAACTGAGCCTTCAATCACTGTCTCCAATGCTACTGGAAACTCATTTGCTGGTCCCGAGTCGCCACATAGAGCAACTGATCTTCTCAACCGTGTTGCCGTCTATTCTCCGTCTCCCGAGCAAGCCTCCACCCCAGCGGCAATCCCACGCCATGCTGGACCCATGTCTATCTGCCGTGATCACCGCGAGCACTCTCCTTCCAGCAGCCCTGGAAGCCAATCCGCCGTCATGTCCGACTCTCCTTCTGGTATGCCTCATGTTTTGATTTCGGGTCCAACCCAAACTAACATCAATCAAGGTTACTACTTTAGCTTTCCCAGCTTTGAGGAGTGGAACAGGGACAACCAGGACGACATCACCAAGGACAATGATGATTGAGCGGTGACGGAACTGGATGGTGAGGGGATCAACAAGACCTCAAACCGAAAAACGCACACGACAACATCACTCCAACAACAACATTAATCAACCACCCAACACCGCTAAACTCATAACGAGATAGCACTTACTGGCTTTTCCCTGACGGCTCAAAGAAGAGCCAGCGACAGCGAAAGCCACAAAAACCCCGATGAAAGCAGCAAATGCATCGCCTACCAACACCATCAACGCCAAACTCTTACTAAGAATTGAGATGAGCTGAGAATGAGATTGTGGCGGGCTGAATGCGCTCTGGAACTAGGTTTATTGTTGGGTGGATCTGGATTCACGGCGAAAAAGGGCTCCTCGGTAGAAGAGAAGCGACGACGACGCTTGAAGCCAAGCTATACACGATGAATGAGGAATAGCTGCACTACTCTCCCCCTCAAAAGGTGGAGTGAAAGGAAGCCAACAAGAGTCTGGGTGAAGCTTAAAAGCCCATTGACTACAAAAAACAGGACGCTTTAGATCCATCTGGACAAAGCCTATAAAAACAGAAAAAAAAAGAAGGAAAAGAAACAAGGCAAACACACAAAAAAAGCAACAAAAAAAAGAATCAGATAAATCGTGTGTATAGCATGGAAACCCACCAACTCATCAGTTCAATCTCATAATCTATATAAATCCTAGTTACCAAGACATAGAAATAGCATATATGACATACCCAATCTTGAAAGAATTCCTACACAAAAAACTGAGAGTGATGAGTGACGACGTTGTAAGCGGCAATTCCTGTTTCCGTGTCATGTCTCACAACAAGATAACACTAAGCATTGATTGAATTCGCATGTCATAATGCATAAGCCGAACTTCTCTGAAACGCGCTCATAGAGTCAAAAGTGATAGCATTTTATGCAATTATTCTCAGGTGGTCTGTGTCAACCATAACGTTTAATACCAAACACTCATCTTGTCTTTAGTTGGCCACATTCGCTCGGACAATGTTTCATGATCCTTTCAACGTCACTCATTAAAAGATGTTCTATTAATGGCTGTCCACCCTACGATAGTCTCTTTGCCTCGGCCCGCTTCTGTCTGATTGCCGTACTGCTGATCTTGGTTGCGAAATCATCCGTCTTACTGACCGCCTCCCCATCAACTTCCTCAGCATCTAGTACATCAATCTCAAACACCTCAAGCGGCTTCCAGCCCTTTTCTGTTCTGCGATCATTGATCGCCTTGCCGCCGCTGCGAGTCTCGGCAGAGACAACAATTGCATCGGCATCTTCCTCGTGAATGGGTGGGCCAAAGGGATCGCGAAGTACTATACATCGCACCTTGACTCTTCCATCACGAAGAGTAGCGATCGTCTCGTCAGGTGTAGACTGTGTCGCAGGAGACGCAGCTGTTGTGTCATACTCAAGTAGCGTAGAGAGAAACGACAGAACAGCCTGAGTGCGCTCTGTCCACGGCTGAAGCTCCTCTGCGTATTTCTTTTTGGCAAGGAGCTCGTCGCTTGATATACCCACGACAAGTGTGCACGTCTTGTCAGAATCTTTTGGAGGAATGTTGAGAAGAATAGCACTCGTGTGGAGAAGAAGTTTGTGGCCGGGATGAAGATGGTCAAAAGTGCCTCCTAGACAGACAGTGTTGAAGCCTTTTTGTAGCTCTTCAGTATTAAGCTTTTGCTCTGTTGTCAAGCTGATCCCACCCTCGACAGCGACGAGCTGGTTTTGTGTGAATGTCTGTTTTCTCTCCGCAAGTTGAAGAAACACGGATAGTAACTCATATCCCTCTTCACAGCTGGGATGATATAACATATCCCATGATCTAACGTTGGTCGCAAACGCAGCCAAGTCTAACACAGCCGTGCAATTAGCCTCATACTGGCCCTCGAAATTGGGCTCATAGCGTCGTCCCTTCTCATGGTCGATGAGAACAACTCTCACATCCACACTTCCATTTCCAGCGCCAACATCAACGGGAATGTCTTCCTTTGCGCAAATGACTGATGTGAGGGTGTAAAGACTGGCGAGGAGAGATTGAGCGGTTGACCATGCGATTTGCTTTGAGTTGGCCGATGGACCCGTGAGAATAGGTAGAGCAACACCAACGACAAGAGTTTGAGGAGAAGACGCCGACTTGAGCTTTTGTAGAACAGATGTTAGAGGGGCGCTGTAGGCAGCGGAGAGAGTGGATGGTGATGAAGGTTGCGGAGGTGAAGGCAGTAGAAGAAGTGAGGGCGCCATGATGAGATTTGTTTGTTCGAAGAATTGAGTTGAACTTGAAATCTGATTTGAGTCGTAACTAGGTATCTAAAATATGCGTTGCCAGCTACTTGCAACAAGCTCTAGCTTTACATGCATCATATCATGAGAACACATGATAAACCGATAGCTGCTGACGTAGATGGGGTACTGTGATGGCACATACAACTGTGGCTGCCATTCTGTGGCGCAGCTAAAGTCGAAAAAATTGACGCTATAACCAATCTTTTGCTTCTTGAAAATCGATATAGATGCACTTATTATGATATAAAGATAGTACTTGGAAATAATATTCAGATACTAAATTATTAAATTAAGGGAAATAATTAATAGATATTAGTAGAAACAGCAATATCTTTATTAATTACAAGTAAAGTTGCTATACTTATTACAGCGAGTTGACTTTATTAGTCTGCGCACGGCGGCGGCGACGACACCAACATGGAGAGACCTGTTCCCCGTGTTAGGTTCCCCCCGCGGGCAGGATGCTTGCTCCCAAGAGAGGAAAAAAAAACCCTCTACAACGATATAATCATATTGGCGTGAGCATTAGGCTCGTGCCGGGGCACAAAATGCCCAAAATAAAATTGTTTCCTCTATATTTTCCCTCTGTAATTGCTTTCAAAATATTTGTTATGAAAGTGAATGCACGATCCAATAAAAGTGGCCTTACATAATCAGCGTCACGTGAAGAAAGACCCTAATTCGTTTTGTGAAATTAGCGACCTAAGCTGCTCACACGAGAAGTTGAAAAATCATTTCGCCCCTCCACCACTCTTTCACCAGTACCATCTCTCCAACGGTTCACACACAAGCCAGCAAACATGGCGGTTGGAAAGTGAGCATCACCTACCTACGACGAGCAGCAATGAACATAATGGGCTTACGCGATATTTCAGGAACAAGAGACTCTCCAAGGGCAAGAAGGGCCTCAAGAAGAAGACGGTCGACCCCTTCTCCCGAAAGGACTGGTACTCGATCAAGGTTGGTCATCTCGAATTTCGACACGCAGCGATCCATCATGGCTAACTCGAAATCTTCCAGGCCCCTAACCCTTTCAACGTTCGAGAGTGAGTTGCGACCACGAATCCGATTTAAAATCGTCAACTTTTTTGTGGGATATGGCGATTAACCAATTTACAGTGTCGGCAAGACCCTTGTGAACCGAACCACTGGTCTCAAGAACGCCAACGACGCTCTTAAGGGCCGTATCCTCGAGGTCTCTCTGGCCGATCTCCAGAAGGATGAGGACCACTCCTTCCGCAAGGTCCGCCTCCGTGTCGACGAGGTCCAGGGCAAGAACTGCTTGACTGCTTTCCACGGTCTCGACTTCACCTCCGACAAGCTCCGATCTCTCGTCCGCAAGTGGCAAACTCTGATTGAGGCCAACGTCACTGTCAAGACTACCGACGACTACCTCATCCGCCTCTTCGCCATTGGTTTCACCAAGCGACGAGGAAACCAGGTCAAGAAGACCACATACGCCGCCTCTTCTCAGATCCGAGCCATCCGACGCAAGATGACCGACATCATCCAGCGTGAGGCTTCAAGCTGCACTCTCACCCAGCTTACCTCCAAGCTCATTCCCGAGGTCATTGGCCGCGAGATTGAGAAGTCCACCCAGGGCATCTACCCTCTCCAGAACGTGAGTAGACGCTTTTGTCCCTTGACATGTCTAATGTTTCATACTAATATACGAATCACAGGTCCACATCCGAAAGGTCAAGCTTCTCAAGGCCCCCAAGTTCGATCTCGGTGCCTTGATGGCTCTGCACGGCGAGTCTGGTACCGACGACCAGGGCCAGAAGGTTGAGCGGGAGTTCAAGGAGCGTGTCCTTGAGGAGGTTTAAAAGGATTATTTTGGCAGGTTGGCGCGGGGTAGGCAATAGGGGCCTCGCGGCGAATAAACTCATCCCTACCAAATTTTTTCGGTCGTCCAAATGGCGTAGCATCACAAAAGGGAGCTCGGGGGATTGGTTCATGTTCCTTTGAATGGTAAAAACAAACGTTCAGTCAACACGCCTAATGACTTATGACATGTGACTTGTTACGACTTGGGATTTTGTGATGATTTGGCGCTGGTTGTGAAGGACGTTATGAGATGAGAGCCGTAGAAGAAATCCACCTTGATACCCTCGCTATACAATGTTCCATTCCCACCATGTCGTTGAACTTACATTCACGAATGGTAATTTTGTATATCATCTATCTACACACGTATTACGGGTAGGGCAAGTCTGTAGAGGCGACTGAAAATATTGTCTAGAACTCGCCTCAATTAGTGGGACATGACCCATGATATCCAGTTCAGTTGCGTCACTCAGGCTTCTGAAGAAACTCAACCACAGCTGTGGAATGTCTGTCAGTATGTGGCTCAAACCCTCTGCACATCTCGCATGTTACTCACCTTGTCTGAACGCTTCAGGCTGTTCCGAGATGAGCCAGTGACCAGCATCGACATCGACGAGTCGGAACTTGGGGAAGAATTGCCCAATCAGAGGCAGCACGTCATCGGGTACATATTTGCTTTGTGTGCCTCGAACGAACAGGGCGGGTTTCTCAAAACGAATCTCGTTGGGGTTCTTGTATGGAAAATCTCCAAGGTTGTCCAACGCCTTGCCAAGGGTGTGAAGAGGGATGCGGAACTTGCGCACCTTCTCACCTTCGGGCAGGTGCATGTTGCCGAGGAGGAACTGTCGGATAGGCAGAGACTGTTCAACCTCGCTGAGGATCTTGTCGGCTTCGGATTGGCGTTTGACACCAGCTTCCTGGATCTTCTTCATGGCGCGGACGTACTTGGGGAAATCTCTGCTGAGTGAGACATCCACTGGGGCATTGTCAACGGCGACAATATCAGACACAAGGTCTGGAGAGCGAAGTGCCAGAGTCATGGAAGTTTTGGCTCCCCTGAACCATGTTAGCTCCTTCATCGAACACTATCAAGTGGTGGTTGGTGCCTTACATTGAGTGACCGATGAGAGTTGTTTCCTTGAGACCGTGGCCCTCAATGAACTGAGCTACATCCTCAGCCATGGCACTATAGTCGTGACGAGTGTCATGGGGTGATTCGCCATGGTTTCTGAGATCCTATAAGCTGATTTTAGTTTCCTCTACTCGTTAACCGTTGAGTTTAGTACATACGAGTGCATATACATATCTTCCCAAATCGCGAGCCAAAGCTCTATTTTCTCATTAGTTCATTGGTATACGAATTGGAAACCCTAACTTACTTGCTGATAGCTCTGTTATTCTTCTTTGATCCAAACAGACCGTGAAGGAAGAGAATAGGTGAGTTCTTCTTATCTGTCTTTGGTTGGGCAGGCTCATGTAAGTCATATACCAAAGGGCCAATGGCCTGAGAGTACAGCCTTGTGCTTGCAGGCACAGCCCGAAGAGCCTGGCGCCCAACCGAGGGGACCACAGTCGTAACTACTCGTCGCAAAGAAAGCATATTTCTTATCACAGTAGATACTTGAAGACGTTGAGCAAAGTCAATTGTGTAGATCTCAAAATTGCCATTTCGGGTAAGGTCTCGCCGATTTGCATCGGTTTACTGCATACTTGCATATCTAATCTCTAAGCACCATGATGTCACTCCAACTTTTGATCTTCCAAAAGACAAACAATTCTGGTGAACAATTTCAATCGCGTTGAGCAATCTGTTCAGGCAACAAAGCAAAACAAAAGCATATAAAAAATGAATGAAAAGATATAGAGAAAGAAACACCCAAGAACGCCAGTAACAAATATGTCAAGTCAAGCTTGAAAAGTGTACGGAGAAACAACAGACAATGTACAACGGGACAGCTTAACTATCCCAGATGGCCCCAAAAGCCGGAATGCCGCGTGTCTCGAGACCGTACACGACCTTTTTGGTGATTTTTTCGTTTGCTATGATTATCACAGCTTCGGCGTCAAAGTTCTTGGCCACGTTATAGCCCATTCGCACAAGATCTGGCCGACCCTGGGCTTTCGTGTCCCAGATAATCGCGTCTGGAAGCGCATCTCGGACCTGGCTGACAAACTCTTTGCCGAATGTGCTTTCAGGTCGTGTCGTGGACCAGATCAGCTGCGTAGGACACGGCTGCTTGACTATATGTCCCAGTAGCGGTCCAATCCCGGAGCCTGTGGCGATAATCACGACACGGTTAAAGAGAGTTGAGATACGCATCACCCCACAAGTCGGCACACCACGCACCCAAATCGTACTCGGTGGGTTTTGGATACACGAACGTGTCCAATCGCCAGCGTTGGAGACTACCAGCGAATAGCCCTTGGCGTGATGATTGGCCTCTGGGTTTGGGATGGTTGCAAAAGAATGCCACTCGAGCAACGGGCGTTGAGAAATGCGTGTGAAACTACCGTTTACGGGAACGGTATAATCAAAATGTAGTCGGACTGCATGATCGGAAAGCACTTCGGCCTCTACGGGAACCTTACGCAGGAAGAACCATGAAGAGGCAATACTCAAAGTTGCCACAATCAAAAGCCAGAAGTCTGGACTCTTGACACAGGCGAGCCCAAGATCATGGTCTCGAGGTCGAAAATCATTGATAGCCAGAATCGTACGGGCCCAAAACAGACCCAGCGACGTCCAACCTGCGAAACGGTGGAAACGCTCAAAGACGTTGTGGTACTGCTTACGAAACGAAGGCCATGCAGTGGTGACCATGGAACATAGAAGTCCGCATAGAATCCACGATACGACCTGTGTCGCCAAGGAAACGGTCGCGTGACCTTCGCAGAAACCTGCATTGCAGATTGTCCCACGGACTGTTGAGATGACTAGCCATGCAGTAGCACAAACACCAGCACCGGAGTGTAAACCACCCAGGTGATAAATCTTGGCGCAGCGAACCCTGGCCCAGAGTGGTAAACTCTTTGGCACTGAGCAGAAGATAGTGTACAGGATGTTGATCACCGTCTCCTGCCGTACGAGCACTGTAACTGCGAGGTTGATGGCGGTGATGATACCCAGCCACTCGGAATCAAGACGAAGAGCGATCACGCAGATTAATGCTGCCAAGTTCAGTAATCCGATCAAACTGAACAGTGTACGATAGACAATGAAGATCCTGCGTCTTAGACCTCTAAGCGGTCGGGCCATTGTCTTATCAGGAATGCCGCGTTCGAGGTCCAACTTGTCTGTAAGAGTTGCCAAAGTGGACATAGAGGGTTGGACCTTGAGTTCAACACGAGGCTCTTGGACCTTCTCACCCTCGCATGCTTGTGTGGTAGTGCTATGCTCAGCCAAGGCCAATACCCTGAGTCTGTTCTTGTCGATCTTGCCATTCGGCGTTGAGGGGAGCTCGTCCAGGGGGTGGAGGTGTGTTGGTACAGCATAGTAGGGCTGGTATTTACGCATATGCTTAATCGTCGTGGTTACATCGCAGTTTCGTGGGGTGGTAAATCCATGGATCTCTCCATCGATCAATAGCGCAGTCGCCTGAGACACGCCGGGCGCCGATGCCAGAGATGCGGTTACGCCATCCAACTCTACACGAAAACCCTTGGCAAAGGTTAGATTTGGACAAGAGTATACTTTGGAATCTGGACGTACCTTGACTTTGACTTGGTCGTCGACTCGACCGAGAATCTCGATTGATCCATCAGGCTGCCAACGGCCGAGGTCTCCCGTGTTGTATATTACTGATCTATTTTGTGTGTCAGTATTTGCACAAGGATGATGGAGGAGTTCACTTACCCATCTTTGGAAAATGGATCTGGCTTGTATCTCTCTGCTGTCTTGTCATCAAGACCAATATAGCCTCGAGATACTCCAAGCCCGCCAGCCCACATTACCCCAACGGTGCCCATAGGTGTCGGCTTGCCCTCGTCATCGAGCACATAAACTCTGTTATTCGGAGTCGGTCGACCGATTGATAGCTCCTTTCCAACAGTGTGCTTGTGCATGGTGTTGACGATAGTTGTTTCGGTTGGTCCGCAACAGTTCCAATATGTGCCATGCTCTGCCCACAAATCGGCAAGTCTGCAACAGTCAGTAACGAATGGAGCCCATGGCTTGGAAAGATAAATACCTCTTTGTGGTGGGCTCTCCGGCTGTGGCAACAGCCTTTATTCTGGGAAACTGTGTTGGGTGGTATCTGGAAAGGATCGTAGGCGTGCATATGAGCACATCGATCTATTCTGGAGTAAGTCCCTGTCCGTGATTTAAGTGATGGGAGCACAAACCTGTTGAAGGGTTGACTCCCAATTGGAACCTCGAAGGACTAGTGTGCCTCCGTTACAGAGACAGACAAAGATCTCCCACGCTGCTGTTTCGGGTCAGAATTGGCAGCGAAATGCATCAAAGAAACTTACCCATGTCAAAGCTGATGTTGAGGACCGAGCCAACGCAAGTACCAACCGCCACGCCCAGATTTCCAGGAGATAAGCACACGAGGTTGGCGACATTCTTGTGAGTGATATCGACTCCTTTTGGGTTACCTGTTGTTCCTATAATATTGTTAGGAGATTCCACCGGATAACTCAAGCGGGAATGTTCACTCACCGGATGTGTATATCACGTAGCAGCCGCTATCCGGTGATGCAAGGTCGACGTGTGCGTTCTCTTCAAGGGAGGGAGTTGCTATTTGGTCAATAGGAACCACAGTATGGCCAAGGTAGGATGCAACGCGGTGCTTTGTTGAAGCCAAACAAAGAACTACACCACCCTGTGACTCTTCCAACACGCGACGAATAGTTTCGTCAGGAACGACACCGCCATCGAGGGGAACGTATTGGGCGCCACAGGAAAGGATCGCTAATATTCCTATGACCATGTCACTTCCCCTTTTAGCAACAAGGGGAACTCGCGATTCCGAGCAGACACCTTGAGCAATGAGATGTGCAGCCAAGTTTTGTGCCCTGTTTGCGAGTTCTTGATATGTCAACTCCTTTGGGGAACCCGTGAGATCGCGGAGAGCTGTGGTGTCTGGATGGTTCTTTGCATGGTGATAGAACGCAGAAGTTACTGTTGAGAATTGAGTATCGATACAATCACCCTGGCCAAGTTCGAGGATAGAGTCGTACAGGATATGATCCTGCGTCAGATTCGCCATATCCATTATGAAGAGAACCCCCCGAAGAGTGAGGAAAAGGTAAGAAAAAGACAATGGGGATTGTTTGAAGTTGACCGTTGGGTTAAACCTGAGATAGCAGGAACATCTTATATAGTCTTACATGGCGTAACGGCAGTGGCAATCTGCCCTGGGAAAGATGTTTCATCTTGTCTATTGCAATATTGATACTCATTACAACCGGTCTCTTGTCAATTGAGCGTTTTTTTCCGTCTGGGACTGTCTCGACGGATTGACTACGTTGGGAGATATGAACACTGCCCTGATTTCCCCAGCAACTTCGGCTTGAGTTTACTGCGGATACTAACCTGTCATAATTGCTTCTGCATTCCTCACACACCCGCCCGGGGGTTCTGGCTATACGGAGCCGGCCCCGGCGTACGGAGAATGTGGACGGAGCACCGCAACCTCGTCAATCACAAAGGAATGTGACAGCGATGAGACATGATTTCAACCAGGGGGACTCGGGCCAAGGGACCGCTACTAACTATCGACGGATAGATCAGTTTTTCTCTAGGAAGGGCTTCTGGGGTATTTCCTCGATGCGACCTCAATAGGATGGATCTTCTCCAAGGCTTTACTGCACCCTGGAAACCGGAACCCATCAATCTAAAGTGGCAGTGGACCCTTGTTTAAAGCCATCGATTATGACGGGCCTTGTCTTGAAGATCAATCTTCGCCCTGCAATTCAGGGCGTGTGAAGATAACCATACGTACCCACAGCATGTGGCTTCTTGATGGAGCCAAGGATGTCTCTGATGATTCTGCTACTGACTGACCTCAACTCAATATACTGAATGCGCGTCCTTTTGGGTTTTACGAAGAACCTCGTCAGGCCACACTGACTCGCATATCATTACCTGCATTGATCTTCTACTCTGTGGCTCAGGCTTGCAGTTGGTCACCCTTGCTATACGTAACACTTCCTTCATGGCAGAAACCGGCGTCATCAATATTGGAAAGATATTGTAGGGATCGCCTTGCCTATCTAGGGAGTAGAAAGGAATTTCTAGAGAAATGTCTGCTGAGTTGCTTGAAATCGTTTCTCGAGCCTTGGCTGACTCAATAGCTTAAAATCATTGTTGCGACAAGACGCAGCCGTTACTTTGAGGATCAGTTGAGTTTAAACCCACGTGTTCTCGACGCCTTCTAACGGTTCTCGATACTGAAACGATACAGATATCAAAGAGATTAGCGTTATGAACACAGGCAACAAGATAACGCCGCCGTATGCAGCGCCCATGACACGGCATGGCAGTGATTCAGAAGTTTGTGTTGGCTCTAGTAGATGGTCCCGCGGCATACTCTCTTTACGCCCTGTGACAAGGATTATATTCGACTGACTGTGACAGTATGGGGCCAGGCTCAAGACAATGGTATACCCCCACTCAACGATCAGGTCAGTTTGCAGGAAGTCTTAAATTCAGAGCTGCAACCTTTGTGCATCGCCACGTGCTGACTTTACCCCAGAGATGAATTCTGGTTTCAACTCCAGAGCGGGAGGCCTTCAACGGTTCATGTTTGCCTCGCAAAGATTCGATTAAGCTCATGTGAACAGTAAATGCATGCGTTCTGTACCGCATGCCTTCAAGACAGGCTCCCTCGGTTGGCCACAAAATCTATACTGCGCATACCAATCCCGAACAAAGAAGCTCCGTTTTGCGGGCTGGTCTGCGACATGTTCAAGGATGGATGAGTATTGGAGGAGACTATCGATACAGCTGCGTTGCTCGCGGTCCGGAAGGACAAATGCTATTCGAGGAGGCTACATGCCGAGGTCCGTTGCCATGTTGGTCTTGCCTCCCTTCTCTTCACTTTGCTTTGACTTGTTCATGGCTAGTTGCATAGCTAATGATTTGAGCTATGACGACGAATTTGAAAGAATTAGTTCTTGACGCCTTGGAAAAAGCAACAAGTGTTGAAGCATTTCTCCAACGGAGACATACTATATTCAAGATTAACAAACTGAATCATACCAATGATCGACAAGCGCTCTTTGCTTTGTATTTTCTTGGCTAGTCTTTTCACCATATCGATTACTCAACATGATGCATACAACATATGGCTATTAACTTTCAGTTCCGCGTCGTTCTCGACGGGTTCATACGAATCAAAGTCTAAACAGTACATCCCTTCTGTTCTCGTTTACCAGACTGTCCTATCGGATAACTGCCCAGTACTCCGTACTAGGTCCAGTGAGACAAAGATTGTGTTGTTGTTTGGCGGACCGTCCTCCGCAGAGCCCTGATGGTGTACGACAAGGTAGTTGCCAAGCTGATAGGTAGAGCGGCAATAATGTGAAAGTGACTGCAGGGCTGCACAGAACAGAAAAGAGCTCCGAAATCCGTCACTTTTCGGCCTTTCTTTGCCACGCGCCGCGGCTTTCTGGCGTTTAGGAATGAGTAGATCTTGTCTTAGACTCGATACTATCTTTCTAGAAACAAAAGTGATGAATGGAACGCTGTCATCTTGGGAGAAGTGGGCTACACTACGCGTGCGTTCAAAGAAAGAAGCACTAGATGGGACCTTTTTCCATCTCGAGACATGCTCGACGGGACAGATCAAGTTTGTTCAGGAACTCTTGAGTTGCTGTAGGCTAATCGCTAGCAGATGGTTCGATTTCCCAGCAATATGATATCATTGTCATGACGATAATGAACCTTTCAGGAATGGCTCAACATCCAGATGTAAGCTTGCCTTTACCTGTCGAAAGCTGTGGCATGTCGAGTTGTCGTAACCTTGAGGTTTTTGATCTTAGATTTGTTATCCACACTCAGCTCTGCATGGGATACAAGCATACCTTGGAAGGCACGCAAACTATGCCAAGTAATGGATATTTCCGTACTCAAAGGGTTGAGTGGCTTCTTTTCTCAGCCCTCCTTTGGGCAGTCGTAGTTGGACGAGTTATCCGTCCTCGCACCGCAGCCCACGTTTGTCTTGCCCTGAAATTCCATCCATCCGTTACGGAGTACATGACGAATTCCACGCATGAGTATGAAGACTTCTTTCCGCAGGCAGAACAGGAATAAGAAATATCAGACTAGGGAGCTCTGAGTCTCAGTCATGTCCCCACGTCCTATTTATGTGGTCTCAGTTGACGACCTGAACGCCGGGACCATTTGATCATTCCCTCCGCTCATGATTGACTTCCATTCTCCCTTTCGTCACTTATCAATATGATAGTCGCCCATGTCTTGCCTGTCATATCTGTCACCCAGCCAGTACCACGGTTACGGGTTCATGATTTACGTCGGCACTGCACATACCAGGATTACACACAACAAGGGCGAGGGATCAGCATATGAGCAAGGTACAAATCACTGGGCCTTCTGTCGAGGGATGTGACATACCCTGTCAAGTCGACGAGCTATCGAAGCCATGTCAGGCTAGAGGTGTCAGTTGTACCGTACCGATACTGATTCACTGAGTGCAGGATCTGAGACTTTCAGAACAAGATTTACAGCAAGGATGCACTGTTCAAGGATGCGATCGATGTACGTATGTGAGAGGGTGTAAAAAGCAAAGTGTGGCTTGAGATGCTGGTTTTAGCCGATCAGTCCAAGCAAAGAAAGAAACTCAAGACACTTCTCAGCTGAACCAGAATATGAGACAATCTCACATCTTCTACAGTTGGCAACTTTGCATGCACTCGTGAGTTAGTACCTGAATGTCTTTCTGCAAGTATGGAACTAGTTATTAGTTTTCCCACAAGCATACCAGTTACCCTGCATCACAATATTTGGATTTTTTTGAGTTGAAAATGAGGGTGATGGTATCACTTGGAGTATATAAATTCATCAGTTCCCGCTGCTGTACTACCAGCAGCCGTGGTCCAGGTAAAGTAGTCGCCGAAACCGCTCGTGCCCAAGGTGTTCAGATATTCAGCCTCTCTTTCAGATTGTGACAGTTCAACTCTCACATGTTGAAAGTATTGTTTGTTAATGTGATGGCACTCAATGAGAGAGCGATAATATGCGCTTCTAATCGAATTTGCATATGATGTCAGGGAATATCTCTCGATTATAGAATATATATAGGGTATAAATGAAGCCAATGCCTGCTTATTATATAATTAAATCACAACCTCAGTTTCCTCATGGCTGCCGCCAAGGTATCTGCCGATTTCCTCGCCATGTCAGACTTCTTACCTAGGATCCACAGTCCCTTTATACAATCTTGCGCTCGACGCATGCTCTCTTGGAAGTCAATACTGGGGTTTGTTGATGCTGTTGAGCCGTACTCTAGATAATCCTTTGCTTCCTGCAAGAAGACCATAGTTGCCTTGGCAAAGGCTCTGATGAGAAGTATAGTCCATGGCTCGGTAAGGATTGTTGCTTCGTTCACCGCATGATGGAAATGCGACATCTGAGGTGTTGCTAAACTGGTAAAATTTTGGCTGGGCGTTGACACCTTGGCCAACTCAGACAGCTCTTTGGCGCTCGATTCACGCATTCTCGTAACCGTTTTGCTGGATAGCCGGGCGTAAGACGCGTTTGCCTCTCCTAACTCGTTCTTGTCTACATATTCGATAAGATCGGCGAGCATGAGGGCGCCGAGGTTCCAATGAGCTGAGATACAGACGAACCAGCTTTGGAGACGGCCTGGAACCGATTCGTAGTCGCGGAGCAGCTCTTTGAAGAAGGCGCCATGTGTCATGTTCCAGTATCGGTACAATGAGGTAGTATTTGCGATGGTTTCTTCAACTTTGTTCCCATGGCCACCTCTCCTCAGGATATTTTGAAGGTACGAGATATGCCGAAACAGAAGGACCTTGACAGGTGCCGACTTTGTGACAGCCTCAGCAGCTGATTCATATGAGCAAGGCCAATGCACGGCATGATACATATGCGGTTGCTCCAGGCTATCCTGGATGAACAGTGGTACGTTCCATCGCCCATTTGTTGTCGCGTCGAGATCATCATCTGCATCATCATGTTGACTGTCTGCATCGGCCACAACAACTGGACGCTCACTCATGGATGAGGAAACAGTATCCAGCATAACAGCAAGCCAGTACAGCAACCCAACAGTACCACGGTCCTCTGGGTTCATCATGGACAATGCGTCACTGTTTTTGGGACTTGTAAAAGGCCCAGTGACACCACGTCGTCCTGAATCAAATCGGAACTTGAGAGCGTGCATCTTACGCGCGGCTCTTTCTATAAAGACTGGTAAGCCATCTCGTGAGATGATATCGCCAAGTTCTGCATTCAATGACTTCATATCAACTTCGGGCCGTGGGGTTGATAGCTGGTTAGGGTTTCTGGTCGTGCGGCTAGGTTCATCATCATGAGTCCACGGCTTTTGTGTCAGGCCAAATATCAATTCCGCTGTAGCCACTCGATATGATTCAACATCGGTGACATCTTGCAGTGCTCTTTTGGCCTGCTCCCAGATATTACGCTGAATATTGCGGTCAAACTCCTCGGTGATGTCGTCAAGTATATCTTCTGGTGTCTCGTCATCAGTCGGAAAGCTTTGCCGTTGACGGCGACTGCCCTGCGCCCACTGCGTAGCAAAGGCCATGATTGCGAGCTGTAGCGCTTTGGCAGAAGCTTGGTTTTCGGAATGAGTTAGTCGAGTAAGTTTGGATATCGATATCGCATGGTCAAGATTGATCGTGCGACGGTAAATGCGATTTGACCACGACGACCCCCATTCAGTAGGAGCATAACTGCCACCCGTAATATAACCAGGTGCTCTGTAAGGGCATGTTACTTCAGTCAACCAACAAGAGAGATTGTGCTCGAGTACATCATGATATATTTGTAGGAGATTGGTGGAAATGAATTGGTTGTTGGAACTTGTCATCATGGTCTGGTCAATTGAAAACGGCGACAACGAGTTTGTGCGTCGATCCGTCCATGTTGATGATGTGCGCTGACGTTTTATTCTTGTCGACTCATTTCTACTCCAAGCATCGTCGGCAGGAGACCGGGAGTCTCTTGTTCCCGGTTGTGATCCAGGCAAGGAGCTGTTATACTGGTTGGGCATTCGCGACCCTTGCATTGTGTATGTAGATACTGGCAAGTGATTCGCTAAGTGACCATGATGGTGGATGGGAAGTGCATTGCCTGGATTGTATGTTGCTTGGATCAAGGTTGATGTAGAAGGGGTGGCCGTTACGGAAGAATGTGTTATTGTATGAGGGCCAGGCCTTGAGCCTGGCGCATTGGACTGTTGGAAGGCATATGGTGCCGCAGTATCCATTTGCCTTGACACTGGCAACAAACTCTTATCATCAAAAGCTTGTGCTGTTTCAGGCCTCTCCCGCTTCACTCGGACATCTGCGCTCTCGCCAAACGTACCTGGCGCTTGTTGGGGAGGTGGGGGTGGAGGAGGAGCAGCAGCGACAGCACTCACGATAGATGCAGTTTGTATCTGCGACCAAGCCCAGTCCATAGTGCACGTCTTGTTTGTCTTTGCGCAATAGGAGCAAGACTCGTGACCACTTTCAGACGCTGATCCCAAAGAAGAGCCTGCCGTTAGTTACCATGTACCAAGATGTGAAATGCGCCCATCTATTGACTTACCGAACCCATCGCGGTTGCTATTACATGCTGGTGAGCTAGGGCCGAGAAGGGGTGGCGCATCGCATCCTCGCTTCGACTTTCGGCATTGGTCGCAAGCATAATGACTGCGCTTCATGATACCATATGATTGATGCTTTAATGGTTGACAGTCGATGTGACTCGTTACTCTTGTTGCGAGACAGGAGTAAGTGTAAAGGTAGAGAGTAGAGATGATGGGCTAAAAATCCCAACCTGATACGACCTATGGATGGAACATTGGAAGGAAGGACCCCACCACGCTACATCCGCTTCCCCGGGGCTACCTAAGAGGGGCTAGAGCTGCAGGGCCCTATTAATGTAAAGCTTCTATTTATCAAGTAGACACACCTCTTTTTAAGCTCAATTCAACATCTACTTGATGAAATGAAATTCAAATTGATAAGAAAATGGGTATAATACAAAGAAAGGTAGGGTTGGATTCTCCTCTCACGCAAGCTTGGTTTGCCTCTCTCCCCTGCGTGTTGCCATACCACCACCACTCCTATGTCCTGATATTAGTCTTTCCCTTGATCGCTGCAGAATAGGAAGCGCTCGAGCTACTGCCAAATCATCGTAGGCCATCACACTATCCTCCAATGATCGGCCATTGCACAACTGTTGTGCCAAATCCCATCCATCGCAAAGTGCCAGGTTGGCTCCAAAACCAGCAAACGGGCTAACAGCATGATTGCTGTCACCTATAAACACGACAGGAATGGATTCTATCTCCTCATGATGGAAAGGCTTTTTGTCATGAGCGTTGATTGCAAAGACAGTCTTTGGATCCGTGTAGTGTACAATCGTCCTGAACGGTTCTTGAAGCTCTTTGCCAAGTTGAAGGCCTGTCTCAATAACTTGTTGCACCATTTCCTCGTCGTTTAGGTCTAGCCTCGGCACCTGATCCGCCTCGAGATGACCAACACCCCATACAACGCTCTGTTTGTCGACTGGGGAGAAAAAGCACGACACACCAGTTCCGGAGAGCATAAAACCCCAATCTTTGTTGATGGGAGTAGGAGGAAGGCCCTCGAATCGAGAGATACCTCCACGCAAGATAGCCCCAGCAAACTCGAGGCCATCTTCGGGTCGCAGGTTTGTCCGTAGCTTGCTGTTTGCTCCATCGGCTGCGATGAGAACATCGCAAGTTTCCTCCGAGACCACTTCGTTTTCGTTGTACCTTCTTGCTACTTGGACGCACACTCTGCCGTCTTCGAGCCGACGGGCTGAAAGGCAGCGGGAGTTCCACTGTACCGAATCGCTTGGTCGCAGGTTGTTGTGTAGGGCTTGGCGGAGATCTTTCCTTGCTATGCGGATACTAGATGAGGGTAACCCATCAATGGGTTTGTGTCGAAAGCTTGCGTACTCATTCCAGGCCGGTCCCCAAATTTTGAAAGCGCCTTCATCGTTCAGACCAGAAACAGCATTGTCCAGTATCTCGTCAAGGAGACCTAGTTTTCTTAGGGCGAATAGGCCACCCGAAGTATCGTAGCCAGCTAACGATACTGTGTAGCCTTCTCGTTGAGCGCTCACATCAGGAGAATCGCGATCGTAGAGGATGATGATCGGCTCATTCAGTCGAGGATCCCAGAGTTTGCGCAGAGCGATAACGAAGGCTGATCCTGCGACACCTGCACCAGCGACAATAATTGTCTTGCCCTCTAGAAAGTGTTGTTGATGAGGTTCTGAATCCATGTTTTCGATGTGTGCATCAAGTTGTTGCAGGAAACGAATTTCGTCACGATCGGCAGACAGACTTAAATACTCGCGACCAACGTCTAGCCTCACATGATTTCGACCAGAGAAGCAATTCGTCTGTGACAGTTGAAGAAAGAAAAGTTCTCCTTTAGTGATGGATATTGCTAGACAAAAGTCGTGTAAGTCGAATCTTCGGCAGTGATGCATACACTGATTTCCTTTTTGGTGTATACGGATTGCCTAATCGAGGGTTGACAGGGGGTGGTTCGGCATCTTTAGGTGCTACTTTGTCTCGATATTGGACACAAGTTAAAAAGCTTAAGTCAGCCGAGGATATGAAATCTGTCCGGCATTTTCCATCTATTCATGCCCATGATATCTTGCGAGAGACTTTGAAAAGATGTACTATTACCGAGCAGAATACCCTCGTATCTTATGGGGGAAGCGGTCTTTACCGTGGTTCACCCCGTTGTTCCGTCTCAGATTACGGATAGCCACAGATTAGTCCAAATGAAAGCTTGGACTTGCCTGTTACTGATTCCGACCGAATAGGCATCTCGTATACTCCAAGGTCCAGCTGAACCATACAATGGCTAACATGGCTTTAATGACTTTACATGATAACTAATCATGGCTATCTGATTGGTCTCAGTCGTCAAAAAGCTACCTACGTACCAGTTGGACCGTTGGATATACACAAACTTCTGTGCACAAATCTAACTAATTCTCCAAAAATGCCCCTGCATAAAGAAAATGGAATAACAAGAACACTGTATGTGGCTTTGAAGGGTCTCTTGTCTAGTGATAGTCCTTGTTAATGCTGAATGCAAATTCGCACCACCACCCCGCATTGACACCCCCTCCCCTCCATCAAACCTCCAAACCCCACCAAAATATTCATTATTCTTCCAACTTTCCAAAAAGAAAATCTTTATTTCTATTTGCTACCGCCATGGCGTCCGAACTCTCGGCTGCTCCCGTGCTATCGACACCGGACGACCATATTCTCGAGGTCCCTGCCGCAGACTCGATCCCTACCTCGACCCTCTCCGACGATGCCCTTCGCACAACATACGAGATCGTTCGTACCGCCGATGAGATCCGCGCTGGAGGATGGAAGCGAATTGGTTTACAGTTCCCCGATTTTATGCTTGTCGATGCCCCGCGCGTGGTAGAAGCCTTGTCCAAGGAGATCAGCACCCATGATGCCCAAGAGGAGGCCAAACCGGAGAGGAGGATATACGTCCTCGCCGACAGCAGCTACAGCGCCTGCTGCGTCGACGAAATCGCTGCAGAGCACGTCTCGGCAGATGTTGTAGTCCACTACGGTCGAACCTGTCTTAGCCCTACAAGTCACCTTCCTGCGATATATGTCTACACCACTCACGATCTAGATTACGAGGTGACGGTCAACGAAATCAAGAAAGAGTTCAGCGATAATACTGTCAAGTTGGTTATCATGGCCGACTTGACATATCAGAATCATGTTGACAAGGTTGTGTCCCTGCTGAAGGAACAAGGTTATAACGACACCTTCTCTACCGCAGTGACTCGCGACCCTGCCGCTTTGATTCCCAACCGCAAGATCCTTTCAGACGAGGCCCATGACGACGAACACTGGAAGGCCTACTCGATCATCCACATCTCCGATCCGCCCTCAGCGCTCCTACTCGCTCTTTACACACGTTTCGCCTCGCTGCACGTCCTCTCTACACCCTCTCCGGCCCTCGAAAACCCAACAATGCGCACAGCAGGTCTTCTTCGTCGACGATTCGCCAAAGTGCTGTCCCTCGCTTCCGCAGGTGTGATCGGTATTCTGGTCAACACATTATCAGTTGCGAATTACCTGAGTTCCATCAACACCCTCCGCGAGAGGATTGCGCGTGCGGACAAGAAGAGTTACACCATTGTCGTGGGTAAACTTAACCCAGCCAAGCTGGCAAACTTTGCCGAAATTGAGGGCTGGGTCGTCGTGGGATGCTGGGAAAGTGGCTTGATTGAAGATGACGCTGGATACTGGAGGCCGGTCATCACACCCTTTGAGCTTGAGGTTGCGCTGATGAGCGAGGAGGAGCGTGTCTGGGGCGGCGAGTGGTGGGGAGGCATCGAGAAACTTGGGCTCAACGACAAGCCTGCGGATGCGACTAAGAAGTCCGAGGATGCTGATGTGGAAGAAGAGGAGGAAGTCGACGATGTCGCTGGTGGTGTTGAAGGAGAAGAGTCTGCGCCCCCTGAGTTTGACATGCGCACTGGAAAGTTGATCTCATCGAGTCGTCCTATGCGACTCCCAGTCCGCAAGAATCCCGTTACTTCAGACGCTGCCGAGGCGACCGGCGATGGTCAACCTAGTTCAGCCCAGCAAAACGATTCTCTCATCAAGCGCAGTGTTGGAGAACTGGCAAGCATCAATGGCGTGGCAAGTCCAGGAGCCGAATTCCTTCGCTCCGGTCGAACATGGCAAGGCTTGGGTACTGACTTTGATAACGAGGCCAGTACGTTGGTTGAAGAAGGTAGAAGCGGCGTCGCGAGGGGATATCAAGTTGGTGAATCAGGTCGGCATTGAGTACAAAACGAAAACAAAAGTGATACCATTTTTAGCAACATAAGGCGTTGGGATATAGACAAAAAGAGGCGAATATTGAATGGGCCAAGCCACATTTCTTGATATAACAGGTTCATGGTTCTTTTTATTTATTTTTCGTCGGCTCGTTTAAAAGTGTAGTCATAGTGCTATATACAATAGAATCATCAACCGGAGCAGCCTCCAGGGCATGAGCTACGGCAACATCATTATCTAGCTCAAAAGTTCTTTCACTTTCATCTTCTCGTATCCTTCTCGAGAGATAAAGACATATTGAATCGTGTTTTGTTCATAAGTCCGTATAGATTCTCGCATAAAATGGAAAATATGTTCTAGGAGATTTCATAATGCATTAAGCCGCTTTCCTTGCGGCATTCGTCAGGATCTCTTGGCAGCTTGTGCCCTTGACGTGTTGATGAGGACTGGGGTCCCCGGCACGCGTCGTGATGCGTTGTATGCAGGCACCCATCCGGGCACAACGGACAAGCTGGAGAGCTTGCGAAACTACCATCTGGCAGTCATTGGGCTGGGGTATTGTAGTATTTGGGTATGGATATAAGTGGAGAGGCGGTAGACGCCCAAAAAGGCGGTATCCTCGATGTGTTGTTGTTCTGGTCCGTGCTTGCTGGCACTCGAGTCAAGCGCAGCGGCAGCCATGCTCCAGCTTAGACGTAGACACGGCGAGAGTGAGGGCGGCTACGGCTGCTGTGACGAGAGCCAGAGCGAGAGTGGCTTCGGTGGCTGTGACGGCTGGAGTGGTAAGATCGACGGGAGTGGCTGCGGTTATAAGCGCTCATGTGTCCACCGTGCAGGAAAGCGACGACTGAGGTGATGGCGAAAAAGATGACGTTCATGATGCCAAAGGCCCAGCAAGCCTTGAGCATGGAGCAGGGCTTGTTGTTGACGAGGTCGTAGCTGGGGCCAATGACACGAACATTGCCAGCAGAGACATCCCAATCGTCTGAGCGGCGGATGCTGACGCAGTCGGTGTTTTGGACGTAGCGAAGGTAGTAGACGGCAGCGATGAAGGCGCCGAAGAAGAGGGCATCAACAAAGGCGACAAAGTGGGCGTTTGTCGAGGAGCGGTGGTAGCTGAAGAGGGTGAAGATTGCCCAGGCGAGAGCGAGAACCGAGACGATGAAGAGGATGAGGATAGAGTCGGGTGTCAAGGCATTCTGCTTGACGAATCCATCAACGAACCAGGCGAGCATACCCATACACGGGATCTAATTGATGAGTTAATTTGGATGTTCGCAAAAGTAGAGATAAATGGTGGTGTTTTGCTTACCAGAGTGATAATCTGAAGAACCCGGAAAAAGACGAAGAACATTGCGAAGAGCATCTTTGCGGTTTATAGCCTTGCAACTCGATAAATGTTGTATGTCGCAAAGATCTATGCCTGGTATAGAACGGTTTATGGTGCGCCGGCCAAAGTAATAATGATGGGTGCGCAGTGACTTATAAGAGGGTGAGGATATAAGTGATGCTAGTATAGTCAGTGACTAGAAATGAGTGATGATGATGAGGGAAAAAAGAAGGGATTAAGTGGTGAGAGAGAAAGAAGCTGAGGGTGTGTGGGAAGAAAGGCCTGGTTTTGTAGCAAAAAAAAGGTTCGTTCAAGCTATTCAAAACTTGGTGTCAAGATTTCCTTGGTTTCGACATGATTTGAACAAGTCTTGAACTACTGCAAGATGCAATGCATTCGATTCGAATAAGGTGGTTGGTGCTTGGAAATAGATGGCGCAGGACCACGGGGGAGGTGGGATAACCCTTGTAAAACCACCTGTGCACCCCTGTAGCTCCAGCGTGTTGAGTTAGTGGTTGGGCTCTACTTTTTAGGGCCTTGGGCTCATCTTGTTGGGTTTATGCATGTTCATGTCGTGAAATGTCGACCTTGAAACTGGAGATGAGAAGTTATGCATCGGTTATCGTACTCGTCCATATAAATTGAATTATATTGTTATACAGTTTCCCCAGATTTTATTACTGTAAAGTTTTACCTGTTCAACGTTCTTCCTGGACGGTGATGCCGAAATTGGCAACATGACGTCGACTTGCACTAGCAATGCAAGCACTTACAGCCAAATCATCAAACATGTCAGACAACTAATATTAATTGAGGCAATTGAATCACAAATCAAGGCACCTCTTTCTTTTCTATTTAGCCAGGAAGGTCACTATAAGGCCAAGACCATAATTCTAGACCCTTTGATGCAACGTCACAAGAATTCAAGAGGTTGGTCAGCAAAGTAGCTCACAGACCCTCCAAAAAGGTAAAAACACTCACAAAACAAATTGGCTGGGAGTGACAGAGAGAAGACGAAGATTGTATCTAAAACGAGACGGCCCCGCTAAATGATTCACCGTTAACTAGACTAGACCCTTGAACAAAACTACCCCTGGCTAAGAAGTCTATTTTCCATCATCTACAGCGCTTTCGTCGGTGGCTGGTGAATTGATGCAGATGCATGCACAAGCAAGATCCATCTATACTCAGGAACATGATCCAAACTTGCATAAATGCGGTTCAACTACATGTTTCAGACCTGAAGAATACAGTAGTATTCGCCTATAAATCTTCCCATTTCGGCAGATCCGCATCGCAGCAGCACATCAATGGAGCCTTGTTGGAGATAGTATCCATTATTCTTTAAGCGGTGGCTGGGGGGTTCAGTTCAAGTCAAACAAAGATCAACAGGTACCATCGATAGAATTTATCTTAGTAGTTTCACTATTACCGTCTAAGCTAATTAGTTTTCAGTCATTGAATTATGTATACAGATAATCCGTCACTACTGGACTCTCATTCTCTCGGTCTCTCCGGTTTCTCCTCTCTTTGAACCCTGGACGAAAACTTCTGTTCATGTCCGTGTCTGTGTCCGTGCTGATAGATCCACTCATCCCCGGCCCCGTGCTCCGACCTCCGACCGCTCCTTCCGTGTTCATCTGTATTGGTAGATCAAGGTCATTAATGAGACTCAAATCAACCTCATCGTCGTCGTCGTTGTCATCTTTTTTTTCCGTCTCTTCTGTCCAGCAATAAGACCTTTCGTGCGCTCCCTCTCCAATGTTTTCACTCGGCCCCCGTTTCCATGGCGGTAACTTTACTCCCTCGAGCCTTGGACTCAAGTGATATTCGACCTTGTCACTGTACTGTACTCTCCCATCATCCACAGACACAGAGGCCAGTGATTGAAGGATACCGTATATAAGAATCCAACGACTACGTCGTGCCGTCGCTGGACTCATGTTCTCGATATCATCCATCTTCTCGAATCGCTCGAACGCTTGAACAAGGCTGTTAGTGACGAACCCGCTATCAATCTCGCTTTCGTTGTAGCTTTCTGTGTAAGCGAGTCGTATCCTCTTTTCTAACGCGTTGATGTGATCGGCTCGTTTCTTCGCATCGTTTCTTCGAGATGAACTCGTCGACTCGGGCAATAAAGGATATGGATGTGGAATATGCGGGAAGCGATATTTCTTGTCAAACTCAATCATCATATCTGCTATCGGCAAGTAGTCCGTATCCGATGTAATAGGCCTGTTGGTTTGTTTAGACACTAGCGCCACCATATTCCTTGATCTCAGTTCCAAGACACCCCATATAATGTCTCGGTCCACCAGGCCATCATACAGCGCACCAAAGTCTTTTTGAAGCTTCATCACCAGTGTCCGAGTCAGCCAACTGTCATTCTCGGCGGTATTGACTGATCGGTTGTCTTGTTGTGCCGACGCAGGAGGCCAAGATCCGTACTCGCGCTCGAAATGCTGAAGTAACATGTCCTTCAGTCTACCAATTGCTCTCATCTCCGAAACAGTTTCTGGGGTGAATATGTATATGTCCTGAAACCTGAAGCCAGCGAGACGGTCCTCGGCAGCCTGTACGCGGTCTGAAATCTCCTTACTAGCCCTGTCCATCAATTGCCTCGTGCTTGAGGAGATGCGCTTGAAGTCCTTACACTTTTGCACAGCATCGTACATGCCCACGGAGTGCGTGAAGCATTCTCTCCAACCTTCTTCCCACCTGACATCAGGCTCTTCGGCCCACATCAATAGTGATACTGCCACTGAAGGGCTGTTTCGAACATCGTCGAGATCGCGGTTGTATATATAGCGTACTATCTGGCTGACATTGTCGTTGTTTGGAGGCATATAACTGTCGAGCCGGACGTGAAGGTCGGATAAAGCTTCGTGCAAAGACAGGCCTACGAGCGAAGCGTTCAGTAGTAGTGCAAAGAAGTTGCGCGTAGTGATCTGGTGACGCAGCTGGTCGATCGTCTTTGCGTTCTGCGGAGGCGGAAAATGCATCTTGTACAAGACTTGTCCTCCCACATCCCCTATGCTGGTACGTCCTGATGTAGGAGGTGTTAGTAGACCATCTCGAAGGTCTTGCCCGAGCTTTGCCTCATAATATTCACCTCTGGGTGAAGGTGGTGGATTTGCCTGTCCTTCGAGTGAACCTTGATTCAGAAGCGAAGTCAAATATCGACTGTTGGTTGCCTCGATGATGTAAGAAGAGATACGCATCGTAGGCAAGCTTTGACCATTGCGTCCGAGATAGATCAAGACATCTCCATTGGGATCCCACAGCTCCGGGTCTTTTCGCATTTTGTTCCACTTGGTTATGGGTTTTCCTCCTCCACACCAACGTTTCATTTGCGGTGCCGACGCAGGAGTTGCCTGAGGTATTGGCGGCAACTTGCTAGTTGGTGGTGGACCAGCAAGTGGTATATTGCATGAGACCTGTGATCTTGGCGACGGCGAAAGAAGATACTGAGAAGGTGTCGATGAAGATACCGATGGTAAACGTGATTCTGTTGGCGCTGTAGATTTTATATGCCAACCACGGCTCTCAGTAGGACTGAGACCAGGACTAGGGATGATTCTGGGTTGTACAGTATCAGCACTTGGTCGGCTGGGTTCATCATCTTCGTCCAATGGTTCCTCGTCTTTTTCCTTCTTGCGAAAGGTAAATGTCTTTGCTATGGTCTTCCTCACATCGTCGCTTCGTTTGTCGATCATTGATCGCAGTCCGCTCTTCTCAATGGTGCTGTATTCTTCCGGCATGGTAGCTCTCCTTGTTCGTCCATGAACCCAATCCTCTGTTGGCGAAGTAAGTTGGTTGCTCAGATACGCATCCCTATTCCAATCTGGCGCTGTCATTGGGTTTCCTCTTCCCTGCCATTCGCCCCTATTTCCCATTGGCATGGTAGCATATTGTGGTATTGGTGGAGGATACCGAGGAGACGATGTGAATGGGCTGGTCGGCGGGTACGAAGTGTCGACGTATATACTTTCACCACTCGAAGACGTAGCTGCTATAGATTGAGCTCTTCCATGCTTGACTGGGTCTTTACTCTTTGCTTGCGTTGTTTTCTTGCGCGCATATGCGCTTCGTGCCGACATGATTTATAGAACGGATATGGTTGTAAGTGGGTAGCTGTGCAGTGTAAAGAACAACCAGGATAAATAAAAGACAATGGCCCAAGTGTTTCTACGATGAATCGAATGGCGTTGAGAGAGCTGGTATGTAATAAAAGGGAGTAACTACTGAAATTGATGATGTGCAGACTTGCAGAAAGCTGCCGCGTATGGCAAGCAGTGCAGTTGAAATAGTATATATGAGCTGCCAGATGACAAGACGACAAGGAGGCGCAGACTAAGAAATGACAGTCAGACTAACGGTACGCTCCCCGGAAAATAATCAAGTTGAAGAGCACGAAAGCAGCATTAAACCCGTCGAGGCGAGACTCACGTCCCTCTCTTACAAGGGGACGGCCGCAGAGCCGCGGTACAACGCTGCGAACTGACTGATAACGCCCGCAAGTCTTGGAGTTTAGCTAGGGCTGATGTGCTCAGGCTTGTCTAGCGTAAAGGCAGTTTAATGGGGGGCTTTACCTCTCTCGGTACCTGGTATCCGGAGCCAGAATGAAGAGAGGTTGATAAATGCTGTATTTGCTTATGAGTTACAAGTTGTGATGTGAAAAGAAAGGGTTGACCTAAACTCATCATAACCACATGTAAACAATTCGAATAAACGCCACGAAATAAAACGATTCATGCATCCGTGATCTATCATTTAAAAAGCATTTACAACTCTCATACCGGATTAAATTCCGTGTCGATTCATCCTATCCCATAGCCTCCTTGGCATCTGGGCAGGTCTGTGCAACTGATAAGCATCCATGCTAATTAATCCCAGTAAAACTGACCATATGGCTGATAAGAAATAAACCCCAACGCTGTAAGCTCACTCGTCCAGTTCGATCCATGTGCTGGTAAGTAAGCTCTAGGCTCCTTTATTGGGTTTAATTCACCTACTTATAAGAGGAAAGTCACATCGCTTGTACGGGGGAAGTGGTGACAGAGGCGATCATTATTCTTTGCTTTTTGTATCTTGACTTGGTACTTCCATCATTCAGCTTGATAAGAAGATAAGCCAACCAAAGTGTCAGTCAGCTCTTTATTAACTGAATCATCAATTAATGTTTGTAATGGGTCCGACAAACAGATCCAGGGTCCAAAATTGATTCACTTTATTTCCCCCGCGTTGACAAGGACCTTCAATCTTTTATTTATCAGATGGCAGGTGGTGAACTAAGCCAAATACAATGTCAAATATGTCACAGGACTGATGCGATGAATGCCCTAAAAACCTAGGTATATTTAATGATATAATGACGATTTCGACGCATCTGGCTTAAAAAGAATGACGCGAAGCCAAGAAAGGGTGGCTTACTTTTCCATCATGGCCTGCAACCATTTCAAAGCGTCGTGCAGGGCCATAAGCCACGGCATGCACTGATTTAAGGTTGGATGTACTTTAATTGGCCGAAACGATCTTTATGGTGTTAAGCTGTTCTCGGCAATGAAAGTCAGCATTTCCGGCAATAAGAATGAATGATGCAACAGGATTGTAGGGTCGCATTCTTGTCTGAACCAATATAACATTAATACAACGTATAATACAAAAAAGGTAGACCTGTAACGGGCACTTCTGACAGAAGGGTATCTTGCGGCCGTTTCCATGACGCGACATGACATGACAATTAAAAGGAAAGTCAACCAATAAACAAAACTCCGTCGCCATTTCTTTTCCTCCTCAGGTCGACATCACTTCATTACGTCTCCGATGAATTATCTGATTTAAGCACCGTAGTTGTGACCGGGCTTAGTGTCAGCGTGAGCAGTGTGGCCACGTCCTCGCATGAAAGCAAGAGCCTCCATGATGGTCAAGCCAGTAAAGATGGCCCAGATGAAGTAACCGAATGCGACGGCAGCCTGAGTGGATTGGCAGCGGGTGTCTCCGTGGCACTTAGGAACGCCGATGTGAGCAGCAACAGCGGTAGCGCCGGCAAACCAGAAGAGCGAGGTAAGGGCGAGAATACCGAGAGCGATCATGTTGTGGTAGATGCGAGGAGCAAAGAGGGGCGTCAAGGCCAGGTAGAGAAGCATGAGGATGGACCAGACGGAACAGAAGAGCAAGAAGGCGAAGGAGGCAGGCGAGTCGGTCCACCAGTGGTCGGTGAAATCAACCACTGAAGATTTGTTAGTATATTGGATACGATACCTATGGAGAGCAGAGAGTGCTGGGACTTACTGTAAGCTGTGAGGCCTAACTCGATGATGAGAAAGACAGCCAGAACGGCATGTACAATGGTGATGATTCCCATAGACATGATGATGATAGTATGGGATGTAGTAGTAGTAGGTTTATGTTGGGTATCAAGTTTTGTCCAAGGTAGGGAAGACAAAAGACAAGAGAGGTCTGGGTCGTTGAGTAGGAAGAGAGAAAAAGGGTCCAGCAGGGGGGAAGATATAAGTAGATATTAAATTTAAATAATTGACGGGAGCTTCGGAAAAGATAATGACAGTGACTTCTTGTCTTGTCTTGTCTTTTCCCTAGAACAATGACGGTACAGCGTCAGTCATGTGGCTTAGCCCATCAGGGAACCGCTCTACCCTCCAGTACCAGGTACTACGGAGAATAATCGAGGCCAGTTAATGGGGACTACGTCAGTTATTCGGCAGTCAAGACCCCCAAGACCCCTCCAAGACCCAAGCCAAGCGCGAAGCTTTCCCCAAGCGAGGAATGACCCAGTGGTCAGAGCCAATCATAAAGAATCAGTGTCTCGAGATCTGCGCTGACGACGTCCTTGAGTGGCTGACGATTTCCTGCTTTCAGTGCTCGAAGGCGTTTAGAGGGCGTTGCACGAATGACGTGGTTGAGGCCCCAAAACATCTGATGTTTGGGTGATGAGTGTTGGGTGATGTCATTTTGTGGCTCAACATATCCAACACAGCCACTTGTATCTCCCGAATACGAACACCAAGCATTCCTTCATACTCTGGGCAAACACTTACAAGTACTGTACCTACAAGAATTCATCATCACTATTTCAACAAGACAACAGCCCATAAGAAAAATAAACATATTTTCATGACGTGACGCGACAACTCTACAACATTCTATTAGTAGTCCAGTCTAGTTTAGACCAGTCTAGTTTAGACCAGTCTAGTTTAGTCCAGCCTTGACTAGCAATTTCGTCGTTTTCTCGGCCCCATCCGAATCACTACCGATCAGTGATCACCACCAGTATTCCTCTGATCTACGCTACTACATTATTCTTGGCTGATGCTATGCCCAGAGCTAACTATACTGACTAGACCTTGGTTCGGCAACTGAAACCCGGATCCTAAGACAATCTCATTCATTCGCGCATTCATTGTCTATGCCTACCAAGTTCATCATGTCTTGACAAACAGTCTCAGAAAACCATTACGCAAACCACTATTGGCCCATTAACTGGACTTGGCTAGACTTGGAGGCCCCAGAGAGACGCCCAGACATGTTTCGGCCTTGGCAGCTCCGTTTCGAATCGCCAAGTTCATCCGCAAATCATTGGCCCAGCATCATCCTCATCCATCAACCATGTTTGGGGTTTGAGGTTTAACACGAATAACAACAAAAAAGTATTCATTATCATTAATCGGCAAAGTTGCCTTCTATTCTAAATATATCCTCCAATCAAGCCATGTCCTCGACTTTCTTAGGGGGCATGTAGCTTTCTCGGGGTCCGTATACCACTGTCACAGTCGTCGTCTGCACAATCGCCAGCTCCTCATCATCACTGCCGTCCTTGCATGCATCCCATGTTTGAGCCTCCACTGCGGAACTGCCAAACTTCTTAATTGACTCTTGCCTCCGCAATTGTCTGATTGTTTCATCTCTCTCCTCGTCCGGTGTATGTACCGTGACTTCGGTCCTCACCGGTTGCGCCCTGGCAATGGTTTTGAGGTCAAATCCGGAATCTACAGTCGGGCTATCGAGTTTTCCTCTTTTAGATTTTGTACCAACAGTTTCTATCGTCCGGAAGGGGTGTTTTCTCGTCCCTTTGCTGCTCTCAATATCGTCAGATGGTCCTCGTTCGCCAATACATCTTGGTGCGACGCGATAAAAAAAGCATCGGAGAGTCGTCAGTGATGCACAGACAATCAGAAGGTTCGCTTCGATGAAACTGTTTCTAGAGTCAGCAACTGCTTTTTCCAAGAATCGGAGTACACTTACACCCAGACTATCGCGCCGGAAATAATCCAACTGACGTCGACGGCGCCAAAGATTGGAACCAGGAGTACTAGCCGTATTACTGAAGTCACCAGTGTTCTATGCCAAGTTGTCAGCACATATTCTATCATGCTTGTCCCAGCTTTACTTACGCAGAACCGATGGCAAATAGTACAACGAGGCCAGCCTTTTGTCGCCGAGGTATCTGCGAGCGCAGAACCATTGGCAAGGGCATTATCAGGAGGATAAGGTCTGACAAGATTCCAAGACCTGCGGTACAGATATATACCGCCGGTCTGTTCACGCATTTCCCCTCAAGCATCATGTGGTCCCAGCTTTTCTCAAACGGAACGCAGCCAAAAAGGATAACGAGCATGATGGCAAGGTTATAGCCTGCAACAAGAAAGATAACGCCGTATACGCTCCACCGCCACCATCGCTGAGGTGAAAGTTTCCGGTAAAACAGCGCCAGCGCCATCTTGGAGAAGGCGGTGCATACCGCATACAGGATCGGGATGATGAAGGAGAGCTTGGGCATATGTGTCAGCAAAGTCAAAGAAGGTTCGATGAGTGTCCCTTACTAGGTTTCCAGTGTTGAACTTGGCGAGAGGAATCTCCCATGTATGTACACCTGTTATTCCAAGGAAAAATCCCTCTACCCATGGTCAGTATAAGTTGCGAGCTTGAACTCTTGGTGATAACTTACGAAGTGAGATAACTTGCACGCCGATGGAGAAAAACCACCCTATCAAAAGACATGCTGCTTTGTCTCAGCATACGATACAACCCGTGAGAATAAACGAAGTTCTTACCAGTCTCCAACTCCAGCTTGCGCAATATCCATACTTTTACGTATAGATATTGGAGAACGAAAAGGAAAGCAATGCCCATGCCCACACTCGAAGCCACGTATGCTTCTATCTCGTGCCGTCTTTGGGGGTGATCAAAGTTGACCACATAGCCCTTTGGGGGTGGTATAGCGACCGGGACGCCATTGACAACTGGCATGACGGCTTCGGTGGCCAGCGAGGCAGTCAGGGGTATCTTGTTAGGTCGAAGAAATCGCAAATCTTTGGTGGCGTGTTCTTGAAAAGAATGAAAGAAATTTTACACGTAAGTATATGTCGTATGGCCCGTTTTGATTGATGAATAAGTGTCGAGAATGTAGATGAATCGCTGAGATAAAAAGAATGTACTCTGTGCCTCGATCTCAGATCGGGTTATATAAAAAAAATGAACAGTGAAAATGTATCAAAAAGGATCGACCAGGCGCAAACAATACGCTCAAGAAAGAATAATAACAGAATAGAAGAATAGAAAAAGAAAGAGAGATACAAGTCAAGTCAGTCAATGACGAAGAAAGGGTGGAAAGTGAAGACACAAGATGCGACATTTAGGCTTCTTTAAACATGAAGGTCAAACCAACACAACCCATTTAACGCTCCGACCCCTTTCGAAACAACGGCTTCCGTTCGGTCAAACCGTTTACCTTACATTCGCTCCACCAAACCACCCGGAGATTTGCAGACTCGGGCCACTTGGCGATCTAACATCCTGCTACAGAAAGCTTGCGGTACTGAATACCGGTAACTAAACTCTGCGTTTAAAACAAGATAACCAGGCGCCTAGGCCGGATCAAAGGAAACAGTTAGATAGATCCACAGAAGAACGATTCGCGGTTCGGATGGTCTGTCCGGAAGTAGACTTAAGAAACAAACTAAGTCACAAGCTATTTTTAATGTGCCTGCCGGAGTCTGGTTGATGGGAGAAGATGCTAGCTACCCCTATAATAGAACATAGCAAATGTCTGGTTATTATGGTACTTCACAGTAGTAGTAGTATTCGAAATAGTCACAGTTGAGTGGTCTCATGGCAGGCTGATGATATTGACAGTAACATCAGACGATGAGTAAGTTGCTCATTGTTCGACAACTGCCCTACAACAACGCGGCAGGCTAATCAATAGTGCAGGGCTGAAGAAGTGCTAGCGGGGACACCTAATGCTCAGTTCTTTGCAGTTTCCAACTGTCGTTGTTTCAACTAGAGTCTCCCGTAATGCAATGAAAATCTATCTTGCCTTCCACAACATATGCGATTGGCTCAACTGAACTTCGAACCAAGATATGGAGTATCGAGTCATGAATCTTTGATGCGATTGGTAGATCATTTTAATTTAGCGAGAAGCGCGGACGGGAGTTGTTCATCCTGTGCTGTGGAGTGACTATGTTTTAATATCAACATGGAGCGTGCTTCTTCCTTTCTTCGTTGCTTATCCTTAATTCCCCCCTTCCTTTCTCTCTGCGGGGAGTCAAGTAATTATAAGACTTGTTTATACTCAATGCATACTATTTTCGGAAAAGCGTTTCTCGTCATCTCGGCTCCGCTGCGAGTTCTAGCTAGCCTCAATCTTCTCCGAAATTCTTTAATGCTCCACGACTCCGCGAAACATATACCAATTTCACAAACAAGTTTCATGGGGAAGCTAAACCCGTATATCCGAATCTGCATGCATAGGTTGATGGAGTAGATGACGAGTTCGACACCCTATTCGATTTGTGTAACAACTACCTGCACACAATGACAAGCTATCCACAAAGCGAAGGTAGCCAAAAAGCCATTCAACGGTATAGGGTAATACTACTTAAAAGTGATGAAGGCCCCAAAAGGAGAGGTCATGGCGTATTAAAAGATTGTAAATACGATTATTGATCTCACAAGCATTGTGCAAAGAAGGGTACAGTTGAGGTTTTTGGTAAGGGAACCCAGAGTTGATTCTGATTAAGAATTGTTGCGTTGAAATGTTTTTATGTTCCACGTTCTTCACTCAATTAATATTGGTAAAAATATACATCAAATGATACCTTGTAACTCTTCCGGAATATAAAAGCGTTGACGCATGGGCAACATGCCAAACCGTCGAACGGCGTATCAACTCAAATTTCCAACGTCATAACATCAAACCGTCACAGAGGCCGTTAAAACTCAAACTCAACGCTTTTCCATAAATCTTAACCTTAATTCTTTTACTTCAATCCTACAGCTTGAGGCCGAAGCAGTTGGCGTAATACGTGACTGTCGCACTCCAATCCGAGAAAACTCCAACAACGCCAATCTCACGGAATACATCCAGCAACTTGAAAATGTCACCGTCGTTGTTCACGATCTTGGCAATGGTCGAGTAGTAGTAGTCACCGTTGGTAGCAGCGTTCTTCAGAGGAGGGGATCGCTCCAGACTCCAGGTGACGATCTTGAGCCCCAGCTCCTTGGCCTTCTTCGCATACGCGCTGGGCACAATCTTGCCATCCTTTCCAGGCTGGACGAGATAAGGCAGAGGAGGGGCGATGTAGCGCACTCCATCCTCGGCATAGCGAGTAAGGTTGGCCACAGCCGTCTTGAAAGTCTCGGGTGTGTCGCCCGTCTCGTCGAGGTACATAGCCTGACGAGCAAATTCAGGCTCGGCCTCGAGCCAGTACAGGAGGTCATCGTACAAGAAGCTCTGGAGGTAGACGTCGCTTGGCTTGACTCCTGCCTCCTTGTGCTCGTCGATGAGCTGCTGCGCGTACTTCTTCTGAGTATAATCACCATCGAAGGGCATCTTGACCTCGGGCGTCTTGAGCTCGGGAGTGTGCTTCAAGCCGAGTCGCTTGACAAGCTGAATGTGCTCCTTGTGGCTCAGGACAGTGCCACATGTAGAGTACAGGTCAGTTCGCCAGCCGGGTGTGCCCTTGAGGAAGTCGGCTGCGTTGGTGGCGGTGGCATTGAAGCCCTCCATCTTGGCGCACAGAGTCTTGTACTCTTTCAAGGTAATGTCGCTGGTGCAGCACTTTGCGGACGCAGGCTTACCATCCTTGGCAGGCTTGAAGGGTTGAGTGCACTTCTTGTTGAGCTCGGGGATCGTGACGATATTGGTCGTGTAGTGAAGATCGCACTGAGAGTGTCGGCAGACCAACTCGCGGTCCTTGGTGAAAGCAACATCGCACTCTAGGATTCCGGCACCCATACGAGCTCCAGCCAGGTTGGACTCGAGAGAGTGCTCGGGGATCTGAAGAGTAGCACCACCACGGTGAGCAATTGACCACTCTGAAGACTTCTGGGGCTTTTCGGAGCACGACTGGAGCTTCTTCTTCAAAGACCCTTCGTCCATGTCATTGACAAGGTAGTAAGGTCGGGGGCCGAGCTCAATCTGTTTGATGGGCTTCACAGTCTTGAACAGTTCCTTGTCGCCATAGCTGGGCTTGGGTGCGGCCACGGCAGGGTTCACAACCGCAAGGCCAGCAATGAGAGGAGTCGAGAAACGCATCGTGGATGGGACAAGCTGATCAATTGACACGAGGGAAGCAGGTGCAAGAGGGAAAAGACACCAACAAGACTTGGCAAGAATCAAGGAATAACGACCGCAATTGACTCCAAAAGGCTGGATCAAGGACGAGAGACTTCACAACACCTGGGGGTTCAGCAGGCTTTATGGATGGACGGCCTCAACGATCCCCGACTCGATAAGCCTATCTGGGCGAACTACTAGCATGACGTCTGGGATCCCCAGGAACAAGCTCATTCTAGTAGGTGCAGCTCCAACATGCAGTCGTTTGCCAACTCGTTGGTGTTGTTCATCGGACTACGAGCCCCAAATTGAGAAATCACATCGTCGATCACAGCACTTGCAGACCAGCCTCTGCATAAGCACGGGGGATTAGGCGTCGGTGAATGGTCAATCCATGCAATACAACCGTCTTGACAAGCACGTGTGGAGGAGATGTGGGTGTCGTTGGAGGTGTAAGCTAAGGATATGGCTTGGTAGCGTTGCACTCGAGGGTTCAGCTAGTTCAAAGCGTGTTTAGTCCAGAGCTTATGATTTGCCGAGCCAAGCTTAATCGAACCCTTGTACATACCCATGCATGAGGGATTCCTTAACGAACTCAAGAACTTGGTGACGGTGTTGAAATCAATGGTTCAATTGAAAGACTGCATTTCATGCATGTGTTTGCATGGATAACCCAATGCGCCATAATCGTTGCTTTGTCGTAAATGTTACAATCAAAGCTCGTCCTTGACTCCATCACCTTCCCGAATCTTGCGAACTTCCTCGGCTGTCGCCAGAAAGTGCTCAAAACTAGGCGCATCTTCTCCGATGCCCCAAGCAAACACGCCTCCAAGTTTGAGTTGCGGCACGATACGCTCGAACTTGGTCTGAATGCTCGTCTTCGTGTCAAACGACCACCATCGAAGCTCCTGCTCGTCCCAATAATAGTAACTTCCATCGAAATCGTACTTGCCATCAGATCGCGCTCGACTGAACGATTGGACTAAATCCTTAGGAACCTCGTCGTGCCAGCTGAAGCCACCGGTTTTGCCCAAGTCAGCCCCGGTCTTCGGATCCTCGAGGATGGGAGTCGGGCAGCCGACAGGCTTCGCCGGATCGCACCTCTCGGTCATGTACCATTTGACATAATACCCGAGGCCTAAATTGACGCGGCTAGGCGACGCGCCGCGGTTGATATATCTTTGAACGGCTTCCTGAGAGTTTTCAACACCGCTGTGGTGCATTGTGGCGTTGTCTCGGCGGTTCATCATCTCGTAAGACATGATGTTGAGAAAGTCGACCTCTTTCATGATTCTAGGGACAGTTTCGGACGTAAACGCGATCAAATCGGGCTCCTTGCCCGGGACAGCAGCAGACAGGATTTTCTCAGGGCCAAGGGCAGCACGAAGCTTTTGTAGGAGGGAAACAAAAGCCTCAATCTCCCATTCGCGCTCAGAATTAGGGATCTCTTTGTAATCGTCACGATTTCCGCTGTTCTCATTCAGCACATCTTCAGTAGCATTATCAGGCTTGCTCACCCTGGGTATTCCCAGTCAACGTCGATGCCATCAGCCTCTGTCGCTGCTACCATAGCCGCGACTTGGCGTGCCCAACGCTTCCTTGAGAACTCGGTCCTGGCAGCTTCTTCAAAGCCTTGGGTATCACCCCATCCTCCAATAGCTATCATTACCTTGACATGCTGGGGAGCGCGGGCGCGGACATCTGAGACTGAGGTAAACATTGGGTACACATCAGGCTGCTTATCCACATTGAAGAATTCGGAACGCATAAAAGCAATGACGAGGTGAGAAGCGTCTTCAAAATTTTGTTTGGTTGGAAGGACATCGTGCTGCCTAGAGTACCATGCTGTGGTCAGTGGTGATCTTCAGTCTTGATACAAAGCATCGACATACCCAGTAAGGTACATGATACAGCGAAATGGCTCCGTGCTAGACACCGCAGTTGCCATTGCCAAAAGAGCAAGAAGCCAAGCGATAGAATTCTTCAAGAAATGCATTTTGAGTTATGCCTTGTTACTTGAATGATGTTGAAAAGTTGACGTTGACAGTTGTTGGATGGAGTGATTAAGTTACGTCTGGGTGCATCTGCATTCATCTACATCTGCATATGCGGGTCAATTGGTAGGCAGGCACGATAACTGCAACGGCCCGCTTCCGCTTTCCAAAACAATAACTTAGTAAAAAGGAACATCCACAAAAGTACCAAGGTACTACTAATCTTGTTGAATTCAATTACTCGCGAATTAACGTATATTTGATGTCATCTCTTGGACGACTTACCAAGCCATTGCGCCGCCTTTGTATCCATCCTGTCTAGTAACATATACCGAAAGACGCCCCTATTCATAGGTAATCTACACTTTACGGCAGCTAAAACTGCATCAAACGCTAGGCCTCCCAATTGTTTAAACAAGTAACAATGTCTCGTGGTATCGTGTTCGCCTCATGTTCATCATCCAAAGTTTCGTCCGAATCAAATAAGCTCCCGGCTCTTAAGAATCTGACTGAGTTCCTTTAACTGCACTGGCTTGGCAAGAAATAAGTCCAGTCCGTTGGTATATGCGTCCTCCTGCGCATCCTTCGAGGCGAGACCAGAGATGGCCACTATCTGTCTGCGTGGTAGACTTCCCTCTTTCTCAAACAATCGAATTAGTCGTGTTGCCTCGAAGCCATCCATTACTGGCATCGAAATGTCCATTAGGATACATTTGTACGCCCCCCCCCTGGCTTTGTATGACTCCACAGCTTGCTGCCCGTTTGATGCACAGTCATACACTAGGCCCAACTTCTTCATATAGATCTGAAGGATCTTCATATTAATAGCGTTGTCTTCCACTAGGAGGAATCGGGGTTGTGATGGCGTAGGAGCCGGTCGTATGGCTGGCGTTGATGGTAGCGGGGTCTGGGACTCGTCGTCATCCATCCGTGCCCGTTTCTTCTGTGGTGAAAGCTTGGGAGCAAGGTCAAAGTACCCTGCGCTCTTGTTATCAAGTCCATCTCCAGATGAGCCTAGTTCTGCTGCCGGTACAGTTGGTGGCTCATCAAGTACTGTCGAGACGCTGGCACGGTCAGCGGCTGTTGATTGCAGCTTGGTCCACCGCCTGAAGCAAAGCACAAAGGCTTTTGCCAGTTTTCTTGGCCCTACACTATAGCAACCGCCATGTCAGTGATAAGCAGAGAGCAATGGTAACATATAAACTTACGGGCGAGATATAAAACTGAACAGCCCCCAATTTAACCTACGACGTGACCTGTGGAAATGGTCGAGCTGGCGAGCAATTGCGGCGCTGCGACATACCACGACTACTGGGGACGAAAGTTCGCCTCGGGGCTGGTTCGCTATCAACTCCAGGTGAGACTCGTCGCATAAGATCAGGTCGGGGTAAAAGCTTTCGTTTCCTAGGGGGCCAACAACATCCATCTGCAACCAGTTTCGACAAAGCTTCTCCAATAAGTTGTACTCGTCAAATTCCCCAAAGCCCCATCGTTGGCTCTCTGGACCCCCGCGAGGCGACGAAAAGCCATTAATAGAGACGCGTAGGCGGGACAGTTCGACGATCTGGGATTTGAATTCGTCGCGCTCAGTAGCTGTCTCGGTTGATTCAGGGCTAGCAATTTGTAGCGGAATCTTCACGGCGACACGGGTTCCTGTGCCTACTTTACTTTGAACGTGTATGGAGCCGCCAAGCGCTCTCACAAATTTTCGCACAAGACTGAGCCCAAGTCCGGCACCTGAAGAGTGGATGTTTTCTTGAGAAAATGGAGAGAATATGCGGTGATTGAGGTAATCTTGTCCAATGCCACTCCCCGTATCCATGATTTCAATGTGGACAACTCTGTCTCTCGGTCGGGCCTGACCTGGAGGGTCTTGGTATGCCTTGACTTGCACGAAACCATGTGTGGTGTACTTGAGAGCGTTGCCACAAAGGTTAAGTATTATTCGCCGTAAAGCACCGGATTCGACGTGAAAGGCCCAGTCTTCGGTCGGATCAATGTCCAAGATCACAAGAACCTTGTTAAGGCCGACTCCATTGCTGGGCTTTTGGTTTTCTCTCTCGCTGCTTTCTGCCAAGTCCATGCCGTCGAGGCGGGTGTAGGAACCACGGCTAAGCTCTTCCTCGGAGCTACGATCGCCCAGCAGTGAGACAGATTGTTGCTGATAGGTGTGGCCTGTGTGGATACATTCCACGACTTCTTCCACCAGCATATCAACGTCAAGATTCGAGGATATTCTCATCATACCATCCGTTGGCGAACTCGTCTTGTTAGATTGCGTTCCACGCCTTGAAGTCATGCCGAGACTAAGCGGTTGCTCGTTAGACATCCTGGCGAAGTTGTTGATCCTCGTCCAATCGAGCAAGTGATTAATCGTGTCCAACAGAGTCCGCCCACAAACGTCAAGCGAGCGTAGTACATCGCCTTGGAAGACATCCAGCGAAGTATCACGTAAAAGCTCCGCACACAGCACAATTCCGTGCAGTGGAGAACGTAGCTCGTGAGATAGCGAGCTGAGCAAAGAGGTGGTGGCGATCGATACAAACGTGCTCTCCATCATTATAACATCAGCCATGATGACCGTGTTGAACGCCTTGAGATAGCTCAGCTCTCCTTGAACTGTGAAGATGCGAGTTGGTGTCATGGTGTAAACAAAGCACCCTGAAAACCATCGCTGACGGTTCGAGTCCCAGAGAGGTACAAAGGCGACGCTGCGTGCCCCTGGAAAAAGATCACGAATAGCCATGCCTTCATTTCTTCGCGAAAATGGATCTCTTGCGCTTCGTGTTTTTTTGATCTCTCCAGTTGGGTCTTCTTGCAGATCTCGAGCTTTGTAGTCTTGGAAAGCGGCCATTGCAGAGTCCTCGCTGGTTGGATCACTTGAGGCCATCACCCCTTGACCGTCAAAATTAAAGATCTTACCCTTCGGATATCGGCGAAGTAACCTCTGGAGTTGTCGTTCAGGGACTAGTTGACTGCGCCCTGCTGGTGCTTCACCGTTGATACTCGATGATATAGAAGTCGAAAAGCCTAGAATCGGGCACGGGGCTCCTTTTGTTTGGGGGTCGCCGGAACCCCTGGGCGCTGAGACAGAGACATGACCTCGACTCGTAGATGAAGAGGATGACGAAGACGTAGAGCGTTCGTGAGTGTGGGATCCACGCCTAACCGAACCTGACCGAACCCTGCCAGCGAAAGTGCCTACACTTGCATCCAAAAACAGAACCCCTTCAACCTCTATCGACTCTCTGATGACATTGGCAGCTCTGGAGAATATATGTTTTAGCTGGCTATGTCGCGATTCGTCTCCTAAAGCGTCTGAGTAGGGTTGCCTTTCTGTGGGACTAGGACGAGGGGGGCTTAAGGACCTCTTTTCCATTGGACTTTCAAGAATAAAAGTGTCCGGTGTTGCCATTGGTTCCGAGCTTCCAACAGATGGTGCATGGTCGCGTCGATTCTGTAAATTTTGCTGGGTCTGATTAAGTGCCCCTTCTTCGGTGCCAGCATCAGTGTCGAACGCATGAGTGAAACTCGACCGCCAACCAGACATTGTGGCCTTTCCTTCGACGTAACTTCCCAGGCCACGTACCATACGCTCCGCAGGCCGTCGCCCATCTCCAGATCGCGTTAGTTCCATCTGGCCCAGGATGGATGCTGAGATATCTCGCATAATGTGAATGGATGCTTCATCGAATGAGTCTCGTGGTTTGTTGTCTAAAATGCAGAATACACCAATATTGATCCCCCTAGGTGTTGTAATGGGAATGCCTGCATAGAAGCGGTGCTCAGGCCGTGTTTGATAATACCATGTATGTCGAAATTCTTCACTTGTGGCGAGGTCGCTTACAACTCTGATGGGACATGCTGGAGACAGTGTGGTTTGTAACATGTCGTCAACCTCCGGGGGGGTCAATACAATGTCACAAACACCGTAACCCCGAGGTATCGAGGTTCCACAAAGCCAAAGACTATCGGGGCCAGTAACTGGGAGGGTGCTGTGAGCTGATATGGGCATTGCTGGAGTAGCCTCTGCGATGACATGCTGGTTCTGGCAATCGAACAAGGATATCATGGCACGAGTGGCACCGAGCCTCAATAAGGCGACTTGTGCCAAAGCTGTCATGGCAGGATCTGAGCATGGTCGCAATGAAGAAGGAGGAATGAGATTTGTAACATCATTGCGCACCGAGTTAGCAACAAGGACCGAGTCGTATCTGAAATCTGGTCAGACGTTACAGGCCACGATGGGTGAATGGTAAAGAGAGTGCCCGACAAAACCAGCGATGCGCACGTACTTGAATGTCTCTCGCTCTCGAGTCGACTCGGACACCTTGCCAGCCGTCATGATGCTTGTACGTGCACATGCACGAACGGCACATACAAGCTGATGGAATGTTTTGTCAACGTTTAGTTTGGTTGTGTTCAGGAACAAGGCCGTCGAAAATAGTGGCCTGGCAGAATTCCTCAACTAGACCAGACCAACCTTGGATCGGAAGGACTGGTCTGGGCTACTTAAGGACGAGTTATTAGTAGATCGAGTGAGTCCACAGGCTCCCACCCGTATGGATATGTTCCGGAGCTACCTGTTGCCACCCCGCCCTGCCCAGCCTGTGAGAGCCCGGTTCTGTGGCCCTTGAAAAGTATGCTACAGTGCAGTGGAGCTTTCCGTACTTAGCAAGGGGATCTACCACGTAAAGGACGGGAGATCGATCGATGGACTTTATCTAAAACTCCATTCTTACTGCATGGGCATTTTTACTGAGTCAGACAGCGGATTTGTATGGTTGGGAAAAAGGCAAAAAAATCAAAATTAAAATATAGGAATATGTACAATGTTTGCGAAATATTCTACGGCTAGGTCAATTCTGATTGAACAAGAGGTTTGTGATGATAGGATCTATCTGATTAGAAATTAAGGCACCTTGGGTCGAGACCGCTGCGGATACCTTCCAGCACGATGTTTTGCATAAAATCTCCATGGATATTACACAGTGCATTACGGTGTTATCGATAACGCGCGCACGGATGATATTCCGTCGCGACTTCTTTTTTTCTTCAATGTTACTCTGGCAGGTGCTTGGGAAAAAACAGGAATCTAAGCACTTGCATTTTCTTTGCCTGACACGTACAAGTTGCTATTGCTTTCCAAGGCCTTTTCAATCAGTCTGTCTGGTCAACTTGATTTCCAATTGTTGAATTATATCTATTCCGTCAAACAAACCGTTCGAATACATACGATACTCAGCTTCAAGGCATACATAAAAAAAAGTCAGGTGCTAGAAAGAAAAGAGACAAAATCCGTAAGTCAATTTATGCTGTTTGCAATAAACTCTTTGGCTATTTATTTTTGTACCCTAAAGCTGAGAGAGGCTAACTTTTCTGCTACTTACTCGCTAGACATCGTTTGTACTTCTCATCAATCAACTGCATACAATAAGCCTTCATCATGTTCGAGAATACTTGTACTTTACCTCTTTCGGCGGATGTTTTCACGACCGCTCTACACCCTTCCGAACCCCTTCTCACGGTTGGCCTCTCAAGCGGCCATGTTGAAACTTTCCGGTTGCCGTCTGGCTCTTCCTCAGACGAAAGCGCCGATGGAGACACCAGCGTATTGAGCGATGGAAAAGGCATGATAGATTCGGTTTGGCGCACTCGACGTCACAAGGGGAGCTGTAGATCTTTGGTCTACGCTATGGACGGCTCAGGTAGGATTTATCGACCTTGATTGATATCTGCTGCAGATGTTTACTGACGCGCTATAGCTGTCTACTCTGCCGGAACCGATTACCTGGTTAAGCACTTCGAGCCCACGACTGGACAGGTCGTTTCCAAGTTTGCCGTCCCGAAACAAAGAGATATGGATGATGCGCCAACTTTACTCCACGTCCTGAATCCCCAGTGCCTTCTTCTAGCGACTGACTCTGGCGCCCTTCACATATTTGACATTCGAGACGGTACCCCGGACAAGAAGCCTGTCTCATCACACCGTCCTCATTCCGATTACATCTCTTCTGTTACACCTCTGCCGCCGACGCAGATGAGCACTAGTGGATTTCCTAAACAGTTTATCAGCACTGGTGGTACTACCCTGGCTGTAACTGATTTCAGGAGAGGAGTGATGGTCCGTAGCGATGACCAGGAGGACGAGTTGTTGTCTTCGTGCTACATCGCGGGCATGGGCCCCAAGGGACACCGCGAAAATGGTGTCTTCGCATGCGGTTCAGGCTCTGGAGTGTTGACTTTGTGGGACAAGGGAGCCTGGGATGATCAGCAGGAACGAATCATTGTCGATGGCGATAAGAGGGGTGGTGAGAGCATTGATGCCACGGTCTTGATCCCAGAAGAGATGGGACTTGGAAAGAAAGTCATTTGCGGTCTTGGTGACGGAAACCTACGTGTTGTCGATGTCGTCCGTAGGGAGGTTGACTTTGCGGCCAACCTGCGTCACGATCATATGGAGAGTGTCGTATCACTAGGCTTCGATTCTATGAACCGACTTATCAGTGCCGGTGGAAAGACTGTCAAGCTTTGGGAAGAGCTTTCTGCTCTCCAAGGCGATGGTAGCGATGATGATGATGATGATGATGACGACGACGACGACGACGACGACGACGAAGAAGAGGGGGGCAATGGTAAACGACCTGCAGAGAGCGACAGCGAAGAAGACAGCGAGGTAGACCAAATCGCAGAGATGAAGCAACGGGCCAAGCGACGTAAAGAGACCCAGAAGTCCAAGCTTGGGCAATGGGGACACCACGGTGTCATAGGTCTTGAAGGCCTGGACTGAACCCAACCATCTAGATAGTGAGTAGCAGAGAGGATAACCAAGCTATGCGATACAAGAATAAATATCCTTAGAGTATAGTCCAAATGGCTCAAGTCAACTACTAAACTTATTTCGTCTCTTGTACTTCGAGCGGCCAACGTTTCTGATATCCTGAGGCCTGTCTCCTAATGTGATCCAGCCAAAGGTCAAGTGTGCATATTTTTGGATGAAAACTACAAGTGTGTCCAATCGGAGCGGGTTCAATGTTGACAACCTTTCGTGTTTATAAATCTGGCTATCTGAATTTTTTTTTTTTTTTTTTTTTTTTTTAAGAAGCCCACCCTAGGAGGTGGACATCCAACGACTCATGTGCAGTTGGTAGTCTTCCGAAACGAAGCACGATCACATAGTGAAATAACCAACAAGAACCCATTCGTGTTTGAGTCGGTAGAGGGTATCGTCCTCAAGCGATGCTACACGACCGAGAACGATACCTCATTGAGGCCCAGTGGCCTCATGTTTGACTCGAGGCCCAGTAGCCCCTTATGATGAGTCTTCTCGAAGCCCAGTGGCTTCGGAATGCAAGTGCACTTTTTCTATCCCAGCGAGGAAGTAAATACCTCACCAGCCATGACATGGTGACAAGGTTTACATCTGAACTGGTGACTAGAGAAAGGACTTGAATCAGCATCCTCCCTGGGATTACTCTACAACAGAGAATCCTAGAAGATTCAGCCGTTGGTCGGCGTCTTGCAGAGAAGCGCCCCACGTCCTGTTGCCTTTGTAGAGAAGTGATACAGAGCTCTGTAGGGAGGAGGGCTGAGTGTCGTTCGTTCCCTGTGGTCCCTCAACGCTGGTGGGATCATTAGGGTAATCGGCGGCGTGTGTCCGTGTAAATATCGCATAAATCATCATGATCCCTGAAATCGGTATGCGGGAAATGGGATCTGGAAATAGAAAAGGAGGTTAAAGACTCCTCGAAGATTATGACGGTTTAGTGAAGAGAATGGTGAGTACGAAATTGTCGTATATGACAAGCTCCTGGTGGTTTTAAACGCCAGGAATATGGAGATAACTCCAGCACGCATCTTCAGACTTGGGCGATTCATCGGCTCGAGCAAAGTCCTCCATGACTTTCTCATCGCTGGGTGCCGAGAATCGGGTGGGAGAGCTCATGGTGAGGTTGTCGTCGTAAATAATAACGGCAGGAAGTGTCTTGACTTCAATTGCAAGTTCCCTAGCTTCCTCTTCGGTTACAGAATCGCCGGGCCTGGCACCAGCGTGTAGTTCACTTCCGCTATAGGTCGCGGGGATGCAAATATGAGGAATCCCTTTTCGTAGGCTAACGGCTCGAGCCAAAGTGACAGCAGAGCCACCTCCAATACTAACGACGCAGTCTCTGCTGGAGATACTGGAGGGTACGGAAGTGACCCCTGAGCTTAGAATTCGACTATCGAGGTTCGGAACGATGGCCTGGATTTTGCGAGCGAGATTTGATCGTGAGGGGCTTGAGATTATGAGGGGCGACGACAAATGCAATCGAGCCAGCTCAGATGGCAGTCGATGGATGGTACCGGGACCAACAACTATTCGCGGTTTAGAATGACGGTGTGTTCGTCGATGTCGAGATGATCGTGAGCGAGAGCGAGAGCGGTGGGTAGTGCCAGACGGACCCGGACCCTGATTCGGACCCGGATGCGGACCGGCGTGGGAACACGGAGGAGACAAGTTAGTAGCTGGCGGCGTCACGAGAGCGGACGCCTTGACAGTAAAAGCATCAAATAGCTTCGCACGTATGGCGATAAGATCTGGGTCTGTGACTTTTTGCGGCGAGAGACGATGTATGGCGCTGGTAGAGCGTCGCATGAAGGGCCGACGCCGGCAGTCCAGTCCGGATAGTCGAGGGAGGAAGAGCAAAGTCCAGCGTGTGCAACATCAATCAAGTGTCCAAAATGACAGAAAATAGTTGAAGACGTTTGATGGAAGAGAAGAGAAAAATGGGCAAGAAGATTTGATGAAAGATCAAAGATTCACAAGTCAGAAACATAGCACGACGAGGTAAGCTAGGGCAAGCAAGATTGGCGTGACCCGGCTGGGCTACCTGGAGACAAGATTGAGTGAAAATCCCTTTTCCGTTGCACCAAACAACGACACAGACACGGTAGCAGCACCTGTAGGAAGCGACCCTTTGCTGTGATTTTTTTCGCCACCACGCTTGGTCACTTTGTCCGCTCGCTTGCCTGGTACTGCAGAGGACACAGACGCAGGGAAATTTGCTTTGGTTTGCTTTCCTTTCTCCTAATACAGTAGTAACAGTACAAAAAAAAAGGGTCCAATGACCAGAAAATAATGGGTGTTGGAGTGGCAGTGGCAGGTGCAGTGGCAACTGTTGACTAGATGGACTTTGTGTGTTTCTTTGCTTTGTCGCTGGACCCTGAAAAAATGATAGTACTTCAAAAGGGAATTCACCCTCAATCCTTAAACTCAACATTAGAGGTGGTTTTTCCGCACCCGACGTGGAGCATGACCCCCGAATGTGGAGCACGATCGGGACATATGATCTCATCTGGCTCGGAGCAAGTCCGCCAATGATAAACCCGAGTTTGATCATCCTTCTGTGTCTGTGGCGAGGAGATTCATAGACAAGACCAAGTAGACAAGGCCAAAAACCGCATCCCTTTGTGATAAGAATTCACCATTGTCAGAGTTGATCTCGAATGAGATATTCAATTATTGAATGCTCACGATTTCACTATTGGTCACTTTCTCCACGCCACCAGCCAGGTTGGGTTAGTTGAGCTGCGAGGACTAAGAGCTAAGCTTTGTTGATTCTGATAGCCATAAACAGCCTCGCTCCCCTTGCAAAACACCACAAGGTGTCCCTGACTACTGAAAGTCTAACAAGTATTCTTCCGACAGCTAATGTTAGTAATCGGAAGGCAGGTTCAAAAACGTGTTTCGAAACAGCACTTCTTCATGCCTTGAACATATACTTGTTCAGTTCAATAAGTAATTAAAGCAACAGATCCTGCTTCGCCCTGGGTCTGCCAAGCACAGACAACTGGGGAACATACTAAAAAAAGTGATTTTACCCCAGAGATTGTGGTCCGTGATGCCGATGCATCTCCACCATTGATACCATTGCGGAACCATCGTGAATCAGTCCTGGACGTATTGCTTTCCGAGTGGTATAGTTAAAACTTGACGCCTTTAGTGTACCTAAGACACGAAGAAATTCAGGTGCTTTTACTGTCTTAGGCTGGCTTTTGGCCTGCTACAACTTGTACTAAGATATGGGGGCAAGATGTTCGTGTATGCCAGACATATATCAGTAGTCAGTCCTATCACCAAGCTCAAGATTATGATTTATTTGTAATTGCTTGCTGTACAGTGGGTGGCATGTGGTGTTGTGCATATTTTGATGTCCTTTAACCAGACTCCTTGTTTGTAACCTGTTGGTGTACCAGCGATATCGGTGTATAGGGTATGCTGATTGCCATGGGTCACCCTTATTTGTAACTAGCGATAGTTCAATTCAAGTTAACGGTATACTACGATTGCATCCTGATTGTATGCCAACTCTTCAAAATAGTACCTATCCAGTAGGGAATGTAGTTACGTTTTGTAACATTTGTAGATGTGGATTGGTGGGCAGACTGCGGCAGTTCCCAGTGCCTCCCGCTCTTAGCTCCTGCCTCTCGCGGTTCGTCCCCTTGCTGGCTGTATAATATCTTCGACTCTTTTCCTTCCTCATCATCTTAACAACGTATTGTGCTTTACTCATTCAAAACGTTTGATTGTTCTTACTACAATTGATGAATCTGTTTTTCTTTCTGTCGGGTTCATCTATCTTGCAGCTCCGATAACAACAACCTTTACGGGCGACACCGTGCGATTTTGAGCACCTCTCTCTGTCAATCAACTTCATCGTCAAAAGCTGCAGCGACTGCGCAGTCGCCCGATCCCGTTCACAAGCACCCTAATAAAGGATTATATCACTGCCGGACGCTGCCGACAGCCGGAAACCCCTCGCATGTATCATATCTGATAAGCTCTGAGCTGGCCGACGGCCCAAAGCTGGGCACAAGGAAAAGGTGTGCTCCCTCAACCAGTGTGGCGTTCGCATGCCTGCATAGCGTGTACCGGAGATAGACAGAATCGAAATGGACGACAACGACTTTCCCGTCACGTCAAGACCAAGCCGGCCTTGTGCTCTTCAGAAAGGTCTCCAACTGGCTATTGAGCTTGTGGGCTAAAGGGTCTGAAATGTGTTGTTTAAGATACTACTTGAAGGCATAACTAGTCAATTGAAGTATGGAGGACAATGGGTTCGGACAATTACAATATTGCAACTTGTCCCGAATCCACGGCGACGGGCGATGCGATGACCCCAGACGAAGCGACGATGCGCTATCTCATCCCCTCGATCTGACCCCAGCTCGATAGTCTAACTATTTTGTGACAGGCTGCATGCCTTCGTCCCTCCCCCACGCTTGGTACAATGTCCAATGACACTTTCTTGTGTTGATAACAGCTCTAGCCTGTCCATCATAGGATTTCTTCAACCATTAAAAGGAAGCAATGGTGCACCCCTCAAAATCCTAGAGATGGACTCTCAGATTACCATCACATGTTTTGTTAACCGATCCCGTCGGTTGATATCCGCCTCGCCTCACCTGGGTTTCTTTAATCTTTGAGCTTGGGCCCGCAACTGCCCACTTTGTTCCTCTCCAACCATTCAGCAAGCATCCGGGGATCAGGAAGTGCTGATAAGCTATCTAAGTTATCTCTGGGATCCACGAGTTATCAATTACACATCTTGAATAACTAACACGAAAAATACCTCTAACCACAGCCGACAACGGCCTCGTCTGGTTGCCAATCGAGTTTTGTGCCTAGAGGCGGATTTAATTGGAAGTTATAACCACCAATTGACCACACTCAAACTCCCTGTTCATCTTTGTCTGATACTTAACACAAGGCCATCTGACTTGAAGTTGATCGACATCAAGATACCTTATTAGCTTCGCTTGTTAATGATCGACACCCCGGACAACCTTTAACACACACTCCAACGTTGGCCCATTTCGGATTTCTTCACACAACTTCAATTCACCACTTCAACAATGGATGAGGATCAAGGACCACAATCCATTGCGCCTGAACATGCACCGTCCAAGACAATTGCTCAGCGTTGCAATGGTCTTGTTAAAGCGTTCACAACTAGACACGGTCTGATCGGCGATTACGACTATGGCTTCCTCTTTCGGCCAAACCTGCCTTTCATGAAGAAGAGCGTTAACCCAAGCCCTTTCTTTGGACTCAACGACAAGATGCCAGTTCTTCTTGGTTTACTCTTGGGGTTCCAACATGCATTGGCCATGTTAGCAGGTGTCATTACGCCACCCATTATCATCAGTGGCAGCGCCAATCTATTGCCTGAACAACAACAATACCTTGTCTCGACTGCCCTTATTGTCTCAGGCATCTTTTCCGCTGTCCAGATTACTCGCTTCAGACTTTTTGGCACACAGTAAGTCTGGCAATTCAGATAGCTTTACCGAATACCGTGCTGAAAATTATCCTACAGATATTATCTCGGTACTGGAGTACTGTCAGTCGTGGGCGTGTCTTTTAGTGTGATTCCCGTAGCGCAAGGAAGTCTCGCCCAGATGTACGCGAATGGCTTTTGTCCTTCCGACTCTGACGGAAACCCTTTGCCCTGCCCTGAGGGATATGGAGCCATCCTGGGCACCTCGGCCGTATGCGCTCTTGTCAACATTCTAGTTTCTTTCATCCCTGCCAAGTTCCTGTTACGAGTACTACCACCTATCGTTACCGGCCCTACAGTCATGCTTATTGGCATCAAGCTCATCAAGTCGGGTTTCTCCAACTGGATGGGAGGCAGCGGAGGTTGTATGACAGCTACTGATGGATTGTTCGCCCTGTGCCCTAATATCAACGCACCCCATCCTCTGCCCTGGGGATCTGCAGAATTCTTGGGCTTGGGATTCTCAGTATTTGCCGCCATCATCTTGTGTGAACGATTTGGTTCACCTATTATGAAATCCACGTCAGTCGTCATTGGACTGCTGGTAGGGTGCATCATCGCTGCCGCTGCTGGCTATTTTGACCGATCCGGCATCGACGCAGCTCCTGTTGCATCGTTCGCATGGGTGCACACCTTCCCACTCTCAGTTTATGGACCTCTAGTCCTTCCTCTTATTGCAGTTTACCTTGTCTGTGCTACTGAAGCCATCGGTGATGTCACGGCTACATGCGATGTTTCGAAACTCGAGGTCACTGGAAAGACTTATGAGTCTCGTATCCAGGGTGGTATCTTGTCTGATGGTCTTGCAGGTTGCATTGGTGCCCTGATGACAATGACTCCCATGTCCGTCTTTGCCCAGAACAACGGCGTCATTGTTCTCACCCGCTGTGCTAATCGTAAAGCTGGTCTTGCTTGCGCAATGTTCTTGGTTATCATGGGCATTTTCGCGAAGTTTGCTGCGGCCCTTATCGCCATACCGTCAGCTGTTCTTGGCGGCATGACTACCTTCCTCTTCAGCGCTGTTGCTGTCTCTGGAATGTCAATCATCGTCCGTGGTGTGCCATTTACTCGACGCAACCGCTTCATTCTCACTGCTGGCTTTGCTTTGGGTTACGGCGCCACACTTCTTCCAAATTACTTTGACAATGTCTTCACATATAAGGGAGACAATCGCTCCTTGCAGGGATTCTTGGACGCCATTGTACTTATTATGGAGACCGGATTTGCGATTGCCGCCATAGTTTGCGTGGTATTGAACCTCACACTCCCCGAAGAGCTGGGAGATGATATTGATGCTGCACGATCGACAACGAACATCACGATGCACGAGGAGACAGAGCAGAACAAGGCCATCGCGGGATCAAGTCGAGATCATAGTATTGATCCGAAAAAGGAGGGTTGATGACGGGAATGAAAAGCACATATGCCTGGCACACGAAAATTAGTACGGTTCCTGTGTTTATGTAAATGATTAGGAAAAGACGGATACCATGAAACACATGAATTTGTTAAAAATTGGATCAAATGAGTTCTATTTGTAACAACTGAGGCGTTTCCACTATTTAATAACTCCCGTACCGAAATGATACCTGCTTGAGATACCAATTACTCAACACCTTAGCCACCAAGAGGTTGACAAAAACAACGTCCCTAAAACTCCACGCCCGTCCAGATCGTTCATTCATTATATGGCATTAACCCGTACCCTCATTCACGTTAAATTTGAACTTTATCGATTAACAACCACCTGTGCTGAGTTAATTCGTCACTCCATACACAACTTGTGATCTACCCTCATAACGCTGCTTGTGGAAGTTGTTCATCTGCTTCCTGTAGCTCTGTTGCACCTCGCCCCATAGTCCACGATGTCCATTTCGTATACATTCACGTGCATCGGCTTCCGTTTTGACCTTGCAGTGACAGACATTGGGCGTGCCACAAAAGTAGGCTCTGGCTCGAGGATTGGGGAACTTGATGCTGAGTCGCTTGAGATTTGGCCAATTGGCACTGCTGCTTGTCGAAGCTGGATTGTTGAGTGCCAGCCGGGCTAGATTCCAGTCCATTTCGCCATCCGAACTTGACTGTTCATGCCGTCGGGCTGCAACAATAGAGTGCCCCTTCTTCTTCTCGATGGCCGCGATTTCACAAGATGCACCATCTCTTCCCGATTTACGGCAATCACAGCGTTCAGGATTCATACTCGTTTCGTCATCTATTTGAACCGTTACGAACGAGAACTTGTCGCCTTGAAGGCTTTGTGTAAAAAGAACAAGCATTGGCTTTACTGGACGCTTGTGGAGGAGACCCGTGGAGTTGGTTCCGGTTGAAATGCTCACGCTACCAACGTCGCTGCTGGAGGAATTGCTGTTGTTTGATGTACCACTAAAAATACTGAAAGAGCGCCCATTCCTAACCGTAGTTGTAGTTGTACTGTTGGACCGAGCCGCAGCAAGAGACGCGGATCGAGCGGGCGACGCAGATGACCCGACAGGTTTTCGAGGGAGCGATTCGCGCGGCGGTCCTTGTGTTGGAAAGAAGTTCTGCCTTTGCATAAGCGGCGATCCGATAGGCTCTGGGGAGCTTCTTGTTGGCCAAGACTCATAAGGATCAAAGCCCACAGGTTGTCTTTGTGGGATTGTGACAAGACTTGGATGACGCCCGGAAGGGCTTGTTGGGAATCTATCCCTGTTGTTCCCACTGCTCACTCCAGGGGGCGAGCTCCGAATGGAAGCTGAAGCGAGTGACGTGCTGGGTTGAAGCATTGAACTCGACGCAGGAAAGCTTTCACCCACTCTAATGGATGAGTCTCGAGTGGTAGCTGAAGCAAGTGTCGATATGGAATTTTGTCGGCTAGTCACTGAGCCGTTGGTCGTACTGGCAGCGGCGTCACTATTTGTGATAAGCGAACCTGCGGTTTGTTTAGGTACCCAGAGTTGGAGTGAGGCGTTCTCCATAATGTTATCGACTCCATCAAGGACAAAGATGACTTGACAGTCGTATTGGGTGTAAGAGTCCCACGGCTTGAAACCTGTCACTGCTTGCTGAAACTTTAGTATATCACCTCCATCAAGGAAGTCTAGCCTTGCTATTCTTTCGTTCTGCCGCATGATGATTTCTTGCGTCATGTGGGTACCGATAGGCAAGGCGTATTGGGGGTTAAACACCATGGAGGTGACGTCGAAATCAATGGTTTCAGCTATCGGAGTTAGAAATTGTATATCGTGTAAAAATCACAAATTGATTACCTTCTTGTCTCGGTCTTCCAGTAGCCGCTTGTTCTGAGCCTGACATGATGACTCTGAAGCGCCGCCCATCGGTATCTAGCCTACGAAGCAGCTGGGCTTTCTTTTCAACACCTGCGCTATAGCTTCGTAAAGGCCTGAGGAAATTAGAGGCTGTGAAAAGGGAGGAGAACAGACGACTTACACCTCAAGGAGCTGCTCCATCATCTCGTCCCTGGTTACCACGTCGACAAGAGGGGCAGGATCCTTCTCGGGCCAGATAGTAAACATGTCTCTCTTGAGCGTCGAAGTGATGATTCTGGGCGTCACCAGCTCTGTGCCAAAACGGGAACATTGCGAAGAAAGATCCTGCCAGAGTTAGTATCAGGTGTTTATTTGCAACCATGATCTTACATCTTCTAGTTGTCGAGTATACGAAGGCCAGTGTGATGTGTCTTTGTTCGCTGCTTTGAGGGTTGGCGACGCCTGCATTCGTTTGAAAATCCACACGCACTTTAAGAGGTTGAGATACTGATCAACAGCTGGGACACGATCCTCAACCAACATTCCTGATTGGAAATTGATAGTGCTCCTGTGAAAGTTTAGTATGAATGCATCCGACAGTTCACCCAGCTCAAAATCGTCCTCAACACGGTATTTCGGGTGACCAGTAAGAGCAGCAAAGCGAAACTGATCGTCCAAGTCAACGGGAACCTCTAAGAGAATGACGCTTCGCTGAGTCCGTTGGTCCAGTGCATCGTCGAGGTCGGGGATAAGAACTCCCATCAGACGGCGAATGTCATGGTGCACGATAGTGATCCGTTCTGCGAGGTCTCGATGCATGAGCTCAATGTCTTGTCGCACGCGAAGAAGGAGGTCACTTTCCTGGTTAGCTTGCTGGATAATAAATCAACAACTTTGACTTACACCTCTAACGGTTTCAAAACATGAAGAATTTTGGAGTTGTGCAGCATAATTCTCTGGCGTAGTTGATCGGCCAAAGGCTGGACAAGTACGTTCCACTCTATGTTGCGTAGAGGTTTGCTCCCCTTCCCATACCGATCGTTGGATACAAGAAGTTGACGGCATTCTCGTAGCGTAATCTCATAGTCTCCGATAATTTCAATGAGTGAAGTTCGGTCCCATCGTAACCTTGCTGGCACTCCCGGTCTCCGTTGGCTTTGAAGTGAGTCATCTGCCCATGTAATCACTCTGCTAAGAATATCGAGGTTTTCGGCCAAGCCTCTGACATCTCTTCCAAACTCTGAGTATTGACGTGCTAGGAGATTGTCAGATAATGAGAACCACATGAGACGAATTCACGGACGATCAAAAGACGCATATGCTTGTCTCATTTGCGTGATTTGTCGCTGATCGTTCGACGCGGATAGGGAAAGCCTTGCAAGGCATAACATATGTATAGAAAGCTAAGGCACCGGGCTCTGCACTTACTCGCATTATAATCTTCTTTCCAACCATAACGATAAATATCCCAGGCTAGGCGCCCAAGGTTGAGGATATCTCCAACCTGTAAAGGACCTGCCATCGGACGCTGCTTTAACTATTCACACACAAAAGAACTTTAAACAATACGATTCTGTAATAGGAAGCTGACGACGATCACTTGGGTAAATGCAGCGTCGATGGAACCTCTGGTTAGTTGAAGACAGGTTAAGGGCAGCAGCACCATAAAGAAGTCTTCTCAACGGGGTTGTTCCTTGAAATGTGAAGGAAGAAAGGTGGCACAGAATCTGAACCTGACCGGTTTGATTGGCATGAATGACACCCCCAAACCGACCTCAGGGTGAAAGATGCAAGGGCTAAATGAGGTGTAGCAAAACAAGATAAGAGGCGGATGTGCAAGTCCTGCATCCGTAAGGCACGTACACATCCAGCGTGGCTGGCAGCAAGTAACTCAAAGTGAAGAGTCAAAGTAGAACGAGCAGCTTCCACAGGCAGCTAGGCAGATTCACACGGATGCGTGGCTGATTCAAATCATAGCTGGTCACCCAGGCGGGTGACCTGCGCAAGCAACCATCCGTACCTGGTAGCGGGGTAGAGAGAAGAAGGGCCGGGGATAATAGCTTGTAAATTCTTATCAAAAAGCACTTGCATGGGATTCCCGAGACTTTGGTCGTTGAGATAAATGGTTTCTCTCCCCTGCCTCTTGTTCGCACCCAAGACAGGGATCAGAAAATATGGGATGGCAGATTTCTTGTTTCCAGGCCGAGTACATGATTTCCAAGCTACAGTCCAGACATGATTTCTCAAGAATGAGAATGAAAACTGGGCGTCTTTTCAGCTTATCTTGGCATTTCTGTAAGTATCCCATTAATTTATGTTTGAGATCATTGGGGCTATGCAATGCAAGGGTGATGGATTGGTTGTTTGAGTTATCTGCGTGTCACCAAGACGCTAGAATCGCAACGGCTAGCGTTCATGGTTCTGTTGAAAGGTATGTGCAAGGCGTTTTTGGCAGATGGTAGATAACAAGGCTGTCGGGTTTCCAAAATGAGGGGAAAGTCTGCCTAGAGTGACAAGGGAACTGAAAAGGTCACACGATGGTGATGAGGCTTGAAACGCATTGGCTGTTTGGTCGGTCAACCATTCTGGACCAAGAGCTGAACGCCCGGCTTTGGTGTGATCGCCATGCCTTGCAGATACAACGTTGAGGGCGTTACTTAACACCCATGGATCCCAGACAACCATGGTGAGTAACCAAGCTGAATTTGGCTGTTTGCCTTTGCGCACATCAAGTACAAGACCCCGTCGGCTTGACTAGATCCAGATGTCAGGACTGGTTCAGGATTATCTTATCGCTCAAGCTGCCTCCAGATCAACCGAGTCAAGTCTTGTAAGTCCATCTCGAAGGGCGACTGACCTCTGAAAGCACAATCATGGACGACTTTGCAGCATACCGGAACCAGAACCGTCAAGCCGAACCGCCACAGCGCGATGTTCGAGCTGTTGATAGCGACCTTGATTCCATTTTTGAAGACGATAACCCAGGCCGGGTCTACACATCAGCGCCTAAAGAGGCGTTCAAGCTTGGATACTTTGATGTCATGTGTCTGGTGCTTAATCGAATGATTGGTAAGTCTTCAACTTTTTGCGAGCTTTGGCTTCGTTATCATGATGTTGTGTCGAGGTTGGATTTAAGTTGAGTTGTAAGAGATGAGATGCCCCCCAAGTGGGGAAGCAGACGGGGATCTTGTCAGGATCAAGATCGATGAATCTCCTTCCCTGACCCAAGCTTGGATTTTTATGTGTCAGAAGAACCCTTAATTTCTGATTTGGAAGGTGCCCTTTCTTCCAAATTTGAGGGTCAAATTTACAATCTCATCTCAATTGAGACGAGATGAATGGCTCACAGCTTGATACAAACAATACATTCAGCTATTTAGTTACTGATCTTGTTGAATAGGAACTGGCATCTTCAACTCGCCCCAAAGAGTAATGCAAGGGACTCGTTCAACCGGCGCAACACTTCTTCTCTGGCTTGCTGGAGTAGTTTACTGTCTGTCAGGTGTTCACGTCTACATCGAGTACGGCCTAAATGTTCCTCGTTACACTATCAACGGAGTTGAGCAGAGTGTCCCGCGCAGTGGTGGAGATCTCAATTACCTCCAATATGTCTATCGAAAGCCTGCATACAGAAAAGGAACCGTACTCCTGAGTACCTGTATGTTCGGCTTCTGCTTTATAGCACTTGGCAATATGGCAGGCAACTGCATCAACTTCGCTACCATGGTGCTTTCGGCGGCGGGAGATGATAACCCATCTTCCGGTGCCGTTAGAGGTATCGCCATTGGCATCGCGATCCTCACTTGCTTCATTCATACCTTCTCTCGAAGAGGAGGCATTCTTGTCAACAATATGCTGGCTATGATTAAAGTCATGATGCTTCTCCTCATAATCGTGACAGCTATTGTTGTTGGAGCTGGAGGTCTAAAAGATGCTGATGGTAACACAGTGAAAAAGGAGATTGAAAACAACACTCGACCTTCCAGTGCCTTCGCCGTATCTGGCGATGCCAATGGATATGCCCATGCATTTCTTGCCATCATCTTCAGTTTCTCGGGCTTTGAGCAGCCAAACTATGTCATGGGTGAGATCAGCCGACCAAGACGGAAACATCCGGTCGCCATGCTGCTTGGTGTCGGTACCGCCATCTTGCTTTATATGGCTGTGAATATCTCCTATGTAAGTCCCAATGCTTCCAATCCGAGTTGAGGACCCATTTTCTGATATCCATGTAGATGGTGGTGGTTCCTAGCGACGACCAAATATACGACAACGTAGCACAGAGGTTCTTTGAGCTCACCCTCGGCAGTCTGAGTAACAGCGGAACCGGAAAGCGCATATTTCATGCCTTTTTGGCTATATCTAGTATGGGAAACATTATTGTCATGACTTATACCGCTGCCCGTGTCAAGCAAGAAATTGCAAAGGAGGGTATCATTCCTTATGCCAAGTTCTTTGCACAGGATGGCGATATCTCGTTAGGACGCCTCCTGCATTGGCTCAAGAAAAGAGGGATGTTCAGTTCACTTCTGAGTACACGTTGGCTCTCGCCTGAAGATCATATGGAGAGAACCCCCGTGGGCGCCTTTGTTCTACACCTCGTTTCTTGTTTTGTTCTCATCTTTGCAACTTGGACTATGGACCCAAAAAGCTCTTACACTTTGCTCACGAGCTTGAGTGCATATGTCATCAACGCTTTTTTCGGCACCTTCCTAGGATTGGGAATCCTTATCCTGCGCTTCAAGGGACCTCCCAAGACTGACAAAGATGAGATACAAAGCCCAGCAGCACCTCCTCAGACTTGGCGCCAGATGACAGGGAAGCACATAAACCCCACACTGAGCGTTATATGCGCTGTTATTTATATGATCGGTGGTTTATGGCCCATCGTTACTATTTGGATCAAACCCAATGAACCTGAACAAAGACCTGGAAAAGCTGAAGAACAAAGACTCATATGGTGGCTTGTACCCACTATCACATGGTCTGTTATCGGCGGCAGCGTATTCTGGTTTCTCGGGTTTATTGCTTTTGCAATGCGGAGAAAGTACAAAAGAAACGAGATCTTTGTGGTTGAGAAGAAGCCCGAGTTTGAGAGCGCTGATGGGCCTGATGACTCAGATGGGAGAACAGGTGGATATGTGCTTGTGCACGAGACAGTCTATTTGAGTTGGATTGCGGGAGAGATTCATGATTCAAAAGGATCGGGAACGACCGGGTTTCAGGAGCGTCCAGATGCAATGTCTGCTGCTCCAGTGAATCGGTATGCTGGGACTGATTTTGAAGCCTTCTACCAGGAAGAGCGTGTTGCTGCACCGGCAAAAGCGTACTATTCAGAATATCGACCATGAGCAGGAATATCGAATTCAGTATATATAGTCAACCAAAACATCAATCATTAATTCTCTTCAATGTCTGTCATCCGTAAAAGCTATTTAACAACATCTTGACAATTATCCTAAATACGCAGAAGTTCATGAGTATAACGGCTGAACGGAGACGCATTCACTCTAGAGCAAATATTGGTAGGTTGTCCAACAACAAACTTTGTCTGTTAAGGATGACATAAAAAATTGTCTACTGTATGATTCAATTCATACTCTGCCCGGGATTTCCCACAGCACGACTCAATAAACCAATGGTATTCATAATAGCCCTTTTCACAACGCCAATTCACAAACTACTCCTTTATTATTGCTGTTCAAAATCCCGTGCCTTACGGGTGAGAACCCGTATATTATCGACGAGACCTTCCACGAGCTCTGGATAACGATGCGCCTCACCATTGGCAGCTTTTCGGCCTTGGTCGATGAGTAGTTTTGGATTAATTTCGATTTCGAGTTCATGCTTCTTTTCTTGGCGACCCTATGGCAGAGTTAGTAAGGATGGATGAATGGTAATGAATGAGAACATACCCCTGGGCCACCGTGAATGACCTGCGTGAGGTCAATCTGATATGGACCTTGCGTATAGCTTAGTCTGTCCTTGTTGCGATCAGGATTATCTCCGGGATTTGGAATCTGTTCCAGCTCTTCCAATGTGCCATCCCAATCCATCTCAAGGTTGATACTGATACGGCAGTCCATAGGCAGTAGTGGAAAATGAATGTCGAGGTCGGCAACGCGAGCTTTGATGATTTTGCCCAGAACCTCCTGCGTTTTCTGATCGTGGGTCACTCGCACGCGGATGCGTTTTCCTTTTCCTAGACGGTTTCTAACGCAGCCAGGGATTCTGTCCTGTAGGTCTGCGGGTAAATCGAAGAAACGATCTCTTTCTCTTCGATGCTTATAAACAACAGGAACACGATGATTGGCGCCACCTGGACCACGAGGATGTGTGGATTTCACTATTTCGTTAAGAAAGTCGTTGTTCTTCTTGTGGGCGGCCTAAACTCGTTAGCAATTAATCATGCACCAGCTAGAGGCACAAAAAAACAAAAAAGACTTACCTCAGTCATACTGCTTTCAAAGGCGACGCGACTACTATCCATCAAAATGCATTCAGAGGCTACACCCCGCTCAACCCGACGGTGACCAGTGTCCTTGTCGATCAAAGTGCCGAGTTTTGCTTCCACTTCAAACTGAATACCTTTGCTGGAGATCTCCATCAAATCAGGTGCGTTGAGCACGTTGAGGAACAAGAAATCCGCCACCTTTCTACTAATGTCCTCGAAAGGTTTGACTCCTGTGATGCTTGGTTCCCATGGACCGAGAATCTCTTGTGGACCTGGTTCGGCGGGTGGCGCAGCATGAGCAACAGGAACTGCTCTGTTGGTCTCGGGCGAGGCATGGCGACTGGGACGAGTGTTTTGTTCTTGTTTTCCATTGATATGTGAATGAAGTCTCTTTTGGAGAACGAAGTTGGCGTTCGATGGCATCGTGCCCATTCTTCGGGAGTCTTGTGCCCATACAGGCGGTTGCGAATAGAGTCTTCGCTTTTTAGTCAAAGGTGCGGAGGGCATACTTGACTCGGACTCGCGCTTGATAGGAACCTGGTCGCCATTTGTCTGGCTTGACTTGATTCGCTTCTCCTCTGGCTCTTGCTTGGGACTGCTGTCGATACGGTCCTCAAGTTTGCGCTTGGCAGGGGTTGCCGCGCGCTCGGTATCTATAGCCATCGGTTGCGGAAGAGAAAGCGGTTGCGACTGTTTATTTTTGGCGTCTGCTGCCGCTAACGCAGCAAGCGGATCGGGATTGCTGTGAAGCGAAGGGACTCGAGACTTGGGACTGACGGACGGGCTTGGAGCGCGTTCACTATGCGATTGAGATCGTCGATGTACGTCTGGGGCCGGCGAGCCGTAACTGCTAGATATACGTTTGGCGGGCGGAGGAGGTGGAGGTGGTGAACTTTTTACTTGTGCTTGTGCCTGTGTCTGTGCTTGTGCCTGTGTCTGTGCTTGTGCCTGTGTCTGTGCTTGTGCCTGTGTCTGTGCTTGTGCCTGTGTCTGTGCTTGCGCTACTGGAGTAGCTGCTGCGTATGAAAGTCTTTGTTGGTATGGACTCGAAGGCTGTGCAAACACCCCAGGGCCAGATGTTTGTCTTGATCCAGAGGACAAAGGCGGAGCGACGGGCGTAGCGGGCTGGGATGGTTGGCGACTATGGCCGTATTCCCCAGGAAGTGGGCGCGGAGCGACAACAGGACTACTACCTTGAGCGAATCCGTAGGGGTGTTGAGGATGAGCAGATGTTGGAGTTGGAGTAGAATGTGTGGAGCGTGAAGCAGAGGGAGGGCGTTGATTTAGGTATTGCTGATTAACTGCAGCGGCGACAGGAGGTGTCTGCGGAATAGAGCTTTGATGGTGTTGTTGCTGTTGCTGAGTTGGAGGATAGTGGCCGTGTACATGACTAGGGGGGCCGACTTGTGGGCCCTGTGAGAAGCTTTCCCGAGGAGGGTATTGAGCAGGTGAGTGTCGGTGTCGTTGGACTGGACTAGCTACTTCTGCAGGGGACTGGGTATGGGGAAAGGGATAACCAGCAGACGCAGATGCAGTAGAAGGTGTTGTTGAAGCTCGATAAGGGGATTGACCTGGAGTTGGACCGCTTGGAGACCGCGCATCGTGAAAAGAACCTGCTGGTTGTAGCGGAGGCGGCACTGGACGTCCTGGATATGGCCCGGGTGCCTGGTACGGAGATTGTGGTGGATACGCACCAGGCGGCGGTTGATGGGGAGATGGCTGATGATGCGACGGTGGCCGCGATTGAGGATGATGGGGATGAGCAGCGTGCTGAATGTATTCTTGTGGCATAGGTTTTCCGGGCGAGGGATGAGGAGGCGGTTGTTGGCGGTTGTATTCGTGATAATAGGGGCGTGAAGCGGGTGCTTGGGCCGGACTCTGCGATGGTCGTTGCATCTGTTGCTGCTGTGGGTGAGGCTGTTGCTGAACATGCGGCGGTGGTTGCGGCTTCGGCGCGGGTTTGACAGGAGCGCGGTCGCCACCTTCCGACGTGTTTAGAACGGATCGAAGATCCATGGTGATGATATTAAAGTGACAGAGGATGAAGATTTTGCGACAAAACGACGTTGCGGGAATCCGGCGCGAGAAGAGACCACAAATCAATTTGGACGCCAATCACTCGTCTGAAACCAAATTCCAAACGCGAATAAAGCGCGGCCAAATGGTGACGGGCGTCGTCCTCAATGGAACAGGATATTGAATGTCGTTGAAGCGATGGAGGACGGTCGTCGTCGCGCGAGGGGGAAAGCGCAAGTGGACATGGATGACTGGGTTGGATGTTTCTACGCCGCCATGGCGAGGCTGCCACGCTGTCGAATTGACGATTATCGATTGGCGAATTAACTTCGCGTTGGGGTCTTGGTCGATGGGGCGATATGGTTCTCGGACGTGCGGCGTAGTCGATAGATGGTGTGCGCTGGACGTTATTCGCGATACTAAAAGTTTACAGTCGATTTGATCATTTGGTGTTGGTGTCCTGTCATCGTTTTCTGGCGACAAACAGAGATGGGATAGGCGACAGCCTGACGCTAGAGGTCTCTCTCCAGGGATGTGGGATTGCTATGTACCAATGTACATGACGCGGGACAAATTTTGTTTGCAAACCCTTCCCTGTCTTTTTTTGGCAGCTTAGTAGTCGGTACATGTCTTGTGCCCTGAAAGCTATGGTTGTTCAAGTACCGACTCTTGAGTCCTCATGAGGCTTAGCAGTGCCTAATCTCAAATCAGACAAGTTGTTTCAGATTGTATACGCTACTTGTCAGCTTCATATGCCTGAAATATCAAAGGTCAGGGATAATAGATCAAGCATTTCGCAACCAGGGGCGCAACTTTGCACATCAGCCTTATGAATCGAGCATTTGTAGAGCATTTGATATCCATTCTTTCAACAAGTTTCCCAATGCATACGATTTGCATTTACGTTTACATGGATGTTGAGCATTAACTTCTATGCGACGTCATAGTTCAATTGTCAATTGGACTCCAAAGTTCTTGTGCTTTAGCTGTCAATCATGCATCTATCTACTTTTGTGGAGTGAGAGTTTCCGAACAGAGTTGTTGGAATACTAAGACATTGTCCTATTGCAATCTTGTAAAAACCTGTCTCTTGTAGCTGAACCGACAGCTAATGATAGTAGCACTTTACAGATACACTGATGCAAACAGCTTGTATGTAGTAGACAGTCACGTGATGATATGGCTTATGTAACTGCCAAGCTCTCGTTGGTCCGTGCACTCACTGCAAGGCAGAGCTGTGCCTGACGTGGACCATCTTCGAGTTACCCTCCTGGAGCAAAACACCAACCGATACATCGCCTCCATCTCTCTTAATTATCTTGTTAACTTCTTTGTTTCCGTATATTCACGACTCACTCTGTCTCAGGGCTCTGTATACGCCCTTAGACCTACCCCGAAATAGTTTCTATCAACCAATTCGACCATTGCTACCCCCATACCGTTCGCTGTAAACGTCCTTCGCCCCCCCCGATCTTTCACAGCTCCTCAAGATGCCTGGTATCGTCTCGGCGACCGGCGTTCTCGCCTTCCTCACCGACGAGGAGCCTGAACTGAAGGTCTTTGCTTTGCAGACCCTCAACGACGACATAGATACTGTCTGGACCGAAGTTGCTGCTGTGCTGACCCAAATGTACGTCATGCTCGCGTTACTATTCTGATGCATTGAGTTGTGTTTACTAACACTATACTCAAGTGAAGCGCTCTACGAAGATGAATCCTTCCCCGAACGCCAGCTTGCCGCTCTTGTTCTCGCAAAGGTCTACTACCACCTTCAGGCCTACAACGACAGTATGGTGTTTGCACTCGCCGCCGGTGATCTATTCAAGCTCGATTCCCCCGGAGAGTTTGAGGAGACCATCATCTCCAAATGCGTGGATCAATACATCGCCGTCACCGCTGCAAAGAAGGCGGCCCCTCCGGCTTCCGAGAATGACGATCTCCCGGAGCTAGCTACCACTTTCGCTAGTGGTGCTGAGGGAGCTGTCATGTCTCCTACCACTCCCTTTTCGCGAACGACTTTGCCTCCCAAATCTTTGCTCTCTCGTGATTCAATCGACAACACTATTCTTGAGGCTACCTTCCAGCCTTCGTTTAAACAGTTTCGGTCTGGCTCCATTGCTGAGCTTCCTGAACAGGCCACCGACTCTTTGCAGAGGGTCATTGACAGACTCTTCGAGAGCTGCTTAGAGAAAGGTCAGTACCGACAGGTAGTCGGTATTGCCGTCGAGGCAAAGAATCTGGATGTCCTTCGAAGCGTCATTAAGCGAGCGAGCGATGATGAAAAAAAGGCCTTATCAAACCCCCTCGAAAGCTCCCCCGGCCCGGCCGAGGACTTGATTGAATACACGCTAGGTATCTGCATGGATATTGTTCAGGAGAGAGGTTTCCGAACCGAGATCCTGAAACTCATCCTTGGGCTCCTGAGTCAAATTCCCAACCCTGACTACTTTGCCATTGCCAAGTGTGTAGTCTATCTCAACCTTCACGAAAATGCCTTTCTCATGCTTCAAGAGCTCGTTACAAAGGCTGACCGATCTTCCATCGCCATTGCCTACCAAATCGCTTTCGACCTTTACGACAACGGTACACAAGAGTTCCTGGCCAAGGTTTTGGATTCACTACCTGCCAGCGAGCCTGCCAAGAGCGCGCTCGACGAAAATGGTGAACAGGCCAACGAGAGCGAGTCCCTCCTTCAGAACCAGCAAGATTCTCCTAAGGATGATCTTCCCGAGCCTCTACTCAAGGCCTACAGAAATATTCGAGCTATCCTTGACGGTAGTAAGACCATTCGTTTGAACCTCGAGTTTCTCTACCGCAACAACCGAACCGACTTGAGTATTCTCAACAAGGTCCGCGACAGTCTGGAAGGTCGAAATTCGATTTTCCATACTGCTGTCACATTCTGCAACGCTTTCATGAACCAGGGAACCACAAACGATAAATTCTTCCGCGATAATCTGGAATGGTTAGGCAAGGCAGTCAATTGGTCCAAGTTTACCGCTACTGCCGCGCTTGGTGTCATTCACCGTGGAAACCTTTCACAGTCCAGAAAGCTTCTTGAGCCTTATCTCCCTAGGCAAGGTGGCCTTAGCAGTGGCTCTATCTTCAGCCAGGGCGGTGCCCTCTACGCCTATGGACTAATTCATGCCAATCATGGAGCAGAGGCGTTGGACTACCTGAAGGAGCAGTTCAGTCAAGCTGAGGAGGAAGTTGTTCAACATGGTGGCGCTCTTGGCCTCGGTATCGCAGGAATGGCCACTGGCGATTCCAGTATCTATGAAAAGCTCCGGGAGGTTCTCTTCCAGGATTCTGCCCTCAATGGCGAAGCTGTCGGCTTAGCCATGGGTCTCGTCATGCTTGGTACGGGCAATGCTAGGGCCCTGGAGGACATGATTACATATGCACACGAGACTACCCATGAGAAGATCCTCCGTGGTCTTTCGATTGGTATGGCTCTCATCATGTTTGGTCGCCAAGAAGGAGCCGATGTCTTGATTGAGGGTCTCCTCAACGACCCTGACCCTACTCTCCGATACGGTGGTATCATGACTGTTGCTCTTGCCTACTGTGGTACTGGCAGCAACAAGGCCATCCGAAAGCTCCTTCACACTGCAGTCAGCGACGTCAACGACGATGTTCGTCGTATTGCCGTGATGAGTCTGGGTTTCATCCTTTTCCGTAAGCCTGGTAGTGTACCTCGAATGGTCGAGCTTCTATCTGAGTCTTACAACCCTCATGTTCGATATGGTTCCGCCATGGCCCTCGGTATCTCGTGTGCCGGCACTGGCCTTGATGAGGCCATCGATCTGCTCGAGCCTATGATGAAGGACCCTACAGACTTTGTACGACAGGGTGCTTTGATCTCCCTTGCTATGATCCTCGTTCAGCAAAATGAGGTCATGAACCCTAAGGTCGCATCAATCCGCAAGACTCTTAAGAAGGTGGTCGGTGACCGTCACGAAGATGCCATGACTAAGTTTGGTGCTGCCCTAGCGCTAGGTATCATTGATGCTGGTGGTCGCAACTGCACCATTGGTCTTCAGACCCAAACCGGTAACCTCAACATGGCTGGTATCGTTGGTATGGCTGTCTTTACTCAATATTGGTACTGGTTCCCTTTCACCCACTTCCTGTCGCTGAGCTTCTCTCCCACCTCCATTATCGGACTAGACCACGACCTTGAGATTCCTGATATCAAGTTCCACTCTGCCACCCGGCCAAGTCTCTTTGACTATCCTCCTGAGCAAGAAGTCAAGACTGAGGAGGGACCCGCGCTGATCGCTACCGCCATCTTGTCGACCACAGCGCAGGCAAAGCGACGAGCTCAGAAGAAGGAGCGCGCTCAACGACGAGAGAGCATGGATATCGACAGTGCCCCCATCAAGCCCAGTGGTGACAAAATGGAAGTCGATGAGGACAAGAAGGCCGATGAAACCAATGACAAGAAGGAGGAGCAAGAGAAGGACGCCGCTACTTCTATGGAGACGAAGAAGAAGCCCGAGAAGGAGAGGGTTGGCTATGAGATTGAGAACATGACCCGAGTGCTCCCCGGCCAACTCAAGTACATCAGCTTCTCCGCTGACCGCTACAGGCCTGTGAAGAAGGCAAGCAACTTTTTGGCATAAAATTTAAGAATTTGGACGCTAACTTATTACAGCCTACTGGCGGTCCCCTGCTACTTATTGATAACGACCCTGAGTCGCCAAAGGCGTTGTTGGAGGAAAAACTGAAGAAGGTTACAACAGAGCGAGCTCCTGTCGCGGGTCAGCAAACCGCTAGAGGTGGACGATCCGGCGGCCAAGGACGTTCTCTACTTGAAGGTATCGCCGAATCCCAGCGGGGAGGAGCCAACAGTGCTATGCTCGGACAGCTGTTGCGCAACTCAGGCCGGTCGCCGTTCGGTCTTCTTGATGCCGACCCCCAAACTCCTGGTGGTAACGCATCGGGTGCTGCAGCCGCTGCCGGTGTTTTGACTGCTGTTGACGAGGACTCTGACGACGAAGAGGCCAAGACACCTGGCGAGTTCGAGTACTTCACAGATGCTGAGGATGACGAAGACGAAGACGACGACGAGTAGATTGAGCTTTAGCAGGGGACTAAGCTAAGATGGTCTTTTGTAGATGCAGGTCAGGAGGATCGTTGAAGAAAGGAAAACCCTCTGGCTGGATTGCATGTATACTTAGAGATTTTGACCAATCAAGATAGAGCTTAGGATGTGAGACATCCTAAGATGTACCTGTATAATGGAGAATAAAAATCAGCACATTGACATACGTGATACCGTATTTGGATTCCAACTCAAAGTTCAAGTGCTACAACAAAAGCCACATTCAATAGTAAGTCTATAAATTAATCGTACTTTGTCGTTGGCCTGTGTGAATCCGTGCCATTCATCGCTCGCTCAATATCAATGACCCCTTTCGCCTGCCCAGAACCTGATTAATTACCCATGCTATTTACTCCCGAGAATCAACTTGTCCGTGACCCTCCTCGATAGAGCTTTCATCACAAATCTTGACGCGGTGCCACGCTGTAGCAAGGTTCCCGCGAATATTCCATGTTGCGGCGTAACTCTCTGGTTGCGTATTGTATGCTTCATCAGTGGCTTTCACAACAAAGGTAGCGTATCGCTTCCCTGACTCTGATGTCTCGAAAGCGCTCAGCGGTACAGGTCCATCGAACTTCCATCTTCGCCAAGCCCAGGCGGCGTGACCAAAGCAGGGAGATTGTTCACCCTCTTTCGTCGAGCAATCGGGAATGATGGAAGCCTGGGACCAAGTCTTGCCGTTGTCTGCAGAGATATCAACGCGGACTATGGCACGGCCGCCGCCCGAGTATGCATAGCCTGTCAATGAAGCAGGCTTGGCATAAGTATCATTGCTCTTCGCCCAATCACCAAGTTTGCAAGTCGTTATAGCACTCTGGACAGGCATTTCCTGGATAGAAGGTGCGGTATCCCAGTCTACCTGTGTTTGGTTTGGTCCAAAGCACTTGTAATCGCGTCGCTGCCATTGAGATGTGCTCTCTTCATCACTGAGTGTGACATGGTTCAACCATTTCACTGACCGCGCAGCAACATGTCCTGGAACAATCGCACGTAATGGGAATCCATGATCGCGCGGAAGCGCCTGGCCGTTCATTCCATAGGCGAGTATCACATCGCCTTGGGGGTCAATAGCTTTTTTGATGGGGATTGATGCACCGTAAGCTTCCAGGCCAGAGAATTGAACGTGCTTGGCTTCTGATTCTCCTGTCAATCCAGACTGCAAGTCAAAACCTGCGTCTGCCAGCACGTCGGAAAGTAGCACGCCTTCCCAGCAAGCATTAGAGATGGCGCCAGTAGTCCATGGGAGGCCGTTGGTCTTTCTTCCCGATCCTTCATTCATGTGTCGGCGACGATTGCCGGAACATTGAAGGGCAGCAGTGACTTTGTGGGGTTTAAAGCGTGACTTGAGGTCATCAAGGGTATATTCTTTCATGGTGCCATCAGGAAGCTCTATCGTAAGATTGTGATTCTTGCCGCCTTGTGCAATTTTTGGCACCCACATGTGGTTTCGTACGTAGAATAGGTCGTTGGGAGTAAGAAACTCGTTCGTCATGGCATTTGCAGGAGTCTCTGCGTTCCTGGGCTTTTCCGTCATGGTCACCAGCGCTGGATGACGAGCTGGGTCATCAGAGAAGGGGTCTTCAATCTCGGCTTGGGACGGACGTCCGTTAACCAGATCTTCTGGGTCGACATAACCGATCAAGTACTGATTCAGAATATCGTAGACGTAGTCGTTCTTGTGAATGGAAAAAATATCCCAGTACCGATCAATAGAACCGCCCGCAGCGCGAAGGATAACATCGCCACCAGGATGCGCGCCTATCCATTCTGTGATATCGTACACTTTATCACGGTGAATAACCCAAGGATGATCGGAGCGAGCGTCGTGTTTGCGCACTTCATCAATGCGATAACAAGGCAGTGAGGCTCCTTGTAGGTCGGAAACGCTTTCGGCTTCAGAGTGGAAATCGCATCTTGTAGGAGACTGCTGCGACAACTGGTATGCGACACAAAAGGAAGCTGCTCCAGCGAGGAGCACTGCGAGGGAAGCACTTGGATATCTCGGCGCAGGTGCTTCTTTAATAGAAGCAGAAGGCTTTGCGGGTGATGGTCTTGGTCGAGTCGTAACAAAGCAACGAGATTGTGCTCTCGCAGGAGCTTGTGAGACAGTAGGTAATGATGGTAGGGGCCGTAGTCGGCTAACCATACGTTGCGTTGATCGCGATAGCATGGTTGGAAGAATTCCAGGTCAAGAGGAGAAATTACTGCGACGATGATAGGAAATAATGCATCGCCAACAAACTGCCTCTTGGGGCGATACTGTTGTAATTGATTTCGTGATATCAGTAAAACTGGAGTAGACAGGCGCCACTGTGGACTAGGTACCCTTAAAAAGTTGATGGATCCCGTCTTAAACAAAGATGACGTCGGGGAATCTTTCGGAGGTTATGTATAGTACAAGAACCCTGAGATGAAGAACCTCACCTCACTTTATATATAATTCATCATGGCTGAGTTTGTACTGATAAGCCAGCCAGCGGTGAGCTCAGGGGATGAACACGTGAATCAATTCGGAAGCTAGGAACGAGTCAGAGCGCAGAGTTGGCGATGCCGAGACAATTCCAGAGACACATCGTGACCTTGGTAGTCGTACAGTACACGGTAGAATTGATATTGCATGTTTAGCAAGGTTCGATCGGCGACTAGGTACTCAACATTCGCCGATTCATTCACTGCATCTATTTATTTTACGTCACTCCACATATCGAGTTGAAACGCTATTGGCTGGCTCACCGAAATGAACCCCGAATGGGAGGTGTCATCCCCTGAACGAGCCATGGATGCACTGAGAACCCAGTGAATAAGCCCCTGTATACATCTGCAGCCACTGTTTATCGATACGGTGACATGGAAGTGCCGCCAGGTTGGTCATTTAAATGTTAGTCACTTTGATTCAACTGCCGACGACAGCAATACTCTACGACTTCTTCCCCAGATAATACTACCACGTATCTCACTCACCGGTCTCTTCTGGATGTCCAGGGTTCCACGTTTGTGCTGAATAACAACCTATGTATCAACTGCAGGGGGTAGGTACTGATAGTACCGTTGTGTAACACAAACAACATGCCGTGTTTATAAGACATGTATATGCACCAAGCCCGTACCATTTAGCTTGGGTGTATTACTGAAGGAAAGCAAAATCGAAACTAGACTCCGAAAAATACTCCGGGAACTCTGCTTCTATAGGAAGGCGGTATTCCCCACGCATAATATATAGGTTAACTAACAGCTTGAGTTCTGGTCTAGGTGTGAATAGTACCCCGGAACTAAAGAACAACTTGGCCACTTTTGAAGAGCAGTTCAACAGAAGGATCCAAAGTGCAGTATCTTTCATTCCTTCAATCTCTTAAATCAACGGTAAAGAAAGGAGAAAAGGCTGACACCCGAAAGACAAAAAGATAAAAACATACAACAGCGGGGATTCGCTGGTCGTCACCGACCCAACTACTAATCCGCCCCTTACCAGCTTGACTATGGGAGAGCGGACGGGATCCCGTATTTTCTGGTAGGTATGGTCGTATGTACAAGAATAACACATAATCCATGTTATATACAGACATAGTCATAATGTAGCGCAACATCTGAACTTGATCATGTCGACGTGAGGAGTTTACCACCTTGGATATAAGCACACATCAAGACGGATCCATGGCTCCTAACATCTGGACATGACTTGTCCCTGCTGGTATTTAATTCGCCCTATTGGTGTGATCTATCTCTTCCAATCTAGTCTTGAGATAATGGACCAACATGAAACCCCTAGAGTCTAACACAATTACAAATATGTCCAACATGTTCATATACACAACACAAATCGACCAAGAAACCAATAGTCCCATGCGCCCAATCCGACATTCAAAGACTTCACTCGGTATAATTATGCCAGCAGAAGAGAAATCCAATGTATCATCTTTGGCGACTGGATTCACCAGCTTTCTTGGTGCTCGAGTCCCCATGATCCTTGGGACTTGTCGACTCCCCTCCATCGGCCTCCTTCTCACTGATTTCAAACATGTATTCCTTGACACATATGTCCTCCTGGCCCTCGCTCAGCCTGCCCTTGCCCTTCTTGACGGCAGTTGGACTCTTGTTCTGGTCCTTGACGTACGGGAAGTTAAAAATGGTCGTCAGTTTAGAGAGGCTATCAGGACCCGAACCAGAACCATGGACAGAAGCAGGTTGGAAACCATCGTCGTTTTGGTCCGTGTTTGATGGCAAGATCTCGGGAACCTCAAAGACGACAGAAAGCTTCTCGATCTTGGGTAGTCCAGTACCTGCCGCGGGGAGATCGGTGACTTTAGGGAGAAACTGCATCCCGATCTCCGTGTCCTGGCTGCCGCTTTCAAGGTCTGAACTGGACTTCTTGAGGGGCCAACCGCCGCCTAGTCGTGCGACAACAGCTCGGCTGTCGAACGGACCTCTGGCTACCTCCTTTTCTTCTTCTTCCTTTGTCTTCCAGTAACGTTGGTTCTTTGGGGACCGGAAGATGTTGGTAAAGGAGTACCACACGGGCATGTAGTTGTCCTTGGTGCAGAGGATGCAGGGTAGGTTGATCAAGTGTTTGATGAGCGTGATAAAGGTTAACCTCTCATCTTGGAGCTCTCCGGTGCGTGACTTCTGCACCATGTCCCGCACAACAATGCCGATAAAGAAGCCAAACATCAGACCCATGATGACCCAGGCGAAGATGCCAGCCTGGCGATCCTCGCGCAGAGACCAGGGGTCTGTGAACTCAAGGTGAGTTTGGTTGATCATTGTAGACTGAGGGGAAGGTATCAGTGGTGGTGCCATTATATTCATATAATCGTAGTAGAAGGATGCAAATGGATACGCTCCCACAGAGACAGTGTGATATTCGTCTGAAAGTTGGAATTGAGCATTGGGTGGGAATAAATAGAAGGTAAGGAAAGAAGAGAAATTGAGGGGGGTAAGAGGACGTGTTTTTATGTGGTGGCAGTTATTGCTGCGAAGCCTTTTAAAGTCAAACATGAGGGAATTCAAAGAAGCATCGGTACATTTCGAGGGACTTTATTGACTGTCAAACCCCAGCAACTTCGGGTCCAAACCACCGCCAGGGTCGCAGACGTTGAGGCGACTCAAGATCATGATTGCTCAAGGGCATCGGTTCCTGAGCAGCCGTCCCGTATATTTCCAACGAATCGGATATGCCTTCATTTTGATATCTCAGCCATCAAGGCCACAACTGGGCAACCTCGAATGAGATAGGACCAGCAAGATAACCACGTTTGTCTCTATTGGAGGTCAAGAGCCATTGCATGTTTTAAGCTCTCGCAACAGCATTCGATAAGGTGTTGCCCTGTGGTGATAAAGTAAAACAAAAGATACTCCCGAAGTCGATCAAAAGGCCCACGTTCAATAGTAGGTACCATATGTAAGTCGGTTATGAAAGTTCAAGACCCGTGACTTTGAAGGTATTAGTGAGACTATTTCCATTTTAAGCTTTCACGTCACTTGTGTCTGTCAAAGTATAAATAGGAAGGACCCAAAAAAGTAGTGTCGCTGAATCAGGACGCTTGGGTTGTAACTTCCCGATCTAACAACACTCGAGTAAACTGTGTTTAATAATCCCTCAAAGCATTGTGAATATCTGTTTAATTGGGTGCCTGTTTCTTTATTACGTTGGTGCCTATCATTCAATACTCATATTTTTTGTGTGAAGAAATGGTTACCGCCGAAAAGGTGCCTGCCAGTGCCAGTGCAGTGCAAGTGTCAGTAACACTAGCAAAATGACCACTCCAATATCAACATCGCCCAACGCATCGCCTTCGGCCTCAACCTCCTCCCTACTCCGTCGCGTCGGCTCCTTCAAGACCAAAAATGACCTTTCCGAGCGTTTGGGATCTCTGAGGATGAGTGCGTCTCCTGTACCTTCACTTCTCCTTCTGCTTATGCTTGTTCTCGTCATATCAACACTCCAAGGCTGACTTTAAAATGCCGTTTCAAGCCAGTGTCAGAGTGCGCACAAGAAGCACTTCTAATCCTGCAGCTCTCTTCAAGAACCGCTCTCAGCCTGTGACACCTGTTACACCCAACACGCCAATATGGCCCAATTTTTCCAAATTGCGTCCTCCAGCGAATCTTCCTCGTCAAAACCTTCCTGCATGGGATCGCGTTTATGATGCTGTTTGCCATAGTACCGTGGCTGAAAGAGCAAGCTTCGAGAAAGTGCTTCTGGCCTTCTTCAAGGATCATGGCCGAAGAAAGTCGTCATTTGGATATTTCCGTCTGCCGGACTCGGTGCGGTTTCAAATCTGCCTGTACTTACTTCCTGACAACGATAAGCCTCTGCGCCTAAACAAATACCCATTCAACCGAGATGTCTGGCGCTCACAAGATTTCACATCACCTTGTTCTACCCTAGGTCTACTCTCACCGTACTTGGAAGTTTCCTTCGCCTTTCGAGCAGATGTTCTCGTCACTTTTCTCCAGCAAACGAGACTACACGCCGTCCTCTCTCCATTCATAGGACCTAGAGTGAGCCCACTTGCAACAACATGGCTCAACAAATATGGGTCATACGCAAGTAATATCGCTATAGAGCTAGAAATGTCGCATCTGGCCGGCGGCCCTACCCCCGACGCTGAAAGACTGCTGGCCAACTCCGAGAAGACCGGGCTGAGTTTTCAATACTTCGTCGTGTCTCAACTTAAGCGCAGCTATTCCTGCCCTCTGGAAAGTCTGATCCTTTTGTGTCGAAGGTTCTACGGAAAGCGGCCACCAAAAATAGAACCTGAGACAATGAACGCCACAATGAGCGCCGCAAGCAGCCGGCCACCTTCACGAGGAGTCAAAACACCCGAACCACACAGTCCAAGGGGTAAGCCTCTTCAATGGTGGGAATCCCTACCAAGCGATGAGCTATTGTTGAGCCCCGCCTCCTCTTATGGTATCGACCATTCAGGTGTACCAATGCCAACGACTGTCCGTCTTCGAGATGAATACTGCCCCGACTCGAACCTTGTGTTCTGCAATAACATACTTTACCTCAAGGGTCGCATCGGATCCATGCGAATGTGCGGTTTCAGCGAGGACTACACGGCACGCCTGATAGGAAGCATGTTCTGCCATCAAAATAGTCTCGCTTACCGTGTTACGCCATCAACGATATGGCCTAAACTCGAAGGCCAAAAGTCTTACCTCGACATTGGCCAAGGTATTATTGCGCTGGATGAACATGAGGTTCCTGCCTCGAACAACGTACCCGATGCTTTACGTAAGTGGCAAGGTTGTGTTCAGCTCCCGCCGCCCCATATGGACGGAAACGGAAACCTTCTTCTCCCTGCCCTAGTGGCTGATTTACAGCGATTGAGGGACAGTGTTCCACGGAGCGAGACAAGCTTATCGGAGCGTACATGCGAGGAATTGCGGAACGAGGTCAAGAAGAAGAGGAAGGGACTTGCTTGGCTCAAGGAACCTTTCAGTAAAGGAAAGCAAATGAGGAAGAAGAGAGAGTTGTCGAGAGATGCCGCTACGACGTATTAAAAGACATTTACCATCGCCAAGGGCGGGGGCTATGATAGAAAGATGGCTCATGTATGTTCTCATTGGGCCCTAACGTAATGGGTCGGGTATATAGATTCATCAGGTCATAACAATGCACGCACAATTTGTTCTTGTGCTTCCCAATGCCTAAAATGTCTAAATAAACTCTACTCTATAACCTTTTATCACACAAACTCTCATTGCTTTTGCAAAGACTGTAGAAAGTTAGCAATTTGTTCCGATTTTTTATGTGTGAAATGTTAAAAGTGCAGGGCTAAACTCACAATTGCGAACTTGCTTCTCGCTCGAATTTTGCTTCCGAAAATCATGAGGACCCACGGAACAAGCGTCAGTACAGATGCGATCCCTCCCAACACACATCCAGCAGCTCTCAGTCCAAGATTGTCAAACATTATGCCAGTCAAGACCGGGAATATGCCGCCCAGCACATTGCGGCTAAAGCTCTGTGCAGCGAGTGCTGACGAGGCATACATGTGGTATGTGTCGGCAAGATAATTGAATGTGGCTAGATACACAGAGTAAATGCCCCAGTTCGCAAAGCCAATTCCGATGGCCTGCGTGTAGTGTCTCGTGCTGGCGGGACTCAGGAACGCAACGAACAAGCCGGCGGGTAGAAGAAGCGATGTCATACACGAAAAGTACAGTCGAGCCTCGGGGGAGTCTGCAGGAAAGTGCTTTCTCATGAATCGCCAGAATCGAGACACTTCTTTCTCGTGGCAAGGGCCAGACCAGAGAGGGTGCTTCGTGAGATTCTCTTGAAGGATAGCCACTGTTGTTGCAACGATGGCCGAAATCATCATTGCGACGTAGATGCGCATGGACATGTTGTAGTTGTCGGCGTACAGGTATGGCACGACAGAGAAAGACAGGTAGAGTACGGCCCACGAGAATGCGGCCCAGAGTGAAAAGGAAAAGACGACAGGCTCAGTAAAGAGGAGATAGAAAGGCCTCTTGACTGAAGTGGCCATCATCTGAAGAAGAGGAGGTCGCTGCTCGTCGGCTTCCACAAGCCATCGAATCCTTCTTAGGCTGCTTCGCTGTTCGTAATCGATTTTCGTATCTTGTTCCGTCAACGTCTCGACGCTTGTCGCAGATGAGCTGTTGCTAGTGGTTTCCTGGGCATCAGTAACCCAGACTCCGTAGATACCTGCGTCCTCCAGTTTCTGGTACCATTCGTTTATTTTCTTAGCTTTCCGCGACAGCAGCACTGGACCACGAGTCTCTTTAAAGAGCACCACGATAGCAATCAACAGTAACCCGTCCAAGATGACCTGATGCCAGAACGACCATTTCCAAGCCAAAGTATCATCGTCCAAGTCGTTGACGAGAGCAGCTGCCACCAAGGGTCCGAGTCCAGTACCGAAGAGCACAAAACCACTGAACAGGGCCATAGGTGTGTTTCTCTCTTCCTTTTCCCAGAGGTCAGCGATGACTCCGCCGACGACTGAACTAAAGACAGAACCGCCGACACCAACAAAGAAGCGGGCGATCAGCATGCCAACCAAGTTTGGCATGACAGAGCAGACGGCTTGGAATATGACAAAGACAAAGCCAGCCAGGATGAAAACTGGGCGTCGACCCCAGATCTCGGAAATGGGAGCGAGGGCCATGGGAGCAAAGGCGAAGCCCGCACAAAAGGTTGTGATTCCAACAAGTGTTGCTGTATGACTTGCTCCTATATCCCTAGCCATTGCTCGAGAGGGGGGTGAATAAGTTCCAGCCGTATATGCCGTGAGCATGGTGGCAATACACGACAGCGCAAGCATGATATTCTTCCGTGCCCGCGGCATGGTAAAGGGGGATGCGTACGGTCGTAGATCTGGACATTGTGGTAGACCAGTGGTGACAGCAGATCTTGGTCCATGGTATGAAGGAACTGTTGGCAATGGAGTGTCAAGAGTTAGATACAAATATGATATAGGATCTTGGCTGCCAAGTTTCGATTGTGTCGTCGATGATAGGAGAGTGTTCTCAAGCCTTATCTCGAGATCACCAGGGTCTTGAGCGGAAGTACCTGCAGTCTGATGCAACTCAGGTTCCGTCATGTCAACAGGATATAAAAATATTGATAATCAGTGCAATGGTATTCTGTGTTGGGTGGGTGAACGACATTCGCTTTGAATTGATGTCTAAGTAGGAAGCGAAAGGACGAGGACAGAACTTTCGGGGACACGGAGTCAATAAGGGCGAGAAGGAGAACAAGAAAGCAGTAATCCACAAGAAATGTAATATCCGGGGGCACAAACCCGGGGTTATTGAGGCTGGGGTTGCAGGGCAGGAGATGAGATGAGGGTCAACAAGCGGGATCTCGACGGGAATAATGGTGTCTTGGCAGGGTATCCGCTTGTTTAACGTTGCGGAACCTTTGTTCTTGCGTGTGACTCGGCCATGAGGAAACGCTAAGGAATAGTACATTCTGACCGAAGGGTCACAACGGCGAGAGGGAGCATTGCATTTGCGGCACGGTCATGGGTGTTGCAGTTGAAGAGAGGTCAGAGCAGAGGTTAGCTCAGTGAATGAGACTTTGATATGCACCTCAGCTTTGGGTGACTGGTCTTGAAGTCTGATTTGAGATACTTGATCGTTGGCCACCTCGAATTTGCAGAAGAGAAATACTGGAGTCATTTCGTATTCCCTCAATCCGCCTTATAGTGACAAGCGGGTTTCTCGCCGGGGCACATTGCCTTAGTAGTATAAAAACCGGGCAAGGACTCGGGAATAACATGGGTATGATCTAAGCTGAACGCTAAACATTTAGCCGAGTCTAGAAACTCCACGTCACCTAAAACCATCTCGAAGATGCCGTTCGGCAAAGGCTCCTTTCGGACCGCCGACAGTGCCCGGTAAGTTCTGTGATTGGCCACAATTCCGAAGACTTCTTTCGGTACAGAAAGCCAAGCACTCCTGTGCAATGGAGGGGTCCGGTAATAGCAGGCCATATGTTGCTATCACGGTATACCCGGCTATCTCGTTTGCAGATCCGATATCCCCGCCATCTGACCTTTGTCAAAATCGATGATGCATGCGCACGCAGTATGTACGTATTGGCAGACCCATTTGTGCGGCGCCTATTGTCCTCACCCCAAATGTCGGTAAATGTAACCAAGCACCTGACTAGTCACCAGTGTTCTGCTGCTCCTCTCAAAGGGTCTCTGGGCCAATTCGTAACAATTCAAGATCCAGTTGGGACCAGTGAATTTCATAAAAGAGACCTTATTTCTCATCTCTCTACCTTTGTAGAGTCCATCTCTCACATTCTCATCAAATTGCCGGAAATCATACCCGTGGCAACCGACTTGTATAAAAAGGCTTAGTGCCACTTGGCATAACTAGCAAAGCACCCCAGACGCATCGAGAACACAGTCTTGGAACATGGTCGAGAAAAGGTTTCGGGAATAACCAATATTGACAAGAGTCGTGACATCTGCTTCGTAACTTGAGACGTCGTGGAGCAACATGAGTCGGGCCTCAACCTCCAATGCAACCCTCTTGACTCAGTCAATATCATCCGCGCTAGTCTGTCCATTCCCTTTCTCATTAATCTTGGGGCCCAACTGTTCCGTCGCCTCCTTTAGTGCTTCTTCTCCGTCAAATACATCGTCTTGCTGAGTGTCGACCTCGTCAGGCAGGTTCAACGAATCGTGAGCCCCTTCTTTCAACGAACCGTCCTCGTTCACGTAATCCTTATGGTATAGTGAGAACAAGATTACGAGATATGGCTCTTCCGTTTCTTTGTTGCGCAGGACATATCTGAGCTGATGTGAGCGTTTTGGGCCGGGCCTGTAGCGAGTGTAAACGAAGAGGGCTAGATGAAGAGATCGCTTGTCCATCTTTGGAGGTAACGCAGTATAACAGGGGATCTTTGTCCGACAAGAAAGGGGGGTGCTTACCTGAGACCTTGACCATCCCAGTACTTCATGATGGGCAGCTGAAAGCCGGGCAGATTCAGAGCGAGATCTGAAAAGTTCAGATAGGGGTTGAAAAAGTCGAAACCGTATGTCTGGCCATACTCGAACACCCATTTCTCTTTGCTATCCGTCCTGAGAGCCCACTTCATTCGAGCCTTGCTGGTGAGAGGAGCACCAACTTCTTCACGGGCCTCGAGACCATCCTCATCACCACCTTCCTCGAACCAGAGTCCGCCCTTCTCTTCATCAAAATCACCCTTGCCAACGTGAATAGTGTTGAAGGAGCTCAATGCTGGGCCATACAAGTAGGGTTTATCGGCGTAAGCATCACCATCCAAACCAGGATCAATCCACCATCGAACTATGCCCATAGCAGTGTTGAATCCCGGTGGTAGGCGGTCTCGAATAGGGTGGTCGAAGTCATTGCCGAATTGTAGGTCGGTGGCCTTGATTCCGGAGGCGTCATCAGTGTCACCACTGGAAGTTTTCTTTGGTGTGAAACGGAATGAAATGCTGTATTGATCCCGGTTATAGGCATGAGGCTCAGTTGAAAAGTAGGGAGATGTTGAAGGTGAGTTTCTTGGCAGACCCTTGTAGTCGTTGATGCGGATGTTGAGTTCAATGTCGGCGCGGTCGCTCTTGATGGTGATGGGCTTAGCAGTGTTGACTGGAACCTCGACTTGTTGACTTAGGTCATAATCAGACCCAGCTGTAATGCGCAGAACATAATTCTCAGCCATTTCGTCTTTATATGTAGACTCTTTTTTTTCTTGAGGTTTTTGTTTGTGTCTAGAACAATTGGTTTAGAAGGGAGGTTGAATGACGTAACTGAGTGCGCTTAACCTATAGTTGTTACTAAAAACAAATGATGAAGAAGTTGAAGCAGAACAACGCAGTTATCTATTTATTGGTAATATCCTTGATAGTGGCGTTGATAGCAAGTAGCCTTACCATTATGACGTGAGTGTTTTTTAATCTCTACATATGCCAGTTCAAGTTTCTGTCACTAGAGGTAGATTATTAGCGCACCTAGGTAGGTAGTCTTAGTTCTCGTATAGTTATTTTCTCACTACGAAATCACTATGGTATTATCTGATCAACAAGCTAAGGTATGCATTTTAGATATCAAGAAGGTAGTAAGAGTCATATATTCGATATTTATAGAACAACAATTGTATATCATGTCGTCGAGGTGCTACCTACTACGAAATAAGCAAGTACCTAAAGATAGAATGCCTCATCGATGCCTGAGGTATAAACAGCATTGCTGCCTGTATCTCTCATCCCTTCCCTCTTTCCCTTCCCCAATTCCCCACTGTCTTTCCTTCAATCGAGTCACTTCTTGAACACCAACAAATGTGAACTTGAAGCAGGTACCAACAAATGTTCTCAGTGCATTTTTATTGACAGCCAAGAAAAACATATACTCGCAAGTTCTTGCAGACCTTTTTTTATTTTTTATCTGGCAACGAATAAACCATCTTCACGATCAAGACATGCAGCAGTCCAACTGTTTCGAAATGATAATTCAACAGGAGCTGGTGAGATGAGATAACCATCCGTTGTATGATTACACCCAGACTCGCATCAACAAAAAAAAAAACCATCAGACTTTAATAATTCCATGCTCTACTGGAAACGCCTCTGAACAACTGTTATCCGCATATCCATATTCAATCGTCAAACGCCTGTCATGAACGCCAGTTCTTTTAAATCTACTATGCACGAATTCCATTGTTGCAGTATGTTACTTCAACGGCAGCTGCTGGTTTTGCCCAGGGGTTGATATGTTCTGGACAATGTGCGCCAGCGCATCAATCACTGCCTTCATTAGCAACTGCGCAATACTGCCAAGCCCTTTGGCGAGGAGTGGTTCAACATACTCTGCATGTCCATCTTGGATCTTGTGGCCAAGTAAAAGTCTTCGTTGATCCTGTCCTGCCTGTGCTCGTCTGGAAGATGACATGGGCAGAACTCATAGTCTGTGGACAGCGGAGGGAGGTCTGGCGTGGACAGTCGGGTGTCAATTGGTGTTCTTGGATACCAATCTTCACTTAAAACATCCTGCTCAGAGCCATATATCTCCAACTGCCCTTCGCTGGGACTAATAGGAGTCGAGTGACACCAGGAGCCAGTGTGGGCAAGACTTCTATCATATGCGAGGTGTGAAGGTTGGCCATGTCTGTCTGAAGGAACCAGAGTATTCTCAAGTGAGACCCGAAGACGCTTTCGAGGTGAAGTCGGATACAGCTCATACTCTGGCTCTAGTTTGGGGAGAGATGGCTGACTTGTGTATGAGCACAAGTCCTGGTTTGACAGCTGATGCAAGCCACGTGATCGTGGTACCTGCCTTCGCAGTCGAGCATCGGCATCTCTGACCCGCTCAGCGCCATTGGGAATGGCGAATTGACCATAACTAGATACCTCGTCCAAGTGGAGAGGATGAGCTAGACTTCTGGGACTTGCTGATAGCCGTTGACTCTCACTGGCCTTGTGGTGATTTGGTACAGAGGCTTGGCAGTTGACTCGCCTGAGTTCGTACGTTGGTGTAGAAGGGGCAGACATGGGGAAAGCACGATGGGAAGTCATCTTATTGTGAAAAGGAAAGTATGTCGTGTTTGTATAGAGATGTGATGCAATATATGGGCCTCAAGTGATGGCGACAGCAGGGCAGGGCAGATAAGAGTATGAAAGGAGTCTTACTGAGACTCATCGAACTCTTGAGTGTTATCAAGTGATGAAATTCAGAAGCGATGATGAGTTTGATGTGGTTTGGGGATGATTTTTGATGGCTCTGAAGAAAAGGTATAAAGAAGAGAGAGTGTAAGAGAAAAGAATCGAGGGGGGGAGAAGGACTTTAAGTCGGGAGGCCCAAGGACGACAGACCCCCGCACAAACCAATCAGAAGACAGCATCTCAACCTCACACAACCTCATCCTAGCACTTCCATCACACACACTTCATTACAAGCACTATCAACTTATTCCTTCTATCACTTGATTCTGCATACATACTGGATAACTCACGAGATTCCTCTTGGTGTTGTATACTCGTCTGTTTGTCTACGCTTCTGAACCTTGGGTTGTTCATGTTCCTTGTCATTTATGCCGTATGACAAGTGTACCGATGTTGTCGTTGGTGATTCAGTGCAAGTCTCGGGCTATTGTGCAACGCGCATGCAAAGACAATTCCGCGAAAGGTGGTCCTACAGGGCCACTCACTGTGTACTGTCATTTTGGTAACTTGACTGCTATGCTGGTCGACCAATTCGCAATAAAATATACGTCCTAAACCACGTACATCTGCTGTATTACCCCTCGATCTTGCGTTCCTGATTCACCGATTACACAATAGTTGGGACTTATAGGGGACGGTTGAAACGAACAAATTCTCTTGTGTCCCAACATTGAAGCTATATGTAGTTCGTAGGGACTCATTATTCAGCCTTGATGGACCAATAAGAAGTTGCGCGGGCAAATATCGGGAGTGTTGGAGCTGTAAAGTCACATACCCTGTCGTTGGAGTCAACATGTAAGACTTACATGACTTGGCGTTTGTAAATGCGTATAGAATGAAGTAGAGATACTCGTCTTCTCCTCCCTACTGTGCAATCTGACATAGGTGATGGCGGCCGGTATAAACACTTTCAAGGCACATGTATTTTACGAATACGGAGTGTGGCGTTTATTCTACATATTTTGGCTAGCCACATGACTTTGGTCAAATTAACAGATCGAGGTTCTTGATTTGGTGAATAAACAGCGTCGCATTACATCTGCTTCACCTATGCCTGTGGCGCCCAACGACACCCTATGTAAAACTTTCCCTTTTTGAAGTTCCACAGTATCTTGTTTGAATTGGTTCCTGTACTACATGAGCGTATATCAGTAGATCTGGAGTCCCTGAGCCGTATCTTTGGCTCGGTTCGCATGCCTGCCTTTCCGCGACGGTTTGCTATCTACCAATTATAGATGTGTCATACATCAGGATCGAATCATTTCTTTACAAACCAAAACTCGAACACGAGTTGGAATTTTGGAGGAACTTGTCATACACTCTTGACGACATGTAACAGTTGAAGGACGTTACATGACAGGTTGACAAAACCCGAAACTCTTCTTGGAGTACCGAGATGTAGTCAGTCAGATAAGATGTGGCTACAGTCGATCAGCCACAAGCCACAATCATTCAGTGTCTGAGACCCTTGTAAGGCTAGTCGATCAATGCCTATCATTCAGGCGCTGATGATGATTCAAAGTGGTACGCCCCAACGAAACGACAGAAGGGATCCGTTCAACAAACACGTCACTGAAGATTTTCTTTACCAACCAAAAAAAAAAAAAAAACCTCATTGAATCATCTTCACCATTCCATCTGTGCAAAGAATTAAAACACAAAGTCCGGCTCAAGGGTGCCATATCATCGCATGATCGGTACATCTTTCGGTGAATGGGTCTTTATCCGCCTATCCATCGCCCTCTTTCGCTACACGCCATTAATTTACATATTCCTCATCTTGGTCCTGCCTCTTATACAGCCCGTTTCGGTGGTATTCCCAGTCATCTGTATTCTCCTAGCAGCGTTGCTGGTAGAATGCGTGTTCTACTTGTCCATTTACAACCCGTTTCTTAGACGGCTCAAGCGGGATGCTGTTTACCCACCGGCGCTATCGCGACAAGACCGAGAAGCGCTGTTTGAGCAATGCTTTGGGAATGTCTCGTCCCCAGAGATTTACCTAAGGTGGTGGTTTCTAGATGCAGATCCGAATGAGATTCGGCGGGACAACGTGAGAGAGTTTCTCTTGTGGGCTTTCTTTGAAAAGCCCGATGGGAGAGATCTGTCGGCAGAAGATGAGGAAACAGTGGAGGGCGAGGTTGAACACTACCTGGTTCTTCTTGAGAGACGACTTGGACGACCATTCGAAGATGGCCGAGGAAATGCGAAGAGCCTTCGTCTAACCCTGGATGGCATCACGACGACATATCGCAGTCTTCTTTGGTATATCATCATCTTCTTCATCGACCAGTTTACCCACTTGGCTTTCCGCTGGCATGGATTTGAGTTCTATCGACGACCTCGCTCCTCGGCGCTTTGTGTGTTTCCCCCGCGTCCGCAAGAGTTATTTCCAGGCCGGCAATCCCCTTCTTCACAATTAAGTTACTGGCACCGCCCACATACAGCCCACGACAAGCTTCCCGTGGTGTTCTTCCATGGTATTGGAGTTGGATTGTCGACATACATTCCTTTCTTGGCTAAACTCTGTGAAACTGGCGATGGGAGGGGAAGCGTCGGTGTAATTGCCGTCGAAATTCTACCCATCTCATTCCGTCTCACCCCAGCCATTCCCGACAAGAGAGAGTTCTTGACTCAAATGACAGCCATCCTGGAACACCATCATTGGGACAAATTTTCGCTGGTGTCGCACTCTTATGGCTCTGTCCTGACAACACACATGCTCCACGACTCCAGTCTCAAACATCGCGTACCATCAGTTGTCCTCATCGATCCTGTTACCATCATGCTCCATCTTCCCAACGTGGCATACAACTTCACCCGCCGAAAGCCCAAGCATGCTAATGAATGGCAGTTATGGTATTTCGCCAGCACTGATCCAGGTGTTGCGCTCTGTCTAGGAAGGTATTTCTTCTGGCGCGAGAATATCCTTTGGAAGGAGGATCTGCTGGGAACCCAGGATGACGGTCGCCATACGAGACATGTCGCAGTGACGCTAGCCGGTCGGGACCTCATAGTCGACACTGCCGCCGTTGCCGAATATCTGGGGGTTGATTTGGAGTCGCCAACCCGGAGACTAATAGCGGAATCACACAACGGTGTGGAGGTGGTCATGTTTCCTAAGTTGGACCATGCGCAAGTGTTTAACGATCGGCCAAGTAGAGATTCGGTGATTCAGATGATTAAATCACGATGCGAAAGTTAGTGGGTCGCATCTGCAGAATGATCCAAGAATAGAACAAAGTCGAGATAGACAGTGACAAAAGAAAGGTCCTTGTTCGCTTTAATTCTTTGTTTTGATGACATCGCCACCCCATTCAGTTAAGTCTGCTTTGATAGGAGCTGGTCCGTTCTGAATCATGAGCAACTGAAAGTCCTCGTCGGAGTCATTTTTAATTTGATGTTCGATCCATGCAGGCACAAAGGCAAAGTCTCCAGGAGCCAGTTCGTGATGCTTGAGTTCTGAATTGACGGCCTCGCTGACAATGAGAGTACCGTTGCCAGAGACGGCGTAGATTATGGTATCTAGACATGAATGTGAGATTTGTTTTATGATATTACAGAGTATCATGACCAACCTTGCTCACTGTTGTGTCTAATCGTAGACTTGCAGTGTGGTCGGGTTGTGATGACTTGATTGTGTCAGTAATGCAGAGCCGGGGGTTTATATCTGAGACAATCTACTCACCAGAGACACACATATTGTCACACTTGCCCACAACGGCGGGACGTTCGATAACGGGACCCTCGACAGTTGGGTGCGTCGGTTCGAGCTGTTTAGCTTTGGTTATGTTGGCAGATGCAGGCATTATCATCGGAAGAATCTCCGAGAGGATGGGTAAAAAGGAGGTCATCATTGCAAATTGAAGTATTGATAAAAATAAAATGTGATAAAATGGTTAGGGTGATCTGGAACGAAAAGACAAGTATAATAAAGCAAATGTCGGTGCGTGACGTGAGAGGCAAAAGTTGAAGGTATTCGCAATGATTGAATGACGTCGCTACACTAATAAACGGGTGGTGTACGATCCGCCAGCGAAGCAGAGATAGGGAGAGACAAAGAGGTAGCCACAGTAGTACAGGTATGCAGTTTCGGTGACGGAAGCAAGCGCGTGACTTGGTAATCTGGTGTTGAGAGATCAAACTGGATGAGAAGTATCAGGCCTCAAAAGACCCCGGTTGCAAGATGCGACTTGGACCTGGACTTACCTAGACCGGGGCCTAGATTCCTCCCAACCACCGTTGTTAGTCCTAGCGGCGGCACAGCTTCGCTACAGTACCCTTAAGAGGCCTAAAGGAAGAATAGCTGATAAAAGTACATTTGATTAGATTGATAATGCAAGGCCGGTAGTGACTGGGGTTGAACAAGTGTGTACGAGATGCAGGGTCTACTCTCAAATTCTTTAATAAAGTATTCTTCTCTGTCACTCTGTGTACATATTATCTATATATCAATCATCTGGGATGGATAAGCCAACACTTAATGGTGACGACGACGATCCTCTCCACTTTCCCCGGCAGTTATCGGCAATGGATCCTCCAAAATGTGACAGATAAATAATTCATTCGATATCTAAAACAATTGAACCCAAACTGATCTGCTACATAGTTCGGATGATTCAAGTACCCTAATTGAAAGCGGTAATTCACGTCAGTCCATTCCTGTCTTTACGCCCTCTCCAGGGCCAGCATCTCATAACGGCTGAACTCCGCTTAACTGCATCATTTGAAGTTCCCTTCTCAGCTCCCAAGTCCAGACCGTCTGTATCAACATCTAGCTCGCCACCCCTGCCCAAATCAAGTGATATAAACCAATTCAAGGTAGTCAGTCAGTCTATGAGCTTTTTAACTGTCCTCATCTTCATCATACAGCCTCTCACTCAATATTTTATTCTTCTCTTACAGAAACAATGTCCATCTCAAGTCAAGAACCCGAGTCACCGCTATCGGGGTCATTGTCGTCATCACCAGAGCATCAGTTACAGATACCATCAGATATCTCATTACTTCTAGACCTCCCTCCAGAGCTCATCGATAGCATTCTTTCTCATCTCTCCCCCTATGATCTGTCGGCTATATCCGCTACCTGTCGAGATCTGCGCAAGCATGCCCTCTCCGACATTCTCTGGCAACCTCTTGTCCAAGAGAATGTTCCCGGCATGACTCTCAACAGCCCTCACCCTTGCAATAGCTATCATGAGCTATACGCCTCACATGATCGTCTCTGGTTCCTTCCCCGTCAGAAGATCTGGTTCTGCGATCGGGACCTTACTGGCAGACTCATGCTTGTCCGCTACGACCCACGTCGAGGCTGTATTGAGGGCTACCAACTTCTTGCAAGCAGAGGGCGACCACTTCATCAGAGTTGGCTTGGCCAAGGCGATGTCTTGATCCAAGAGTTTGATCCAAAAGTCAGACTCCATCTCGACAAGCCTATATTGCAGTTCCGCGTTGGAGAGGAAGCTCCCGTTGAATTCACAACGCGGCCTGGTGCCAATCGATTTGCCGATGAGATGCCTGTCACACTTGATGATCGGATCGATGCTCTTTTCAGCAACTTCATGTTGACATGTGAACTCGACCAAGAAGAAGCCCTGGACAACCTCAAGAGTTCATTCCCGTACGGCAACATATGGCCACCGCCTTCTGTACCTTCAGATCATCATGTCTCGGGCGGTAGCACGCAGATCACAGAGGAGGGTATCTTTGTCAACACACCAGCGACTCGGCCCCGACGACGTAGGGATGTTTCAGAGAGATTCTTCCGAGTTCGTCAATGGATGGAAATGGCGGGTGGTTTAGCTCGCATTGGTATGGCTGCCGGTATGACTGGGATATTTAACATGCTAAGATTGTCTCGTCCCGCAGCGGCCGGTGGCCTTCCTGGCGTCCACGTCGGCGAGGAACTCATCACCTATTCAACTCTCGATCCAGAATTGTATACCCCAACACCGTCGAAGCCCTGGAGAGGCATCTGGGTTGGCGATTACAGCACCCACGGGTGCGAATTCTTGCTCGTCCACCAGCCCGATGACGAGACACCGGCAACGGACGAAGAACTCGGGCTTATACGCGGAGAGGCGGAAACAGAGGATGCATGGGTAGCGAGACGCGACGAAGGGCGCACATATCAAGGGCGGCTCGAGGCTATCAAGCTGACGGGTGATCCTAATGTCCCGCGAGGAGAGATCACTTTTATGGCCAAAGACTTGAGCGACCTTGTTGATGGGCCTCCGGCAGATCCTCGCTTCCAAGGTGTGAGAACGGTTCACAGCCAAGGCCATATCGCAGATACAGGTTTTATATCAGGTAAGCGCGAATAGGAAGTGGCAAACACTGGAACTAACAAGTCAACAGACAGGTTTGTTAAAAGCCATCTTATTCTTGTCAGTCATGATCGCATAGCGCAGCACTGGGTTGAATTTGGTCATGTGAGCTATTTCCAGAGGGTCAATATTGATGAGTTCCTGAAGGTTTAAAGGGAGAGGCTGGGGAAATTGTGTAATTGTATCGACTATACCACTATCATCTATCGTTGTGTGATTAATATCTTTAGTTTAGGTAAATATCCTTGGTTCAGGGTCCCCTACAAACGAGTAAAGAGAACATTATGATGCAGCCAGATGTCAATGCCATATATTTCTAAGGGTATCACGGAATGATCCAGTACATAAAACCCATGTGAAAATAATTCCCAAATTCCACCTGCCTGAAAAAAAAAACGTTCATCTCATGAGGTCATTCGTTGCATTCAGTCTCCTCTGCCAAGGTCACAACTAGAAACTTTCTTTCATGCAACTAGATTCGTGTGGGCTCAAAGCCCGACGCTATAGACGCATGGCTCGATATGGTAAATTCGCTTTTGTGTTATTTTTTGTTTTTATCGCAGTTTCCGTTTACTTGGACTTGGCCTTCTCAGCCTGAGCCTGCTCGTAGATCCAGTCGTTGAGACCTGCACGGTTTCTATAATCACTGGTCAGCTTCCCAGAGTCCAAACTTTTGGAGATACAGTCTTGTCACTTACCGTGCAATCTCGAAAGCGTAAAACTGCATGCGGGGAACAAAGATGGTGGTGTTCTCCTCGTACTCGACCTTGGCGCTGTCGCGAACCATGGTACCAAAGTTGTAGTCGTCGACCTTCTTCTCGTACTTCATCATGAAGTCGCGCCACCTGTTCTTTCCATCCTTGCTCTTCATCTCGTCCTCGTTGACCTTGGCGGCGGGGTCGAACTCGGGGAAGGCCTCCTTGAGGTGCTCCATGATCTCGTCGTCGATCTTGGTGAGACGGAGGGAAGAGCCCTTGACACGCTCGAGGATGGACCAGTAGGTCTGCATGTGCTGGACGACCTTGACAGCGAATTGCTTCTCGATCTGTGGGCTGTTGGTTAGTAACCGGGTCTTAGACCGTATCTGGGGGCTAAGGTTGACGCACGTCTTCGTTGTTCTGGGCATTCTCGGCGTCAAAGTTCTTGGGCACGGGGGCGCCGGCCATGTTATCGAGGGGATCCATGATGACTGATTAATTGGTTGCGATCGTGGTGGAGGGGATTTTGGTGATGTTTGGTGTATTGAAGCTGTGTTTGAGGTTGTCGTTGGGCAAAAACCTTGAACGTGGGGCAATGATGGAGGGGCACAGAAGCCACAAATGATATCAGCGTATAGTGTTTGCGCTTATTAGCACTGTAAGTTTAGATCTTGATGGATGGGTATGGTTGATGTAGGTGGATAGAGACTGGCTTTATATATTTAGAATAGTCATATCATATAGACCATCTGGACTTAGCTCTATTCTCTATATATTGTTTCTTCTAAAAAAGCGGCAAAACGCAAAGCTTACCTATTTTCGTTACGGATGCTTCTAGTGCTTGCTGGAACATTATAGACATTCTTTATAGATTGCACAGTGCACCAGCTCTAATAGGTACATCTGTCACACTACGTACGTTGTGGCAAATGGACATCATTTCTTTCGCTATAAACAGCAAAAAGGAATTACCGCAACTTGCAAAAGGATATCCTTGCTAACTCCGGTACAGGGAATCGAACCCTGGGCTCCGCGGTACTGATCTCTCAGGTTATGAGAGCGCGAAATGTTAGCCACTACACCATACCGGAAATCGAGATTGGTGATTGTTGACAGTGTACTCTCTGTTAGCGAATATGGAGTAAATTACATGCGAGCCAGGCTGTATACACGTCTCGAGCCTCTGTTTGTGCCTACGATGTTTGTCGTTGTTGTTTCAAGCGACTTTGCTTTTGTGATGTACCGTCCAAGTTTCAGGTCGCAAGCAACAGGTTAGAGCACAAACTTTAAGAGAGTGTAAAGGGTACACCTTGCATTGAAATTCTTCGTTATTTTGTTACCCTCAGGGTATCAGAAAAATTGGCTGCCAGAAGCGTAAGGGACGAAATTAGTAGGTTAGCCTATGTTGCTTAGATAGGACTTCTTAGACTATTTATCTTTGTGACCTAAGGCTTAGGGGGTCACCTCTTCTGATACCTACAAGGTTACGTGTCTATCAGACTCCGGCAAACCTTTGCCTAACCGATGTTTGATCAAGCAGACTTGTATGCTTTACAATCATATTCACATCAGGCCTAAGAGAAGAGCGATGCCTGATATCGCAAGCAATTGTGTGGGCATAGCTTCACGTAACCTCTCAAGAGCTAGACTGCTGCCAGACAAGTATAAATAACCGTACTCTCCCCTGAGAGACATTTTCAATTCTTCGTCATTTCCAGTTTTTGGACTGTATATATTAAAGGCAATGGATATATCATCAAGCCTCTAGACTCGTTGGTCGCCTCGTATGTAGTGACCTAACGATACGGACCTTTAAGCATTGCCTCGAGAATGTCGATCACCATACAGCGGATCATTCCTCCCAAGCTCACTTCAGTCGCCATATCTATTATAACAGCAAACCGCCTGGCCTAACAACCGTGATCAAACAGCCACTAGTTGCCTTCCTTTTTTGTTCCCTGGCAAAATATCATGCTTAATATATATAAAAGAAGCTCCCACAGCCACACAGCCCTGCCACCAGCACAGTTGGCCACTGGATTCTTCATCTCAGAGACGTGACAGCTCTGAAGGAAGCGATATCAGCATCGACTCTCAGTATGTCAGTACATACATGTCTCCCAGACTGACATTCTCCCCAGCTAACCTCTTCAGATGCTCTTGACACTCTGGCCGAATTGGCTCGCAACAGTGGTGTTACTCCCGCAGAGCGTAGCACTGTCGACACTATGGTCTCTGTAAATGGCTGCCATATAACATGGGGCTTGGCTCTTTGTTGCTTGATCTTCTCAATGAGCGTCGTCAATGTGCTGCAGACTGTCTTCTAGTTCAGGAAGTTGTTCGTCATCAGCCCGTACAAAGAGGTGCTTCAGAATGGGTCTTGCCTGTCAGATCCAGACAGGCTCGACTATTAAGTACGTTGGATAAAAGCTTTGATTGTATGCTCTGCTTATATGTTACTTAGCGACGCATGAAGCATAGCTGAAGTTGCGAAGCTTAGATCTTGTGTTTAGACGCATTTCCCACGAGTGAAGCTCAGATAGTACCAGCTCGAGTTAAGGGCTCTGAGCATCTATACAGGGATGATGTAATAAGTCTTCCATATGATTGCTTCACTGGGGGCAGCTCTTTGAGCCCGGGTAGTGATTGGCCTCATGATATAAATTAAATTTGTGCTGGTCTGTCAAATAATGCATATGGAATATATACTAATGGAATCAATATTATCTGCATGTATTATAGCAAAGGAAAATCGACATTGAGATAATAATATTAATTAGAGGGCATTAGTCAACATGTTTATGAGTGCATAAGGAGAATCTGACTTTAGAACAGCATACTGATTTGATGCATGTGTATAACTGGCAAGCCAAGAATGGGATAGCACTTCTATAAGTTACTACTCAATCTATCTTTGGAACCCAGTGGTGTGTTCACAAATATCATGGCCACCACCATCTCGCCATCACCGGCAACCACTTGCCCTGCCCTGAGTAACCCATCAAATGGGTCGCATGCCTCGAGATTGGACAGGGGGGAGAAAAAGGCAACATCATGACAAGAATTCGGAACCAGCGGCACTAAGAGTACTTAGATAGGCCGTTATCAAGGCCTTGGTGTTATAGATGCTGATTTAACTGCCCACTGTTCAAGTCCTAGGACAAAGCCAGTCGAACGACGACCTCAAAGCGAAAGACGGAACTAGGCAGGTGACTTAGGTAGTAAAAGAAGTGAGAGAACGATGCATCGAGATGAAGACGAACAATTCGTATTAACCAACAGTCCCAAGCCATCCTCTCGTTTAATGAGCCACTCACGAAATATATGTCGTCAAGCTGGGCAGCATTTGGCAGTGGCAACACCGTCGGCATCTCGGTCACCTCGAAAATCCCGACTCGAAAGGCTATCAAAAACGTTGGTTAGATGCAATCAATTTATCTTGCGTTTTTGCCAATAATTTGCGTGCGGGGTTGCAGTTAGTTTACCAAGTTAATGGACAATATCGGCGAGAACAATACTAAGGCCCTTGGCCTCACTCAGCCTCGTCTGTGCACCATCACCACTTGCCTTTCATATTGTTCTTTGTCACCACAAACGCTATGCCTCGTTTTTACCTTGTCGCCATCAAAAATCATGTATTCTCCTCAATATCATCGGTCGTTTCGCCCTTTTATCCTTTTCTTCTTCCTTAATCCAGATTGAATCACCACTTTCGTTAATCTTCAGCTTCATTCGGAATGGAACAAGACGCCAAATCATCGTGGAGGCAACTCTTCGCCTTTACAAGAAAGTCACACACGGGAGCTCTGATAGCTGCACTAATAGCAGCAGCCTTCTCAGCAGCTTTAAAAACCATCCTCGCAGTCATCCTTGGAAAGATCTTCGATATCATCGCTGGTTTTGGCAATGGCACATACGACGGGGATGAAGCACTGGCCCTAGTTTCGGACTGGGCTTTTGTCCTTCTCGGAATGGGAATTGGAAATTGGATTGCTAGTACAGCCTTTCTAGCGCTTTGGGTCATATTCGGAGAGTTGCAGGCGTGCAGTGTCAGACGGGAAATCTTTACAAGTCTTCTCTCCAAAGACATGGCCTGGTTCGATGCCCAATCCGAAGGCATATCAAGTCTTCTCATCAGAATACAGACGTGAGTACCCCATATCTTATTCGACCCCTTACTAACTTTTCACAGACAAACTCATGAACTGCAGCTCGCATCCTCCCAAGTTCTCGGTCTTCTCGTCGGCGACATCATCACTTCTTTCGCATCTCTGGGTATCGCACTTTATTACTCCTGGAAACTCACACTCGTCCTTCTTGCTACTCTACCAATCTCAGCCATCATCCTCTCACTTGCCACAAAGCGTTTGGAGCCCGCTATCCAAACGCAAAAACGTGAACTGGCTGTGGCCTCAAAGTTCGCCGTCGCATCCATCACCGCCATTGATCTCGTTAAGGTCTTTAACGGATACGACCAGGAAGTTTGGCAGTACTACCCATCCATCAAAGCCGCGGCAAAGCAGTACCTCATTCAATCCCAGTGCAATGCCCTCCAGATGGGCTATGTCGCTTTTTGGGTTGTGGCCATGTTTGTTCTAGGATTCTGGTACGGCGTGGTACTTGTCAACAACGATGGTCTTGCTGCCGGAAGTGTCCTCACAACCTTCTATTCTACCCTTGCAGCTTTTCAGGGTATTGAAGCTCTCATGCCGCAGTGGCTGGTCCTCGCAAAGGGCATGTCGGCTGGTGGGTTTCTCTCCAGCATTACTCGTAACATGAGAAATGGTGGCCCAGTTAAGCCCATGTCCGGCGCTTTACAACCCCAGTTCTGCAGCGGCGACATCGAACTGAAGAATGTGAGTTATTCCCCCGGCTATCAAATATCAATACTGACATAACTAGGTGAGCTTTGCATACCCTTCGAATCCGACAGTCAAAGTACTCAAACGATCGAACTTCTTCTTTCCATCTGGCGAAATAACCTTTATTGTCGGAAGAAGCGGCTCTGGAAAGAGTACACTCGGTAACCTCATCGTCGGCCTCTACGAGCCCCTGAGCGGACAGGTTCATGTCGACAGCCGACCTTTACAGGTACTCGACAGACAATGGGTCCGTGAAAACATTACCCTGATCCAACAGTCGAGTGTTTTGTTCAACGAATCGTTCTACAAGAACGTAGCATTTGGTCACCAATGCCCTGATGGAGCAACACGATCCGAAGTGATGGGCGCCTGCGACGCAGCATTACTCCAGTCAACGCTTGCAGCACTTCCCGATGGACTTGAGACCAATGTTGGCGCTGACGGGTACAACTTGAGTGGTGGCCAGAAACAGAGATTGGCACTTGCTAGAGCTAGACTTCGAGATCCTCCTGTACTAATCCTTGACGAGATCACAAGCGGTCTCGATCAAGTCAGCAGAACCCTCATTTTGGACGCAATCCGTGCATGGCGACGAGGCAAGACTACCATCCTCATAACACACGACGTCGCTCAGATTGAGGATAATGACTTTGTCTATGTGATGGACAATGCAGAACTTGTTCAAGAAGGCTTCAGGAAGGATCTTGCCAAGCAAAGTGGTAAAATATTTGCCACGCTTGCATCTACAGCACAGGACACTCCAGAAATGCCTGTTGAAATCACCATCGACTCTCCGGTCTCCCCGATCTCGCCCCTTTCTCCATTGTTCCCCCCACCCTTGAGAGCATCTCGACTTTCGAAAAAGCTCGTGGGAGAACTGGAGTCATTCAGCCCAGCCCCTGCGAGTGCATCACAACACATGACTCTTGGCATCAATACAGCAGCGGCTTTTCGCATCCGAACAGCCCTGGCATGGGATATGGAAACCTTTTATGAAGAACAGCGTCCAGCAACGGCCGTCGCCCACTTGCCTATGGGTGACTTTTATGATGAAAAGCACAACAGCGGTCTCAGAAGTCGAAGCAGCCTGGACGGCTTTGAAACATCATGTACTCTAAGACTTCTAGAAGAGCCGGAATATCTCTTTGGTGGATCAGAACGTCCAAAAAGCATCACAAGACTTCGAAGGGCAAGGCTGACCGACAAAGTAGAGGATAAGGATGATGAGACTAAGGAACTCCCTCCACCCATGTCTTTGGTTGCAATCTTGAAGACTGTCTGGCCAGCTATCGGTCGGAGACATCGGTTTCTCCTTATCCTTGGAGTACTCACCTGCTTGATTGGTGCTGGTTCAATCCCTGCATTCGCATACTGCTTTGCACAACTGTTGGGCGCTATGTGGTCGCAAGGCGACAAGCTAGCAGAAGGCAAGAAATGGGCAATCTTCCTCAGTGTCATCGCCGTCGTTGATGGAGTTTGTACAGGCGGTGGCCTCTATCTACTTGAGATGGTAGGCCAAGCATGGATCAATAATATCCGCGTGGAAGCCCTGAAACGAATCCTTCGACAGCCAAGGTCTTGGTTTGACCGATCGCGCAACTCTCCTGGCCGAATCAATGAATGCCTCGATCGAAATGCTGAAGAGATGCGCAACATTGTCGGACGATTCGTACCCATCCTCATCACAGTCACCGTCATGATCATTGCCGCCATTGCTTGGGCACTCGTCATATCGTGGAAGCTCACCCTCGTCACCCTCGCACCGCTGCCTGTCGTTATGGGCGCAGTTAAAGGCTATACCATTATCAGCGGGAAGTGGGAGGCGCGTTGCAACGAAGGAGCTGAGGAAGCCAGCGCTTCTCTGACTGAGATCTTTCTCAACATCCGAGTGGTTCGGGCTCTCACACTTGAAAAGTACATGAGTGCAAAGTACCTCACATCAGTAGCACATACTCTGGGCCTAGGCAAGAAAAGGGCTACACGTACAAGCCCCTTCTTTGGTCTCTATCAGTCTGTGAACTACCCCCTTACGGCGCTGGTGTTCTATTACGGGACTGTGCTTCTAGCTTTGGAAAATGCGATCACACCAACATCTGTCGTAGCAGTGGTCAATCTGCTTCTATTCAGTATGGGCACAGCGACAAGTATTCTTAGTACGATACCTCAAGTCACCATGGCTCAGTCCACTGCTGCACAGATGTTGAAATATGCCAACATGCCGCTGATACCACCAGGCGACGCTGGAGGAAAACAGAAGCCCAAATCACCGCTTCCAGTACGACTAGACGACCTCGGCTTCTCCTACAAGTCAAGTTCGCGCAGACCTGTTCTTAGAGGCGTGTCGTTTCAGGTTAATGCTGGAGATTGTCTGGCTGTTGTTGGTCGCTCTGGCTGCGGTAAATCGACAGTCATCTCACTGATGCTGGGTCTTTATACCCCTTCTAGAGCTTCGATACTCAGCACGCAACCGCCACTCACCTTTGCTGGCGTTTCTCACTGGGACATTGATATTGAGCATCTTCGTTCGATGATGGCATACGTTCCACAAACACCATTCCTGTTTCCAACCACCATCGCAGAGAATATCACATATGGTCTCAAGGAACTATCACCTCTACGTCGCTTCCCCAATGTCATGGCCGCTGCAAAAGCAGCTGGTCTTCACGAGTTCATTTCATCTCTTCCAGATGGTTACAACACCCACGTTGGCGATGGAGGCCAAGCTCTCTCTGGTGGTCAAGCACAGCGTCTCAGTATTGCGCGCGCACTAGTACGCAAGCCAAGACTTCTTGTCCTGGACGAACCAACAAGCGCTCTGGATGCAGAAAGCGCAGAGATGATCAGGCACACAATGCGACGAATCGCGGGTAAGTCAAAGAGGGATGTGGCAATCGTTGTAGTGACGCACAACAAGGAAATGATGGCGATTGCAGACCGTATTGTTGTGCTGGAGGATGGTATCAATGTTGAGGAGGGAACATATCATGAGCTGCTGCAAGCGAGGGGTGCCTTTACGCAAATAATTGGAGAAGGAGGATGGGAAGGAAAAGAGTATAATTAATCAAAATCTAGGCTTGACGAAGTCTCAGATTAATTAATGAATGACTTGGATAGTAATTAACGGTTATTGCACGCATATACCTGAGCACGAGTTGTTGTTGCTCTGACGGTGGATCGTTTAAGTAGACCCAGTCTCCCCCACGTATGTTTTTAAAGTTCACGATCCACCAATCTCATTGGATAGAGGCCCCTGAGGATTACTAAGTCAGTTACGCTCAACAGGGGTCACGGGGTCAGGAATGGAAGAAGGAATCTAAAACAAACTGAAGTTGTTCCATTCATTTAAATCTCATCCATCGCCACCTTGAATGCCGCAGTAAACTACCGTTCACCTGTCAGACCATTTCGTTTTGATTTTTCATTCTTATTCCATCTTTTCATATTTCATCATTTATCCATCTTGCATGAGATTTGTAATCAAATAACTGGATACACACATAGCTGAAAGATCGACATCGTACAGCTTGTCTCTCGCTGTCTCTCATCTCGTTTCACTTTGATTCATTCACTCACAACACTCACTTATACAAACTCCCCACTACTCAATGACAGCACAATCGCCCACCAAGCGAAGGGGTCGCTTATCTTCCAGCACCCAAGAGAACGACGATGTGGCTCTCAAGGTAACTAATTCACTCTCCTAACCTCCAACCCATGCATATACTTACAACCCGCCTCTCAAAGGCCCGTCGCGAACGCAACCGCGAAGCCCAAAACATCTTTCGCCGTCGTCGCCAAGCCGCCGAAGCAGCACAGGCCCAGCGCGTCCGCCGTCTCGAGCAGGTCGTCGAGGAGATGAGCTCCGTCTTCATGTCCTTTGTCGACGAGATGCTCACCACTGAAGCCGTCGTGAGCGGACAACCTAACCTTGTGGGGAGCTTGCGCCGCAGCATGGAGAGGATTCTCGAGCTAGCTCATGAGGTCGTCGGCCCAGAGGAGGATCTCGTCGTGCTGCCGAGATCGAACTCTCCAACTGAGGAGAATATGCCCACGGGCAAGTCGCATAGTCCCGATAGTGAGCGCAGTGAGACGACGTCGGATTCTGGCTCCTCCCTGGCTGTAACATTGAGACGAATCCAGCCTGTTCAGCCACCGCAGACTTCAGCACTGACGAGCGCACTGTCGACGTCAAACTCAACGTCAGCAACGTCTATATCACCACCGACGCCACAATTCACAACGCTCCACAACTTCCAGCAACCGTCTCTCGGCAAACCCGTCTCAATCCCGTCTTTCAACCTTGCGCCCCAAATCTTTGGCAACGGCTGGCTCGGTACAACGCCCACTGCGCCCAGCGAAGTCGTCCCGACAGGACCACAGTACAACTCGCCCTTCTCATTCCGCGTCGCCAACACGGCTCTAACAATAGCATGTCAACTTCTTGTAAACTCACCACCTGAACACGCCATGACTCCACAACAAGCTCGTCTGTTCTGCAACACCCTCAAAGGTCGTGCCAAGGAGGAAATGCTCACACGTTTACGCTGGCTTATTGGTCCTGGAAAACACGAAATGTACCGCGTTATTGATTTACCTTATGGACGATACGGACATCACGTTTATGCTCGTGGTGAGCTCAACCCGGCGACGATAGAGGACATTGAATGGCCATGGCCTACACGACCGGCTGGATCACACATCGATCATTTCACACGTTTCTTCAGCATTGTTGGTGTCGAGAAACAGCTTCTTGCGCTAGGTGCCCGGATGGTCGATAACGAAACGCTGGAACTCAATTTGAACAACTCGCCCATGCCCAACGTCGGAAATGCTATTCCCAAACAACCGGAGAGCTGGAGCTTTGTGAATTGCTTCTCATTCCCGACGCAGCCCAAGAATAGTCCCGTGACAGTGCGGCTGAGTGTGCCCGCTCTCGTCTTGTCGCTAGCCTCAAGATCTTGCTGTTTAATGCGAGGACCGGGAATACCCAGATCCGAGATTGGAAGTGCTATTGAAGAAGCCATTATCAAGGTGGGATGAGTATGGGTTAAAAGTTAACGATGTTTTGTTTTTTGCTTGGATATATATGGAAAGGATTGGGCATCACATTTTTGAGGAATCTGGATTGGAAAACTTGTGGGATGGAAGCGTTGTTATTATGGCCTAGTAAAGCGACCTGTATATTGGTATCTTGAAACCCCTTCTCTGTCATAAGTCATAATATGTCGTTTAAACCAAGAAAAACAGATCTGTACCTGTAAACCAAATGCCCTTCTCCTGTCTATTCTGTGATACAAAGTGCATTATCCATTATCGCCTCTTAGATTTTAGTAGTCCTTCCCATGAAATGTGGTGTCTCCATGAGCTTTTTTGCTCCTGCTGTTGTGACGGTCGCGTCTGGCCTCGGGGGTTTGCCCTTTTCGTCCGTCGCGGTCGGGCTGTATTTAAGGCGACAAATTTCATAAATCTTGCGTCTTGACTTGGTGGCAAGGTACTATCGGTACCGCCGCTTGTCCTCAGAATGGGGTCATCCTTGAGGGTTTTAGGGTGAATCTCAAAGATAGCGCCGTCGGAAGACCTTCCCAGCTTGGCCGCCTCTACCAGGGCATGTAGATCAAGCTCTCTCTTCTGCTTTTCTCCCTCCTTCATCAACCTTCTCTGGTCCGATCGGGCCATAGCTTCTCTCTGTTCCTGTGTCATTGGTGTCTCGTCTTCCTCGGCGTCGGGGGTCAGATGCATCATGTGAAGAATGTTTTCGACAGGACCCATCTCATGCTCTGGTTGTTGTTGTTGTTGTTCCTCCTTATCATCTGCCTTCTTGCGCTTGAAGCAACCAAAGGTTCTTGACATTGCTGCACGGAGCGGCCGCCATACTGTGAACCAACAGGTAGCAACTAGTGTGAAGAGGTTCTGAACCCAGCTGTCTGGGATTTGCCGGATCAAAGCACCCAGAGGAATTGACATGACACCAAAGAGAAGACTCCACCCCCACTGGGCACCTGTAAGAGGAGTGGTGTCGAATGCTTCGCCTCCCTTGAAGACAATGATGAACTGACCAGCAATAGTAATAAGTTGCACACCGATAAACCAAGGGTTTCGTAAGATGCCTTGATACCAAATATCAAGCTTGTTATCCACACGGCGGCAGTTATGTTGGTTGAAGAATTGCATCCAGACGTAGATATTCAGCACCAGCGTCTGCAGCTTTTCGATCTCAAACTCTGTATCAGGGTTGAAAGTGTCCCAGCCGGCATAGTGCACAACAAAGACGACTATCAGCTGATATATGGCCTGACAGATGATCATCTTCCACATCGTAATGGAGATGATAGGTGCGTTGCGAGGTTCGGGCTTGCGTTTTAGGAAGTCAGGAGACGGGTGGTCAGTAGCATAACCGAGAGAAGCAAAGATATCCATGATCAAATTGATCCAAAGCAGCTGTACGACGGTGAAGATGGCGTCACCAACAAGCTCCGAAACAACGGTGATGATACCTGCAGTGATATTGATTGTGAATTGGAACTGCAATTCGTTAGCTCATTACTTACACATCCGACTCAGAACACTCACCTGACAAAACTTCTTGACTGAATCATTGACACTTCGACCCCAGCTCAGGGCTTTGACAATTGAGGCAAAATTATCATCAAGAAGGATGATGGATGCGGCTTCTTTCGCCACCTCGGTACCTTGTATACCCATAGCAAACCCAACATCAGCTGCCTTGAGGGCAAGGCCGTCATTGGTGCCATCACCCGTCACTGCTACCGTTTCGTTCATTCGCTTTAGATGAGTTACGAGAAGAAGCTTGTCCTCTGGGCTCGATCGGGCCAAGACCTGTAGTCTTGGGATAACAGCATCAAGTTGCTCGGGAGTCAAATCCCGAAAGGTTGGTCCATCCATGGCAATACCACCAGCTGTGTAGATACCACACTCCGCCGCAATAGCTTTGGCTGTCAAGAAATTATCGCCTGTGACCATGCGAACAAACACTCCAGCATCTTGGCATTGGCGAACAGACTCGATAACTTCGGGTCGCAACGGGTCACGAATACCAAAGGCGCCGATGAAAATCATGCCAGATGCTAACCACTCCAAGTTGATATTATCAGGATCGTCGTCGGGGCCCTCGAAAATCTCGTGTGCCGTAAAATCTCGGTAGGCCATGGCAACCGGCCGTAACATTCTGCCCGCGTAGTCTTCAATTGTGTTGCGATAGCTCGTGCGATCATTCTCTGAGAGGCGAGCAACCGGAAGTCGAAAGGTTGGGTCCAAAACGACAAAAGCGCAATACTCAAACACGACTTCCGCAGCTCCCTTTACCAGAAGTCGATATCGGTCATCATCAACTTTTATCAAGACGGCCATCCACTTGCGGGATGAATCAAAGGGAAGAATAGCAACAATAGGACAGTTAGCTCTCTCCTCAGCTAAGTGGCCCATACCCAGATGCTGACGACTAAATTGCAACAAGGCTGTCTCGGTGCTGGAACCCATGAAGGGACATGGTCCAGAGTCATCAGTTTCGAAAGCGGTAGAATTGAGCGCGATGCTGTCTTTAAGTAGTCGCCGGCAATCTGGTGAGAGTGACTTTGCGAGATCGATCGAACTGTCGCACTTGATGGTGGAGGCACGAGACATGGATGAATCTGGGTCAGGAGTAGCAAGGTCAGTGTCATCAAAGTAAGACTCGAGTCCGACACGTCCAACCACCACGGTCATCTTATTCTGCGTCAAGGTACCTGTCTTGTCGGAGCAGACAGTTGTTGCATTTCCCATGATCTCGCACGATCGAATTAGCCGAACAAGATTATTGTCTCGAAGCATGCGTTTCGTAGCAAAAGCAAGAGCAATAGTCACATTAAGGGCCAGTCCCTCAGGTACAGTGATTACAACAACCGTGACAGCCAAGATCAGGATATGTAGAAAGTCTTCAGCTTTCTGGGATGGCCCGCCGGTAATGGTGTTGAGAGTGGTCAAGAATCGGATCAAGAGAACGAGGAAGAAGATGGAGCCAGCGATACCACCAATAATGATGAGCTGCTTGCCGAGACGGCCAAGTTTCACCTGGAGTGGTGTTGCTTTAACTTCATCTCTCAGCGACATAAGTATACGTCCATAGGTTGAGTTCACACCGACGGCCGTAACAATATAGGAGCCGACACCGCGCGCAACGGTAGTTCCACTCAAAATGAAAGGGTCGATTCGAGATGAATGTACCGAGTGGTTGGGGTTTGGCACGCACTTGTGAACCAGATCAGCTTCTCCGGAAATGGAAGACTCGTTCATCTGTAGACTTGACGCTTGCACGATGACACCATCAACGGCAACGACATCACCAGCCTCAAGATGTAAAAGATCGCCAACAACAATTTCGTGGACAGAGATGCGCTGCAATTTACCAGACCGAACAACTGTCACGTCCCTCTGTTGCTTCCGCTCATTGACCTTCTTGAACTTGTAATTCTTCTGCCAGTCGGTCGCAGCGCTAGCTATGATGATGACAAGGATCGCAACTACAATAGTAACGCCATCTACCCACTCAACACGGGATGCGCCTATCGACTTGTCGGCGGACTGGTAGATACCAATAGCAAGCGAGATGGTAGCAGATATGGTCAAAAGTATGATGAGCTTGTCATTGAAGGCAATCCATAGCAACCTGAAGAAGGACTTTTGTGCAATTTGAGGAAGACGGTTGTCCCCGAAAACACGTTTGCGATCCACATAATGATTATCATGATGTTCGAAAAGACCGTTGTGGAGGAGCGGCGGCGATGGCGGAGGGGAAGCAGCAGAAACCAGTGGTGGTCGTTCAAGATTACCGGAAGCTACTGCTTCATCAAAGGTGACGGTTCCATCAAGAGTTGTCTCATCGACGCTGAGTCCAGTCGAGATATCGGTTCGAAGGCCGGCGGCTAAGCCCAGCAAGCCGCCAAAGGCGCGTAGCGCTGGGAGACTCCTTGTGGTCAGGAGTTTGTGAAGTTGGGTCGGGGTAAAAGCAAAGTTGTTTCCCTGAACAGGTTCGCCGTCGTGCAAATCGAATGGCGGATCGTCGTTGTTGGGAGTTTGAGATGTCATATCGATCGGGGACTGGTGTTGACTACCAGAATTGGAGTTTGAGTTGGACCCTTCGCCAGAGCCGCCATAGCGTGGATCAGAGGTAGTCGTAATGTCGTCCATCAATGTAGAGCTGTAGGAGATGAAAGCAGCCGTGAGCTGGTACGGCTGAACTCTAGGAGCAGTCTGTCAAACAAAAGACAAGAGAACAAAACAAGAGGAACGAAAAGGTTGGTAGATCGAAGGTGGTTTGGTCTCAACTAGGAAACTAGGACGGGACCGTTAAGTGTGGATGTAGGTGGTTGAACGGTAGCGTGGGGGATGTTTTTACTGGCTTTTACCCCGAATGCGTTAGAACCAGTCATGAGGAGCAGGAAATAAAGAACCTTATTGAGAAACTCGTCATACCTGGACAAGACGTCTCCACCGGGAAATGACCTGAATTTGGGAGATGGCTGTGAGTGGTTCTTGATGGACAATCTTTATTCTGGCTGTCTGGGGGTCCATGGCAAAGACGGGCCGTATACAGCAACAATCGCCGACGACACGTCGCTAATCCACTGTAAGTGGTCCGCCTTACAGAGAGTGAAGGCCCCCCGTAAGTTCATCGTCTCGGGAGGGCCGAGATTCTGTTCTGGAGGTCTTTGGGGATGCTGAAGATACTGCCATCGCGTCTTGGCAGTCGTCTTGGCTGCAACGTTGTGCGTGTGCTAGTGAGAGACTGAGGTTTTTAGCTGTTGGTGAATGAGTCGTCATCATCATCTTTATGGTGATAGTAGTGGTCATATTTGACTTTTTGCATGTGAGGTTTTGTTGTCTATCAATCAATGTCGTCGATTTAAGAATTTGTGTCAAGGGGAGGGGAATAAGGAGGTTCAAACTGCACACAGTGTCAAGAGGAAGTTAAGTTGGCTAGTGAAGCGTGCAGCTAGGGACGGCACCTTCCCCGCCAGTATCTGCAGCCGAATTCCAGAATGTGAAAAAGGCAACAACGACATCTCGCTTGGCAATTGCCAACAATTTACACTTTTATGAGGCCAACGATCGCTAGAGCCACTGCCAAGTCCTTAAATGATTAGGGGCCAACGAGTCAGATGATACGAGTGTCATGTCAATTACCTCACCACTAAACGTTATTCTCGATAACATGTAAACAAAGTTTAACTACTGCGATTGATTAGATCTACAGCCAAGCTTGCAGGTATTAGGATCTCTTTAACGTATGCGGAGTATGTACATAACAGTCAGACATAGAACAATACATAGAAAGCCTTGTCTACCAACACAAGAAGCGAGATTACTTTGTCTCAGTTGTATCTCCAGTGTAGACTATAATTCCTGGCTGTGTCTGATGAGCCTCAATCAAAGCCTCAACGTCAAACGCTTTGACGGTTAGTAAGCGGACTGGCGGAATAAGCCTGAACCAAAAAAAAAGTAAGAGATAACTCCACCAGAGCCAAACCCAACTCGCCTTGTTTCTCTGGTCCTCACATTTCACAAGTCTACAACCCGTGCCGTCCCTCATACCAAATTCATCAATTGAACCCAGGCGCACAAGAGCCACATTGAAACAAGTCACAATAGGACAAATGCTTGCTCGTGATGCTCTGCTCTGCTCAAACTTCAATTCGCGTCACCCTCTTGTAATTCTTATTTTGAACGTCTCTGTCTGAACCACTGCGATCCAGCTTTGCTATCAAGACATCACTTACAGATCTATTTAAAAAAAGAAGATCTCGTCTCCTCTAGCCAATTGTTACTCTCATCCCCTCCGTCCGATCGCTTCGGTCACCTGCCGGCCGAGACATGCATTCCCAGAAGATACTAACTAGATAAGTTGCACAAGCCCACCAGTAAATGAACGATTGGGGACATCGACTCTTGCTCCCCCATCGAAGCGGGAATATTTGCACGACCCTGAAACCATGTCCAACCAGCTTCCCTATCTAGAATGTTTGTCTACAAGTGACACAAGCTTAGTATGTAGCAGTGATCAAGATGAATCAATACAAGGTGGTAGAGACATAAGCCTCGATACATTTCATGAGCCTACGTGCGATTGGAGGTGTCAAATGTTAAGCTTGAATCAAAACATGGCGCTGTCTCTCGCTTACATCTCCAAACACTGAGCACACATGGTGTCTTGTCTCGTTTCGTTTCATTCCATTCCCAACGCTCCTCCACCAACATACTCTTCTCCAATACCACCATCAATACTGCCATCGATCAATGCCCTATCGGAAATGAATCTCTAAACAAACACAACCTTCCGTATCAAGATCCCGCTGTTGTCCTCCTCTTAACTTCCGATCTATCCACAGCCCTCGAGCTGACTCGCTGGCGGAACGGTACGGTTTGTCCAGAGAAGGGCGACATCCGATGCTCGATACCCGTTGGGAAATCCAATTAGGGCTTCTTTTCTTACCTCTGGGTCGTAGGGTTGGATTGGTCTGACAAAGACATTGAATCCCACATGGCGCCCCCTTAGATAGAATGTTTTTTGTGCAACAGGTTCAGTGTTGAAAGTCTCGAACCCATCCTTGGCCTTGGTTGTAAGTGTATGGGTTCGAAAGAGATAAAACTCTTTAGCTTCCCTACTTCCTCGAAAAAAACCTATGCAAATCAACTCGAGGCAGGCTATCAACTATGGAACTACAACGGCTGTTTCTGATGCTTCTTCCGATTGATTTCTTACCTTTGGTTTCTGCATTGCCCCATTTCCTAAACCGCAAAGATGATGCAATTATTGCTCCGAAAGTCATGATCATATCAATGGTATGCCCCAGTATCATCTCTCAAAATTGAATCTCTTACACGGCGTGACAGTGGTCCCCTGAAGCGGAAATTTGGCATGATCGTCTTCCAGGCACCCACCTCGGAAACCTATCAGCCAAAGTCATTCACTCTCCCGGCCTCTCCATGTCATTCCCCTGTGTCACTTGCACAGACAATGGCGACATCTGCCATCTCACCGTTGGCGAAGGGGAAGTCAACTCAGCCGCCTCACTCATGGCTCTCGTCCTATCTCCTAAATTTGACCTGAGCAGCACATACTTCCTCATCGCTGGTATAGCCGGTGTCAACCCCAAGTACGGCACACTCGGTACTGTAGCCATTGCTCGCTACGCAGTTCAGGTTGCTCTCCAATATGAGATTGATCCAAGATCTCTCCCTCCCAACTTCCCCACAGGGTATATCTCATACGGTCGTGACCAACCTCACGAGTACCCATTTATCACGTACGGCACCGAAGTGTTCGAACTCAATGCTAAGCTTCAAGAGACTGCTCACAAGCTAGCTTCCAAAGTCGAGCTGGAAGATGCCACTGGACCAAAGGAATACCGCGCGCTATACGGCCGGATGGGCGAGTCGTATAGAAGTGCGTCCCAACCTCCTTCTGTTGTCAAATGTGACACTGCCACGAGCGATGTGTATTATTCGGGCAGCCGACTCTCCGAGTCTTTTGAGAATACCACCCGGGTATGGACAAATGGTACAGGAGTGTACTGCATGACTGCGCAGGAGGATAATGCGGTATTAGAAGTCCTGGTCAGGGCGGCAATCGAGAAGATCGTTGACTTTTCCAGAGTCATGGTTATAAGAACCGGTATACCCTCCCAATATTCATATCCTGAAACATTTTACTGACAGTTCAAGGCTCCAACTTTGATCGTCCTCCTCTCGGCCATTCAGACTTAAACCATCTCACAGCTCAACAAAATGGCTTCGGTATCGCAATAGCCAACATTTTCAATGCCGGTATCGAAATCGTCAAAGGCATCGTTCATGATTGGGACGAAACATTCAAGGACGGCATCACTGCGGAGAACTACGTGGGAGATATCTTTGGCAGTCTAGGTGGCGAGCCGGACTTTGGTTTCGGTAGTTTGACTCTCGGGAAGCGCATAGCAAAGGGTTGCAGGACGAATGATCTAGCCGTAAGGGAGATGGATAGACGGAGGATCTTGACACAAAAGTCACTGAGAAAGGTTTAGAGTTTCTTGCAATATTGGTGGTGCGCTGTCTTTCGTTTCATATCTGGCGTAAATCAATATGAGTTTGGTATGATGGTCAAATTTACTTTCTATTTCACCTGGCTATATACTCCTAAGAGGCAACAGCCTTTTCTCGTTGCGCTACGTAACGTATATATTCTCTGTATGACCAGTTAGCTTTGCTCGGCTTCAATCCATGGCCAATGCTAAGCTGTCTGGATGCCTCGCTGTGCGCCAGAAGACACAATTCATTATCATAAATATCACAGCATCGTCTTGTATAATCTCAAAGCTTTTGACGCGGTTCACCACGGCCCTTCTGTCCAGATGTCAGGTTGTCTCTCCACACACAACGTCTCCCACCCAGACGCAACCCACAGCACCGTGAAGTGAAGCACAAGGAGAACTAGGCTCATACCGAGTCCCCATGCGCGTGGTCCACTTGAAAAATAGTCCCCGTGGCCTTGTATCATCATTGGCGAATAGCTTGTTACTTGCGGTAGACCAAGGTCCAGAGCCGCTACGCCGATGAGAGGAATAGCCACGTTCAGCTCTGCCATGAGGGGCCAGCAAGGACGGACGAGGGTTGTCACTTTGATACCAAATAGGCCCAGGCGGATGATGTAACTTAGTAATGGAGAGTGCGAGCCTGCAAGATTCATGAAATGGAGAATAAATATGGTCGCTCTTCGCCTCAATGCGTCAGCTGCTGTGGTGGGTGGTGGCATGAGAAGTGGGGGACTCTGTGAACTTCGCCGCTCGTGCAAATCTGCTGATTCAGATGCGTCGCTGACGCTGACTGCTGGGGTCACAATGGAACTACGACGACTTTCTTGGCTGCGAGAAACGACCATGGAGTGCGAACCACGATGTCGCGATAAGGACTGCCCATGAGGATCAAGCCGAGAACTTTGCCCGCTCTTGGTGGGCGACAAGTCTCTTGCAGTTGATCTAGCTAAAGCACCAAGCTCTTCAATCTTGTCTTGTGTTGATGTCTGGTTACGATGTCGTGGGCCTGCAAAACAGTAAGATCAAAGCGAATTAGAACAATGGATGAAGGTTCTTACCTGGAACTGGGGTGCTCGGGTGAGCAGGTGAGTCTAAGTTTTGGATTCGAGTGGCGATCCCGAGATTTGGTACAGGCTCTTGACTTGAACCATTTTCGAAGCTCATGGACTCGCCCCTCATAGCCTTGAGGACCTCGTTGGCGCTAGGTCTCTCGGCAGGGTCTAGAGACAGCAGTTTCTTTAAAAGTTGATACAGTCTCGGTGGTAGATCAGGGCGTTCACGACGCTCATCGTGGAAGCCAGTCCAGTGAGTGATCTCTTCTCGGAGCTCATCCACGTCCTCAAGTTCTTCTTGGAGAGCATTCGCATTTTGGTAAGGAAGTCGCCCGAAACACATGAAATACAGGATCATGCCAAGCGCAAAGATATCTGACTTGGTGGTAAAGTTTGCATATCGTCCCGAAGAAGTATCCATCTTGAGAACTTCCGGTGCGCAGTAGGAAATTGTTCCAGTGGTGCCGGAAGACTTGCGAACAACATTTTCCGGTTGGACCTCGCCAAAGTCGCTGATGAGGCAGATTGTTCTGCCGCCCTCGCGGTGCATCAAACAGTTGCTTGGTTTGAGATCGCGATGGATGTAGTTGGCAGCATGAAGGTATGCTACGCCTGAAGTAATGTCCTTGAACAGTGAATAAATTTCCTCAACTGCCAATACGCGATTGCCGTTTACCAAATCCACAGGTGTTTCGAGTTGGCCTTTTGACCTGCGGCGCATCTGCGCTTTGAGTTCTTCTTTGGTCGCCTCACGGGGTGCACCTCCTATGATGTACTGGTGAAGGTCGCCACCATTGCAGTACTGCTGCAGAATGAAAGCGCACGCGACGCTGGGGCCGAAGCGGGTAAGTCGAACGTCTTCCAGCCAGACATGACGGTAAGACACAAGGTTTGGATGGGAAAGCTTCGCAAGTAGTTCGACTTCGATGAGGACCTTCTCAAGCCATGCGTGATCGTCTCCAACGGGCACTCGTTTGCAGGCGAATTGGCCCAAAGCACAACCATCGATTTCGTGTCGCACAAGAAGCACGACACCTTTGCCACCTTTTCCCAAGACCCTTTCCTCGACGAAAAACGTATTGAAGTAATTTGGGCTAAACGCATCGCGTCGTATCCTGCTACCTTCTACTTGCGCAACACCAGGTGCACTCGACACAAACTCGGCCTCCTCAGGAGGTGGAGGCGGCGGTGACGTCTGATGGGTGCCATCGGCTACACCAAGAGAAGGCCCAAATATCCTTCTCACAGGGCTTGGAGGTCCGTCGGTGGATGCATCGTTGTTGGAGTTGACAGCGCGGAGCATACGAAAGTAATCGGGATCGACATAGGTTTCTTGGCGGGCGCCAAAGGAACGATCATATCTTCGGTCGGGGGTGTTTTCTGAACGGGTAAGAGGCTGGTGGCATGTCGGACAAGTAGAAATGCCTCTGATCTCGAGTCGATGGGACTGGGAATCACGAACGACGATGGCGTTGTGGTGTCGGCTAAGTAAGTACCAGGATTAGCTTGTACTCGAGCTTGCGACAGAGCTAGATGAATGACGTACAGCACAATTTCTCTGCCCTCGTGGGGCTGGTATGGAATTAGCGACATGTCCTCGAAACGGAAACGTCGGATGCTGAAGCCAGCATCGCAGTCATGGTAAGATGATTGCGCGATGAAGTGTTGGTTGTTAGTCTATTTGGAGTTGTTGGTTCGTCAGAGTGGAAATGGAATTGGAATGTAGGAAGTAGAATGTTCTGCGGGGAAGCTTTCTTTAGTGGATCGACGTTATGTTGATCACTGAGGCTCCTCCAGCTGACTGACATGGACAATAATCCCAACCAAACATCAACAACACGTGGCAGGTAACACGATAATTAACATGCAAGCCATATAAGATAAGTATAGATATACATGTGTACTTAAAGTTCAACCAACAAGAGAGTCCTCATTATAACTATTTGTTTGCCTTCATAACTGTTGGTCATGTGTTTCAACCAAGGCACAGCTTTTGTAATTGAGGATTCACAACGTGAACAAAACCACGATATAGTTACAATAGTCACAGTTGGATTTAAGAAACAAGAGAGATAAACAGGAATTTATCCACGTCAAGAGTTTCTAAGAATTCTGCATCATAATACAACTTTGTAGTATTCAAGAATGATTTGGGTTCTCAAGGTCCAGGGTACGCCAGCTCCAAATGCTACGCCTCCTGTTCCTACTCCTGTCCCCACCATCCGCAAGGGTTTCTCAATTACAAACATTGAACCTCTCACCCCAAAACTCCATCATCATGGCAGATCTTCGACAGGCTTGTGATCGCTGCCATAGCAAAAAACTACGATGTACCAAGATCCCAGGCTCAGTAGTCTGCGCTCGCTGTGTCAAAGCTGGAGTTACTTGCCTCTTCAGTCCTCCAGCCCGATCTCTGCGCCATCCTGATGTTGTTCACATGGACTGGAGTATACTTGGTCTAGACCAACCAGTGGCCGAACTTCAGAGCACCGATCTGGATCAACTTATAGCAACACCACCTATTAGCAATCATGCTAACCCGGCCCCATCTGCTCCAATCACTGTAGTATCTCAACTAACTGATCTCATGGTCACATTCGATCGTATGCAGAACAGCTTTCCTGCGTCTTTGACCCAACATCTCACCATACGCGAACTCAACGAGTTTATGAAAGTTTGCGAAATTGATCTCGGGGCATTCCTCGAAGAATTGCTCCAGAATTCCCAAAAGTTAGTCCACTTATACCCTCAAGTCCTCAAACAACTTGAGTCCCAGGACACAACACCCTGCGAGATCCCAGATTGTGTACACAACTCGCAGTTGTTTTCGCATTCTCGACCTCAAGTCTCGATTGACCAGTCGCTTATTCATCTTTTGTTGGCATGCCATCTCAGGCTGCTGGGGTTGTTCGACAACATCGTTACTCATGGATGTATGTGTGCTCATGCAGCTCCCATGCTACCCCCAGAGTGTGAACCGAGACTCGACATACCAGAAATCAAGATCGGTTCATTTGTTGCACCGAAAATTTCTGCTGCATCGATGGTGATAGCAATGGTAATTGAGCTCCAGACAACCCTCAATACCAGAGCGCAGGACTTACACGACGTGATTTCATCAAATGTTGGCCACGATGCGAGGACAGCAAAGATTCTCGACCTGCAGTGTGAGTCCTTGAAAGAGCACGCTTCAAAAACTTGCTCCGATCTCTACTCTCTTCGGGAGAATCTCCAGAAGTTGGGGGTCCTCGGATGAACGGCGATCTGTTTCTCGGCGACTATTTTCTTTTTACCACCAAGGACCACAAAGGTCCATCATTGACCATCGCCCAACTTCAAAGTCGCCGTTCACGAGTCATCCAAATTGGAACCCCACTGCCCCAGTATCTCGCAAACTTGTGTTCAAAAACTAGCAAAGTTGCACGGATACTCTAGAGCTGGAGAGGATACAAGATGATGTCCGAGATATGGAGTCTGAATCTATGGACAACGGTTGATCTGCACATCGCTGAAAAGCAAGTGTCGATCCTGCAGTGCTTTTGGACAATGTTTCTAGAATCATGGGTTTCGTCTTGTTCCTAGCGCCAAGAGTTAATCGGGACTATTTAAGATTGCATATGGGTCAAACCAGTCTATCGATTGTTCTAGCCCTACATCGTTAATCGCGTCCCCCCAGCTCCGCTTATACAGCTGTACCTGGATGTTTGTCGATTCATCTCTAGGCAAGCTCGCTCATTAGAAAATGTTTCCAAGCTGAAACAATCCCATGTCAAGCCACAATTGCGGGCTAGTGCCTATGCCAAGAATGATCAAGAGAGTCAGAAGTAATGGGATAACTTTCCGCTTGTTTATCGCCAAGATGAAGCATGTCCGAGTGTTACGATGTCTCTTGGCATCTGCCCAGATATAAGCCTCGAGCTGAAGTTGAGCCGTGCTCATTATATGACAAGCTCCTGGAGCAAACATTTTGCGGATTTGACATCACAGTCCCAAATAACGATATTTCAACTCGGACGAGTATCCTACGTCATTGAGGTTTCTTTCTACACTACGTCACGATCCGTCAAGATGAATATCAATAGATATTCAATAGTTCCGATCAAAGTCGATCTTGGCAGAGGCAGAGGCGTCGCTTGCAAACAGCACTCTCCTTGGTTGAAGCTACGGTAAGCCACGGCGTTTTCCAGCTTTAACTGCAAGAGTCGTTAATAGACTCGGGTCGAACTAGACCCGTTCTTCAGCTGGCGATCTCCTTTTCCTCTTCACATCGAAGAAAGCCCCACCGGGAGCACGTCAACTAGGACATCGGATTGTCGGCATCGGCCAAGGTATTTAGGACATCATTTGTGTTGGTTGGCCGCTTTGAACATGGCCCATATTAACTTAACAAGCTACAGGGGCTGTTGGACATTTGTGGCGTTGAAGATATGCCGCTAAGAAAAATCTGGTCAAGGAGAACAGTTCCGAGTTGGAACTGTTGACATCTCTCGTCGGTATCAAGAGGTGATCTATTGACTGGAATTTCCTATTGAACCTCATCCTGTATCGCAACCAAAGTTTCACCAAAGACGGCTTATATGTCAACTTCAATGTCTCGCTATACCCCCCCTCTGGTCTATTAGAGATCCACCATCCACTCCGACCCTAACGCCCCCATCTTATCTCCCCTTCAGAATGTTTCATCTTATTTCCTGTAGCTTGGCCCGGGCGTTACAAACTCAGTCTTCGTTAAAAAAGCACCCCTGACTATGGCAGGCTATCCGTCATGATACCACTCTACCTGCCCAATGACAACTAAAAAGAGGACCACCACCGCAAGCTATCGATTTACCCAACCCAGGAATGGCGATAGCTTCAGTGCTAAGTCGAACTGCTCTTTTGTTTCCCCTGGCTAACATGAGCTGGGCTCCAGAATTAGAAAACTCCTAAGGATGAACCGTCAGTCACAACGGTGCGGTGTGGCTTTTGCGGTTACTACTGTTGGTCTGGATGAAATACGTCTTGTTAGTAACTTGTCAGTGGCGAAGCGAGGTGGATGAGTCGGTAATTGCCGTCAAGATTCCGTCTGATACTGACTGTATATATGTGAACCGTCCTGTTCCCATCTTGAATCTTGCTTCCTCAGCGGTAACACTTCATTCCTTTTTGCTGTTGCTGTACAATTCCCTTGTCACTCGTTAGACATTTGATACTCCAACTACATTCACACTCTTTTTTCATTGGGCCTATCTATATTCTCACTTACAATCGTTACCATAATAGTCTAATATCCCCTCATTCCAAAATGCCTTCCACAAAGGTCATCACGGCCTTCTTGGCTGCCCTGGCTGTTCCCATGGCCAATGCCGGCAACTGCAAGCCCAGGCCCGTCACTACCACCGACGTAGCTCTGCCTGGCGTCACAACCTCTGGCACAGTTACTGCTATTACATCCGGAACCGAGACTGGTACTCCTACTACAGAGACTTCTGCCACCACCACCACCGAGGCTGCTTGCTCCAAGTACACTCCTTACGAGGTTCAGCCTGTCGACTGTGGCAAGAAGGGCATTGCTCCCAACTGTGCTGACAAGATCATTGGAACTCCCTCGACTTGTGTAGACTGGTCTGAGTGTGGCAACACCTGCGGCAAGACTCTCGGTTGCAAGTCTTTCTCTGTCAAGGGACGTACTTGCACCCTCTACAAGACAGTCGTCGAGGAGCTCGGCTGGACTGCCAGTGAGGGTTCTGACGCTAGCGAGTTCTACGATCTTGAGCTTTGCTTCACATGTGCTGAGGAGTCCAGCGCTACCTCTGGTACTGAGACTGCCACCGGTGCTCAGACTACCGAGACTGCTGCTGGCACCGAGACCACCGAGACTGCCACCGGTGCTGAGACTACCGAGACTGCCACCGGTGCTCAGACCACCGAGACTGCTGCTGGTACTGAGACTACTGAGGCTGTCATCACTACTACTGAGGCTGCCTCCACCACTGCTGCTGGCTGTACTGCTGCTTACACCACCATCGACAGCGCTCCTATTGAGTCTTGCGCCGTCCAGGGCCGATCTCAGGATGGCTCCCCCATTGCCAGATACCGAATGGTTGAGAGCGCCGACGAATGTGCTATCAAGTGCGCTGACTATGTCAGTGAGGAAAACGCTGAGGAGGTCTGCAGCACCTTCTCTTACCAGGATGATTCTTGGTATTGCGAACTTTACGCCGCTTCGGTGAACGACCTGAACATCGATGATTCTGAGTGCGAAGTGGGCACCCTTTGCCAGGCAGATTCCTCCTTCTATGACCTCCACGCCTGCTATGCTAAGTGCGATGGATACACTGCCCCTACCACCACTGCAGCTGTCACTACCGATGCTACTACTACTGAGGCGGGCACCACTGAGGCTGCTGTCACCACCGATGCCGCTGTCACCACCGATGCCGCTGTCACCACCGATGCCGCTACCACCGATGCCGCTGCTACCACCGATGCTGCTACTACTGAGGCTGCTGTCACCACCGATGCCGCTACCACCGATGCCGCTGTCACTACCGATGCTGCTACTACTGAGGCGGGCACCACTGAGGCTGCTGTCACCACCGATGCCGCTGTCACTACCGATGCTGCTACCACCGATGCTGCTACCACTGATGCTGCTACTACTGAGGCTGCTGTCACCACCGATGCCGCTGTCACCACCGATGCCGCTACCACCGATGTCGCTGTCACTACCGATGCTGCTACCACCGAGGCCGCCACCACTACTGAGGCCGCCCCTGTTTGCACAAACTACATCCCCAAGCCTGACCGTCCCAGCACTTGCGGCCAGCAAGGCAAGGTCAGCTGCCGTTCTTCTCAGAAGCTCGGCCAGCCCGTCTGGGCCGCCAGTGCCGACAAGTGTGGCAAGATCTGCGGAACCACTGAGGGCTGCAAGACCTTCTCCTTCAAGTACAACGGCTCTCAGTGCCAGCTTTACAGCTCTGCTCTTGACCAGCTCACCTTCACTCCTTGCAACACTGGCGTCAAGTTCTACGACCTTGAGAAGTGCTACACTTGCCAGAACGAGGAGACTCCTGCTCCTCCTGCCACCTGCTCCAAGTATGTTGCCGACTTTGGCAGCTGCGGCAGCAACACCCACTGTGGTACTCGAGGCTCCATCTGTGAGGAGGTGCTCATCCCCAACGTTGGCGATGCCTCATGCCTTGAGAACTGTGCTAAGAGCTGCATCAACTTCGGCGCTGAGTGCGTGTATTTCAGCTACAAGCCTGCTACCCCCTGGGGTAATGCCAAGTGCAAGCTGTACAAGTCTGGCAAGATTACCAAGAACAAGAACTCCATCATCAAGTTCTACCAGCAGCCTTGCTTCAAGTGCCAGAACCCTCCTGTCTTGTAAGCGGAGCATGAGCGTGAACAGTCACTTAAGTGACGAATATTTCGCGATAGGTCTAGAAAAAACCTTTTTTCATTTTTCGATGGCTACGCGATTTCGAGGGGGATTTTGTTAAATAGCATTTTACGTAATTATTTTCAGCTACATACCTTTAGACATGAATATATGATCTGGACAACCACTATCTTGTCCCTGATCGAAATATTGTGATTTCCAGATTTTAGAATGCTATAGAGGAGTAATCAATAGAGTTGAGATGTATAATGTCGTTCATGTATCATGGCATAACCTTACAAGTATCTTTTCTGCATCATGACGCCGTTTTGACAGCCGTGAGGCTTGAATATTCTCGTCTCGCACTATATCGATATCGTACATGTTTGATTACACTGATACACAACCTCATCAGATAACCACATGAGACTATACTTGTGCCGCGAGAACTTTCATCTTTAAGCAAAAAAAGGGCTGCTTACTTTTTTGTCCCAAGATGAAAGTTCTCGCCGCATAAGTACAATCTCATGTGCTTATTTAGAACTGGCAACTTTGTTCTGCCGTCCTAGATGAGGCGCAAGTCCACTATTCGGGCTTCTGTCTCCTTGAGAACCATTTTAGTCCCTCGAGAGCTCTTCACCATGTTGTTCTCGCTTTTCTATTTGCTCCCTCTCCTCCTTCTCCTTCTCCTTCTCCTTGTTGATCTTGGCCTGCCTCCACGGAGGAACCTTGGGTTCTCTTTTCATAACCACTGAACCTGTTAGCATAACATCCCAACCATCGCATGGCTGGGTAACTTACGTCTTTGGAAAAGATCATAACTAGTAACCAGGAAAATTGGCATTCCAACCATAAACTTGAGCCAATTCCTCTCGAGCTGTTTATACCTCCTCTTATAGTCCTCCTTCTTTTTCTTTTCCTCCTCCTCTTTCGTCAACTCCTTCTTTTCGTCTTCTTCTGCCTGCCTGCTTTTCCCCCTCTCTTCTCTGATTCTGTCTAGTCGTCTTTGTCTCGCTTCTCGTAGTTGCTCCTCTCTGTTCCTGGCTAAACTGGCCGACTTTTCTTGTAATCGTTGCTGAAGCACGGCAGATTGCTCTGATGTCGTGGGAGTCACACGCACTTTCGTAGGCTTTTCGCTAGGTGCAGAGTCTTGCGTGTTGGGAATTTTGGCGCGACGATTTGTTGGTCTTGTTGAGAAAGCGCATGTTGGCAGGGATCGTATATTACAGCGAGCGGAAGGGCATTCGAGACGGAATGATGGTGGATGGGCTAAGAAGGCCACCCTACCTGGCGTAATGCGTAAAGACATTATAATAACGCTGCAGATAGAACGAGGGACTCGGGTATAATTACTGAATATCGGAATGTTATAGTTGCGGAGGGTTGGCTTGAAGATTCACTCAAGTGGGAAAAGATGGTAAGTTCTTATCGATAAGAAAGACACTATCTGGACCTTCACGTCGCTGAGTTTCTGTCAGTTATTAGACAGTCCTCAAGGTGTTAGAAGCATTGGCCGCGAGGGGCATAAGAGACGAACTTCGTAGGTTAGTTTATGCTACTTAGATTAGAATTCTTGGGCTGCTTGTTGTTGTCTCCTAAAGCTTCAAGGCCAACTTATCCGGTGCCCATTTGATAGTCAACAATTATACAATCAAGCGTCTAACTTTGATAGATTTTTCAATGCTAATTGGCGTACTGCCAGAATATTTTAATTATACAATTACTGTCTTCCCAAACGCCTTTTGCATTCATCCACCATATACACACCCCAATATCTGTTCAGTCTTGTACTACCTGTAATCAATCATCATCAGTGTATCGAGGACCGGTAGCTGCAGGAGTCTCTGGTGGACCGTAACTTGCTCCAGGAGTAGGAGCAGCATAGTAGCCAGGCGTGGGAGCACCAGCAGCAGGAGTAGGTGCCGAATCTGCTCCCCATCCGCCTTGCCAGCCACCAGGCGTTGGTGCACTGATAGCAGCAGGCGTAGGCGCCGAGTAAGCACCAGGTGTAGGAGCGTTCATGGCACCAGGAGTTGGGGCACCGAGTGCGCCGCCGGGAGTAGGGGCGTCGTACGAGTTGGGACCCCATGAATCACCGCCACTGGCTCCTGGAGTTGGCGCAGTAACTCCCCAAGCAGGTGTCTTAGATCCCGAGCCCCAGCTGTCGCCTCCACCGTAAGCTGGTGTGCGTGATCCAGCGCCAAACGCATCACCTGGAGCAGGTGTTCTTCCACCAGCCTGCCAAGCTGGCGTGCGCCCACCAGACCCGTAAGCCGTACGGCTGCCGTCGTATGGGTTGACAGTTCGCGAGCCATCTGCCCATGCAGGTGTTCGAGCGCCAGACATATCTTGGGCTTTCCAAGCAGGTGTTCTTCCACTTGCAGCAGGTGCTATGCTGTGTTAATAATATGAAATCAATCCGGTGATAAATAAACTTACTGCGCGATCCCCAGGCAGGCACTCTGTCAGAGTTACCACCTGCCATAGGTGTGCGGGAGCCGCTCTGCCATCCTGGCACACGGTCGCCGCCGCCACGTCCAGCACCGCCGCCATAACCACCGCGACCTCCTCGGCTGGCGATATCGATGGTAGCACCAGTCATCCTGTTCTTGAAGGCTAAACTATCCTTGGGCACTGTGATCGTCTTGCTCTTCGTATGAAGCTCGACACGAGCATGAGTGTCTGTGGTGTCTTTCACAATACCTAGAAGACCTTTGTAGGCTCCCTTTTTGATAACGACGGTCTGTTCGATTGCCTTATCTCGTCCAAAAGACCTGGGTTGTTGCAAGGGCTTGTTCTCACTTCCGTTCTTGTGAAGCTTGAGGGCTGGGTTCATGGCTGTCAAATCAGGACCGGTAGATGCGGCAGTATTGACGCGGCCACCCTTGGCAGCAATAGTGTTGACCATGTTGGCCTTAGTAACAAAGACACCGGCATGTTCCTTGTTGTCGTTGGAGTGTAGGAAGATGTACGAACGGTGAATATGGATGATCTTGCCCTGGCGCTGCTGACCAGTATACTCCTTGACAACATCTTCCAGACGAATTTCAGAGCCATGTCGATCAACGGCAACGGCCGTCTTTCGCTTTGGAATTTTGTTAGAAATCTGCGATGGCATAACCTGGCGAGGAGTTCCAAACTGATCAAGGACAACAAGCGACTCGCGATCAACCTTGACAACACAACCCACAGTCGTAGGATCAAGCTGCACAAGATCGTGTAGTGAGTACTGGCCTAGTGAGCCTTGACCACCGATATCACTGGCTTCGCGCAGATCTTTGCTAAACACGGTGACCTCTGAGTTTGTCTGATCTGTCAAGAGTGTAACCTTGTCGTCCTTGATGTTGACAACCATTCCGACCTCATCTCTAAACTTGCTACCGCCAATGACCTTGACATGGTCACCGACATTGAAGCGCTTGCGAAGAGCTCTGATGGGGACATCAATCTCCTGTCCGACGAGTTCACCTCCAGTGACAGTAATCGAAACCACATCGGAGTGAACACGCATGGCCTTTCCAACAACACCCTTCTGTTCACCGGTGTAGACCTCGACAACATCACCAGGGAGGTACGTAGCCAGTGCGTTGCTGTCTTTGAGACTGTGTGCCAGCGCCTTGAGATCGAGGTTCTCTGTTCCATCCTCAGCCCCTGAAGCGAATCTGGTAACCTCCTCGAGAGATGGGTTTACGTCAGTGACGGTAAGCTGTTGGATCTTGATATCCCTGACTTGGAATCCATTCTCGAATTCCTCGTTGTTGTATGTCCATGTGCCGGTGGAAGGGTTTCCTTGGATAGCACGGGGGTTACGCTTTCGAGCCTCGATCTCGCTGAATAGTCGCTGAGGTGGCTTGGGGCCATTGCCGAAGGGTCGCTTGCGCTTACCATCGGCGGACAAGGCATCGTCTCGTAAGCCATAGTCCAATCTGGGAATGAAGCGAACACGAGCTTCCAGGCCGTTCTCAGTAACATCAATGACTTGAGCAAGATCACCATTGTGCTTCGGGGGTTTTCGAAGACGGACCCAAGCACCCGGCTCCAGAGTAGGGGTTTTAGTGATACGGAACAGCTCGGGCATGTCCTTAATGTCGACAAGAATCATCTTGGAATGAGGATAAACGTTCATCATGCTGTCAAGTCCCTTGAGAATGTCGGTTTGACGTCGAGCTTCAACGTAGACAAAACCCTTCATGACGGATTCGATACCTCCGCGTTCAAACGCAGCAGTGATGGCGAGTTCGTCCTTGGTACCCGCTCGCTCTTCGATGCGCTTCATGATAGAGAAGACGACTTCTCGTTCCTTTCCTTCTTTACATCGGACAGCCCAGATGCTGGGATCATCCACACTGGGGAGGAGCAGTCGCTTAGGAACCACAGATACGTCTCTGAAGCCTTTGCCAGAGCGTCTGTTACCGTATCGTTGTCGCAGAATCTCTGCTTGTTTCTCGGCATCCATGCTAGAGTCCATGTCCCTGCGGCGATCGAGTTCACGATGTCGTCGGTCATCGTCGATACCGGTTTCCGCGATGTCGTCAGGGTGATCGTTGGTGATGAAGTCTCCTATCTCTTCACCCAGCATCTCGTCGTCTTCGCCTTCGTCTTCATCATCGACCTCGGCTTCGATATCGAAGAAATTGGCACCTCGTTCCTTTCTGCGCTTTCTGCGATGGCCCTAAAAGGAGTCAGCACCAACCAAGGCAAACCAAGCAACAAACGCGCCGGGATAGACTAGAGTCCCCTTACCTGTTGAATGTCCTCATCTTCTTCATCTTCTTCTTCTTCGTCTTCCTCGTCATCATCGCCGCGACGTCTGCCAGTATCTTCCTCCTCGTCCTCTTCCTCTTCTTCCTCCTCATCATCATCATCGGCATGTCGCGATTTGGACGGTCGCTCATCTTCGTCATCATCATCGTCGCGAGGCGCAGGACTGCTTCCACGCTTCACTTTTTGATTGTTGCCATCTTGCTCTTCATCGGATAGATCGGCGGGTGCAGGGTTGAAATCTTCCTCGTCCTCAGAATCGTCGAAGCGCGAAGGGTCGTGAGAAGACATGTCGGCGAGGGAGTCGCGACACGTAACGTGTCTTTGGTGATTGTCTGGGCGTTTGTCGCTCGAATATGAAAGAAAGAAAGAAAGAATAAGTAGCAGCGATGTAAGAAGGGAATATTAAAGGATATTTTGATGGATGACAAAGATGAACAATGAAAGAAAGTCAAAGCAACACCGAGTAATGTTAGAGCTCCAGACGGCAAAATGCCGGACCTTGTGCAGTGCACTATTTCTTGAATAGTGGGTCACTAATTGTGCACGATACGTGCATTTAGAACTTGAATTAACAAATGACTTAACACATTGAACTCTGATACTTTTTACTGAAAGTTTGACCTTTTTTAACACGCCTGAAATTAATTAGCTTCCACAGTAGGAATTTCCTTCACGAATGAAACTTAATCACCGCACGCTGAAACTATGCACTTAGCAACAACTGAAGAGATGAACGGGTACTGATAAAGCAACTATATAACACATTATCTATCACTACCAAACCCCTAAGATGAAAGTACCGTCTCTTGTTGCGCGTTGACAAACTCCTATCAATGATGTGCAACGGTTCAGTTTAGAAATAGTTAGCATGTTTTCTCATCATCTATATCTACTCCAACGCTAGCCTCTCATAAAATATGCGTTCTATACTCCCCCCTTCCCTACCCGCCAGGCTTTTGAGATCTCATAACCCACGCCTTATCGTAGCAATGACACAGACTGTTTTCCAAACTCTTCCGCCTTTCATAACTCGAGTTATCTGCCTTCGGCGGGAGCGCAAATTTCAGCATACGGGTTCGTGTTTCTTTCATATCAATCAAGGCCCTTCAACTACCGCCACGTTTTGATCCCAGCAACTAGAGAATGTTGCAGATGCTCCAAGCCAACTTCCAAAACCGCCAAAACAATAACTCCAGGCTTTGCAGAATGCAATATACCGTACCCTCAAGTGGTCACTCTACGTGATTCGAGCAAGGTTTCTGGAGAACCGTCAGATACCGTGCTCCACGGATTAGAAATGACATCAGCCTGCCAATGACTATGCCTTTACATGACTCTTGTTCCCCAGATACCACGTCCTGCGCCAACACCGAGCCACTCGCCGTACTCGGAGTTGGGAAGTTGGGGTACCCAGCCCAAGTTGCCAACCTCGTAATCGCATTGCCAGCTAGCAACAGGGCTCCTGGGGTTATCTTGCTGGGGGGTGCCGTTTATGGGTTGACCAGAGTTGTAAAGATCCCACAAAAGGACCTGGCAGTCGTCACCGCCTGAAGCAAGCATTCCTCGTCGATGGGGCGACCACTCGATGGAGTTGATGTTTCCAGAATGTCCGCGCAGCTCGAGCAAGGCCTGACCCGGCTGTCGCACGTCTAAGATTCGAATGGCATTGGAGTCTTGAGCGAAAGTGGCAAGGAGGTGGGTATCGTGAGGTGAAGTCGCAAGACGAAGCAGCGGTGGAGGATTGGCCATCGTTTGCTGAGCCAGCGTTGGACTAACACGACCACCGTTGGGGTCTGTTTCAAGGTCAATATAAAGTATAAATCAAATGTGCACATGGCTTACCTCGCTCTTCCTTGCCTGTAGGCTCGTAAATAATTGTCGAGTGCTCCAGACTTCGAAGATCAAACATGCGGACACTACCATCCTGACCACAACTGACAAAAACATCCACACTTTTGGCGCAGAATCTAACATCATAGACCTCTTTATCGTGAGCAATGAGCTGAGTCTTGGCCGTGAGTGAGGGAATATCCCAGATGGTACATGTCGTATCTATGCTGGACGTAATGATAAGACTGGGAGAGACGGTGTTCCAATCGAGCGATGTCAGAGGCGCAGTGTGATCGGGTGTCTTGGAGTTGGAGAGTAACGCGAGAGGAGTTAACTTGGTGGTGGCATTGTCGCGACGGCCGATTGTGCCACTGGGCGTAGAAGGGTTCTCACTAGGAAGTGACCACAATCGCAAGTGGTCACCCGAAGTTGCGAGAAGGTCAGTAGACTGCTTCTGCGACGAAGGTGGCTCCCACAATAGGCGGGTCACAGGGTAAGAGTGGGTAGCTTCGGCAGCTTTGGTGAACTCCATGGTAAACTTGGATGAGCCAGGAGTGTAGACATCCTGAGGAGTCGGTGCGATATGACTATCAAGAATTTGAATCTATAACAGTCAGCAGTTGGACACGCGAATTTGTCGCCTTGTGTAACGCACAAAGTTATGTCCATCTTCCAAGTAGCTCCCTACAGCGAGTTTACCAGCGCCACTGCCCTGGGCCGGCCATTTGCACCAGTCAAAAGCGTAAATAGCCCAAGGCGCAAGATAATTGCTCGTTCCTGGTTGAGCATTGTTGGCGTCGTAGGCCATGGCAGCTCCAGTGCCATCCGACATGCTCGAATCGGCGCGGGGACGAATATCGGCTAGGCCAAGCGGGGTGTTGGAGATGTTGCGCTGAGATCCTGGAGCATTGTACCTGGTGGTATCGATTGGCGACATTAGATGCGAAGAGGTAGAACCGCCAGGCGTCGTGGGAGTATATGCGTGATAGCTAGAGGAGCCATCATAGCCAGCAGCTGGGCTGGAGCGAGAGTAGCTGTGAGACATACTCAGCGGGGGTTTGCTCGCGACTGCGGCGGACGGAGAGCCTGAATATCCACGTGTAGGCTGGCCGTGCTGCGAGGGGATCTGCAGTGGTTGCTGGGAGTGATGAGGGAGCTGTTGCTGCTGAACTTGCGACGGCGGCTGGTGAGGGACGGATGAAGCAGCGGGAGAAGACTGTTGCATCGGCGAGGGCAAGTTGGGCGAGGCTGGGGCGCCGCGAGCGGACAGGCCACCGGCGGGTTGGAGAACGTTGGGCACCGAAGTATTGGATGGGTTCCTATAATGAGAGTTTGAGGGCGAAGACTCGAATTTGATCTGTGGAGGATTTTCGTATTCTTGAGGCGACATGGAGATTGGAGCACCAGTTTGGCTCAAGCCCGACATGTGCAATTCGTCGTGCTGGGGATGGGGTTGAGGGCCGGATCCAGAGCCTGAGCCAGAACCAGAGCCAGCGCCAGCGCGAGGAGCAGACATGGAGCCCACCTGCATTTGACGCAGTGAGGGAGGAAATTGATGTGATTGGCTCATGATTGGATGGTTTGGTTGTTTCTTGGCTGTTCAGTGACGGACCTGGCGTTAGGTTATCAGAAAACTTGACCTTTAGTCTTGGGGCGCCAAAAATAAACAACCAACCAGCTTGCCTGATTGGTACCACGGGTCGACTCAAGATTTTGTCTTGTATGCTCTGAGTTGACCCGGCAAGCCGTAGAGTGGCCTGGTACCGGGGGCAGAGTGTAACGACTGAACTGCAACAGCAGCCGCAACGTTGAGGCGAGTAAGAGAAGTAGTAGAATATGAAACAAGAAGGTTTGAGCGACAATTGAAATTGAATGTTGCAGTCAATTAAATCGCGGTGGAGTAAGCAACTCTCCCTTACAGTACATCTGGCACGAGGATGATCGTCGGCACTTGGCCTTTGTAAAGTTAAAACGTCAGCAAACGCCCTGCTTCAAGTAGTACCCAAAGAACAAGATCACGTTGCTAGCGTTTCTGGTGGTTGAGGAAAAGACGAAGCGGAAGTTTTGGTAAGTAAGAAAATAATGCGACGGGGATATTGCTTGCGCAAACAAGACAAGTCTGGGCTGATCCAGTCTGGCTTGGCTCGGCCTTGATCGATTATGTTTTGGAGAAGGGGGTTAACCGGTAGGCTGATGGCTGAGATGAGAGACGGGTTTCTTCCGTTTGAACACAGGATGTAAGACGAAGGGTTTGGAGAACAAAGATAAGATTGTGCTGTCTCTCAAGCTTTCTCATAGGAATCATCATATGACAGAGCATGATGTTTTTAGTAAACAGCTACAAGTAACAAACCATATTTACCCACCTGCCTACCTGCTACTTTCGAACTGGGACTCATGGCTTACATCCATCATAACAGATTCGAGAGGTGTGAAGTCTGAAACACAAGGTTTCCCGCAACTAAACGGTGTTTGGTGAAGGGCAGGTTCCAGTCGACAATGACTATACTGCAATCTAAATGTTTGGTCTCTTTCATGCGTAACTTTTGAGCAGGTTTGTACTGTTATCTGATTCCAGTTCTGGAGCCTGATTTGACTGTGAGATGGAATCGCTTCATAATCTGCATTCCTCTATATATGCCTAAGTGCCAGTTGGCCGATATAAACGTTATATACTACTTCAAGTGGTGCACGCATCATGTATCATAAATGCTCCATCACATGAAGACAAGCCCGTGACGCTGAAGTGGTACAGGTCCACTCCCCGCCCTGTGGATCTCAGCAGCTCATGGCAGGTGCACCCCATGTGGGCACATGCCAACCCTAGATCGTGTCCATAGCTTCCCAAGGCCAAGCTCTACCATTCCTATGGCCTTGATACACTCTAACAACTTTACTTAACCCATCGCCAGTTTGATGGAGCTTCGATACACTTGAATGAATGCAAAGGACCGACTTTGGACAGCTCCCGCCTTCTCTCGCATCACGCCGCGCCTAACCGACCTCCAACGAATGTTTGCGACAACCTCCAATATTGCGACTACACACACTCGCTCCCCAAGGCAGCCGTTCGCGGACAAAGATATCTTCGCCTTCAATGTTCGATCGTATCTCTAGTCCCCGTCAGCGAATATCCATTCCTTTGCGAAGCCCTCCGATTCGAGAAGTCAGCGAGTATGATTTAGATGAGCTGGAACCCAGGAGTGACGACGTTCTCTTCGACCAGGAAACCCCTCGCCCTAGACTTAGAAAGAACACGCAACCTGCATCAGCTACATCTACTCGTCGATCTTCTTCACCTGCCTCATGGGATAGCAAACATCGCTATTCCAATTCCCCTCCTCATACCAGATCTAAACCAATCTTTGCAGGACCACCGCCTCCGATCGCATCGTCTGTCATGATGAATCAACACACATCTCGGCAATCTACAGTGTCAAGTCACGGCGATAACGGAAGGGGCTATGGATTAATTTCAGCCAGTAGGTTTGGGTCGAGTAGCCAGAGCCAGAAGCATGTGGATAATCGACCACGTCTCGATTCAATATGGAGAAGTTTACAGAGACGAGAAAAGGCCCTTGAACGAGACATCCAGCAACTCTTGGATCTTCAAGCGTCAGGCCTGATTGCTGGCAGTGGAGAGGGAGGATCCGAAAGCAATTTTGGAAGTGACACAGGGACAGGAGAGAGCACATTTTATTCCACGGCTACATCCAAGTCTCGCATGATGAACTCATTACATAGACCCACCCAGTCTACAGCAGATGGAAATGTTATCCCCGTGAGGCAGCCTGTGTCAAACAAGCCTCGTGGTCTCAAGTCGGCTCGAGTCGGCCTGCAACGTGCCATGGCTGCCTTGTCTGAGCTAAAGACCGAGGAAGATTTACATTTGAGCACTGCCCTAGAGCAAAGAAAAGATGCGTTGGCTTATCTTGATAAGATGAGTAAGAGACGGGACGACATTTACTCCGAACTTCATGCGCTGGAAGACGATGAGGAGGAGCCTTTGGGTCAAGAACTCCGATCGCTGCAAGCAGAACAGCAAGAACTAGACCACGATATTCAACGTCTCGAAGAAAAACTCGCTGGAGCAAAGAGACGCCGTAGATGGGTACGCGAAAAGATTGAAGATGTCAAAGGTCGACGAGAGGCAGGTTTGAGTGGATACAGGGCAGCTGGCAGAGACGTCGATATGGAGGTTAGAACATTGATGCAAACGCCGCCAGTCATGCCGTTGGATGTCGATGCCCTTGGTCACGGCGAAAACTCGCGACAGAAAGAAAACATGGATGTCTTGCGAGGTACCGAGTTTTTACAACTCCGCCCCGAACGCCGTACGGTGGAAATGGCAAGAACGTGGTGGCAAGGAGAAATCACTGCCCTTGAGCGCCGCAAGGCGCAAATTTCAGAAGATCGCCAGGCTTTAGTTGAAGGCTCAGAAGTATGGTCTGATGTCACTGGGCTGGTCGCACAATTTGAGGCAAAACTGCGAGAGCTTGTGAAGGCTAGCCAGGCTGGGGATGCCGATGAAGAGCCTCAACAAGCCGCCATGCAAAGTCAGCTGTCTGAAATGGACGATGTCGTCCAGGAGTTACAGAAGCGATTGCAATTGGCTGAATCAAAGCACTGGAATCTTCTTATATGCGCAATTGGTGCTGAGCTGGAGGCGTTTGTCGAAGCCAAGGCTCTCCTGAGAGACACCCTTGGGCTCCCTGAACCTGCCGCTGCAATCGATTTTCCTGGGCACAGTGATTCCGCAGACAAGACAGAGGAAGTGAGCCAAGAGGAACGGGCGGAAAGTCACGATGAGAGCGATAACGAAGTTCCCGCCGACTTGCTAGTCTCTCGAATGGAGGACCATGATCACGATCCTCCGGAAAGTCCCCAGCAGCAGAGTGTGGTTTTGACACGAGGCAGCACAGGAAATAATGAGGTACCAGCCGAGTTCTTAGCAGAGCTTCACGATTCGAACAAGATTGAATAGGATGCTGAGGTTGCGGCGGTAACAATGCTTATGAGTAAATAGCGCTTATGGATAATGACTTAGGTAAGAGGCGGCAGATGTGGATAATCGATGCATGCTTAACAAAGCTTTCAGGAAAGTTCACACGGTGGCAGCATAGAAAGCGATGGCTTCGTTAATTTAGTATCGTTGATCCAATTCACATGCATAGTCATATATATCCGAACGCCTATGTGAAATCCAGCGCGTCATCTCTCGCGTCAGGCAGTCTTGGTCCATTCCTCGCGCTCATAAGTCAAGTCTTCAATCGCATCCCGCGGTCGAGTCTGAGTGAAGATTTTCATGGTATCAATGTCTTTGAAGGTGGGAATGCGGCTCGTCTCTCATCGGGTTCGTTCGAAGTAACCGCTGGATCCGGCAATCGCAACGGATTGGTCCATAACCCATTCACCAACGCCGAGGTATCTGTCGATCCAGCCAGTGAACTCCTTGTTCTCACCAGCGACTCTATCGGTCTTGAAGCTGTTTTTCTGATGATTAGAGATGATCGGGGGGTGCGCGGGCGTTGTAGCTTACGTCAAGCCAGTTGATCGCTTCATGCCGGCGAGGAAAGCCGAGACTGGGAGATGTTAGCCCATACAACACGCAAAGCTATCATTATTGGACAGCAGCGATGTGAGTTCAACTTACAGAGAACAGCGTCAAAAGCATAGTGTGTCAACCGTCCGACCTTTGACCAGAGTCCGAAAGTCAGCAGGTTAAGGAGCTGTGAGGAGTCTTTAGCCACAAGGGCATAGCTCCGGGGGGGGGGGGGGGGGGGGGGGGGGGGGGGGGTTGGGTGATTCAGAAGATACTTACCACCATGATGCAAGTCTTGTAAGATGAGTTGTTGGAAATTAAAAATCGGCTGGTCTTTCGGTCTGGTCTCGGATTGTACTGTAGGGTCTCGCGGTGTGCAACCTCGTGAATGGAGTCGTTGATCGATCAACCTTGGCTTAGTCCAGTATCATGCGACACAGCCCGCCTCGGGAACCAGGCGGAAGTGGAGTCGTCCGGCAGCCCGGCGCAGAAAGCTCCGGGGAAGAGCCATATCACGTGTTGGAATTGGATCTGTTTTGATTGTGGATGTGAAGATGCAAGACATTTGAGATGCGAACATATGGTTCAGATGTTATTGGCAATAATTCATCAAAGATAACTAGGCTGAAGATGGAATGGCTGATACTGGCATGATACTATCCCCAGATGGATGTTTACTCGAATCTGTCGTGTAAATAACTCAATATACTTCGCTTATACGGACTTGACACAGCGGAATATACTGATACGGAAATGCGCTTGAATCGAACTCAATTAGATCAATGGAGTTCAATTACCATGTTGCATCACAGCACGTTGCGACGTACAGCCGCCGCTAGTCTCGTAGTCGCCGAGAAGAAGCAACCGCTTGTTCGCTCGCATTCCGGCGTTATTATAGGAAATCCACTCACAACTTTTTTTCATGTCAATATCTGCGTGGGACAGGTTCGAGGTCCGGACACGAGAGGGGTTCAAGGGTCTAGAGAGACTTCGCCGAGTGCATCGCCGTGTCTATCCCAAGAAGAGCAAGGGGGTAGGTCGGAGTCAGAGTCAAAAGTCAGAGCCCAATGAGTAAAACAAAAAATAATCCCTCATCCATGAGGCATAAGATAGCATGGCGGCATATAACAGCATGCTTGGGCGTAGTTGGTATCCTCTTTTTGCGCGCCCCCCGCGCAGCGAAATTTTGACAACCAGAGTTTACTCACCGAGCTTGGTATCTACCGATATCTGGAACGACATCGTTTCAATGCCGTTAGTCAATGCAATGAGCCGTGTCTGAAACCTCATTCGTGCCTAAAAGGGTGAGGGAGGGGCCGCTTCAGGGTGGGTTTTACATTGGTCTATTTTTCTGTTGAAAAGACATGTCGGTCAGCCACAGGCCATGTCAAGGTCAGAGACCTGAGATGCATTAGTCAGGAGATGGGGGTCTATCTGGAATAGCTGAACCCAATGGTGATTTCCGCGGCCATGATAGCTCTCCTGTAGGTTGATGATTAGACTAAACTCCGAACTTAGGCTGAACCAAAGAAAGCCAAGACAGAAGAATGTTGAGGTTCAGTTTGATAGGTTAGATTGATAGATAAGAATGCGTTAATTCCCTCGCGTCATAAACATGACCTCTTGTTGGAAGTCTTTTATTTAAAAAAGAACAAACGAAACACTTGTCATGACAGTCACCCTAAAAATAATCCATCGCCTGCCTATACAGGAAGGGAGCTGTCCCCTTGGAGTCAATGTGTATCTAGTCATGATGACTCCTTACTTATATGCAATAGTAACATAAACCTCGACCCAATCGTAGCAGCATGCCCTGTCAAACAACTGACTGATTGGACTCGAAGCCAAGCAAAGTTTCACAACCGTTGTTGAGGGCGTTGCGAAACAAGGTCAGGGCCAATGCTTAAAAAAGGAACGACCAAGTGTCTCATTCGTTGAAGAGGGCGCTTCACGTCTCCAACTCGGGCTGTTGGCACCATGCAATTGCCCTGCACAGGGTGACTCAACGATTTGTTAAAGAGACAGTCAGCATTTGAGCGGGGGATTGTCATGGCGTTGTTGCGCGTCTAGAGGCGAAAGAGTGTTGATCATGACTAGGAAGAGATACGCAGCCATTTAGGATTAACGGATTTTGTATGATAACCCACCCTTGAAATATTGGCTAATTTACAAGTCAGTTTGGCAGATGTTTTTGCAGTTCGCCAAACAACAAGGAGCTGCAGTAGTGGGCGGAGTGCTTTGCCCCGAGAGGCCCAGCCACTACAACAATTACTCGATCCCTGCCCCTGCTTGTAAAAAGCCACCTAAGGATAGCGGGGTCGAGTTTTGGTGGGGGAGAGCTGCGACGGAGGTATAGAGGGGGCGACACAACAGCTTTGCGACTGTAACAGAACTTGAGAAGCCACGATAATAATATCAAACAAGTTTCTACTTGGAAATTTGTTTGAAACTTGATGATATAGCTATAGCCTCAGATGGTATAGGCTTTCTCCTGAATTTAGGCAATTTTACTGTTACAATCTACATCTGACTTTCATCTTGCACGGGAGGCGGGGTGTCAGAGCTCCCCATAATTTTGAACCAGATCGCCAGAATGAGAGAAGAAAAAAAAAAGAAAGAAAAAAGAGCTCCTCCCTATGGATCTCAACCACGGGCAAAAAGAGAGCTCAGACTGTGTAATCCGCCATCTACATCCATGCTAAGTACATCTGAGGCAAGTACTCCGTAGCGCTACTCCTGGCTTGGCTTCTTACCCCTCCAGTCATGATGGCTGCAAATTTCTTGGGGAGGTACACATGTTTGTTGATTGGGGAGGGACGAGCCAAGTACCCTTCCCTTTTCGAATGAAAGCGGTAGGTGCAGCGTGTAGGTAGGAATTTAGCCTTGCCTTGTCTCGGCCGTAGGTTTGCTGTGGTTTTTGTCTTTATTATCATCACCACACCAACTCTACTTCTTTCTCTTCTCCTCTCCTCTCTCTCCTTCTCATCTCTCATCCTTTCTTGACCTTCGACGTCAAACAGCTTTACCTCCACTTACCCCTCTACGCCTCGACCTTTGCGAGCCCTCCTTCGTCGAACCTATAATACCAGGAAGAGCGCACGTTCCTCTGCCTCCTCTGATCATATCATCCTTTTGGATTATTATCGTACGGTGCAACACTCGTACAACGATTTCCATATCCCTTTGTAAGTCGACATGCTACCATTGCTTCTGTGCTGCACCTGGATGGAGACGGCTGCTGTGGCTTGGGCCCTGAGATCCCACTCTTCTGCGATTCTCTGGCAATGGCGATAGGGAATCCGTGGCAGTACCGGTTTTGGCAGATGCACTTCTCGTCTCTTTTCTGGCTATGCTTCAGAAAGTCCTTCTCGAGACCCAGAAATTATCAGCGGTCGGATTTGTTCTCGGTTCTTCTGGCCCGATTAGCGACAATCTGACGATTATCAACTCGGCCCATCTGTTGAGCTCATGGGTCATCCTGTGTCCTGTTCACTAGCCATACCAGCCGTTTTGCATCGCGCCGAATGCCTCTGCCCACCAAAATACCACGCCCCATTCCTATCGCCTTTCCCACCACGTCACTTAACGTCAGATCCCACGTTAGCCCCATGTATTTCCTACACACGAAAGAGTCTCCGTTGGCCTGCATGGCAAGTGTCCGCAGAACAGCCTGATATCCCCTCTTATCAATAGTGCGATCTACAATCGCTGAGATATATATATTTGGTGGTTGTTCAAACTGCACCACACTTGTTGTCTCTTCACATCTCCATTCCTTTTGCAGCCAGAGCTACCCCGCCAAGCTCTTCTCCCACCAACAACTTGCTAACCACATTCACAATGCCTCAGAAGTCAGAAAACCAAAACAAAAGCGTCATGGCTACCACCGCTCAGGACCACCTCGAATTCGGAGGCAAGATCTCATGGCTTGCCTCGCTTGACACCGCTTTCCGACCTGAGCGCAACTACCGCCGCTCCTCCATCATCTGCACCATTGGCCCCAAGACCAACTCTGTCGAGGCCATCAACAAGCTCCGAGATTCCGGTCTTAACGTTGTCCGCATGAACTTTTCTCACGGATCATACGAGTACCACAAGTCCGTCATTGACCATGCTCGCGAGTCCGAGGCCACCCACCCTGGCCGCAACGTCGCCATTGCCCTCGACACCAAGGGTCCCGAGATCCGAACTGGTAACACTCCTAACGATGAGGACATTCCCATCAGCGTCGGGCATGAGATGAACATCACCACCGACGATTCTTATGCCACCGCTTGTGACGACAAGAACATGTTAGTTACCCAATAATGACGTATTTCTCACCTGCTAACTCTCTCAGGTACGTCGACTACAAGAACATCACCAGCGTCATTGAGCCCGGCCGTATCATCTACGTCGACGATGGTGTCCTCGCTTTCGATGTCCTCAAGATTGTCGACGAG